TGATACGTTATATACCGAGAAAATTGCCTCCATCTTTAGTCTGACATTCAGTGCGGCTGGCCGTCAGATCAATAACTTCATAATGATGCCCTGTGAGGGTTTTGATAAAACTGCAGAGGATTAGACTTTTGCAGACCCCTGCCTCTGCTCTACCTCACTGATTGTCTCTCAAGAAGCTCACAGAAAAAGACCGCCGCCATAATCCTGATTCAGGCTCTGCAACATTACAGCCATTCCCACAGATACAATCTGGATTTATGTACCTGCTGCAACCTTTCTGTCATTTCCACTCGGTTACATCAGCAGCAGCTCCGTGTGTAAAACCTGAAAGAGAGTATCCTGCCATTAGGTCATGCAAAATTAATGAATGCAAACTTTTAAAATGTACTGAGCCGGGTGATTTGTTCCTGTGTGTGTACAGTATGTAAGCCTTATGTGTGTGCGGCGAGGGTGGATGTGGATTATGGCTCTGCTACCTCTGTAATGAGCCAAAACCTTAATCCACACCTACCAGCTACTAAGTCCTAACCTGACTCACCTCCCCACACTCACTCACAACTTCTCGCTGCATATGTATAAACGGCAACATGACACAGGTTCATGAAGTGTGTTATCATATAAGATTGTGGTGAAATTAAAAATGGTTTTCTATGTCAGCAGCAATTATATTCTATTTTTAGATAATCTCTGCATGATAATGATGTTTATGTTTCTGTACCTACATTTTCTCCAGGGGGATGTTTTCTTTTGACATAAGCTCTAAATAAGAATCTTGACATTATTCCTCTTTGAGTTTTATTCATTATAACTCAGACTAATAAGCAACCTAGAGGATTACCATCGAATTTGGCGTATTAGTCACACCAGTACGGAAAGTCTGTTTTTCTGGGATGTTCTCAAAGGGAAGGGGATTTAAACTGTGTTCCTGTTTATGTTTGAGTTCACAATGTGCAGTGTATGTGCAACTGCGAAGCGCTTCTCGTGCTTCTCTGTTTTCTGTATGGTAGTCGAGTACAGCACATAAAATATTTGTAGTTATGAGGTACAGATGGCCTGTACAAGCACAAAAATATTGCCCAGGGATAGTCCTCTTAATGCGTACAATGGTACTGCGCAAGTGGTGGAGGGTGTACAACGCGACTGCGCAATGTTGGATTCAGGAAATGGAGAAAAATCGCGGAAATACTGAGAGCTTTTCGGCTTCAAAGCTGTGTACTGGCGGAAGGTGGAACCAAGTTGTCCATAGTATATACAGTCTATGGTTTCCCCCTTTTGTATAGGACGCATCTTACTTTAAATAACTTGAAACATATCGAAAGTGCATCTTATACACTAAATTTTTGGTATTGGACAAACAATTTTGCAGCAACCCTGTTTCCAAATGCAGACGAATGCACACAATCAGAACTCAGGCTAACAAATCTGTCGGCCAATGGGAGAACCATCCACAAGTGAATATGTCATCCAACCCAAAGGACTTCCTCTTTGAAAGGCCCTGCTCACATTCATACCGTTTTATTTGTCCTTATAATTTGGGCGGCGTGCTGCAGCTTACAAGTGTGATGTCCTTTTATACACCGGCTGAAGGGGGAGAAAGTGCTGACATGGACACTTGTCCCATGAATTTTGTGCCAGCGGCAGGAATCTGCTGACACGGCTGACTGTCTCAGGAAGAAATCTCAACAAAGAAGTGAAATTAAATGCCGACAACTTCTTCTGTGCTTCCTGGAGTCACACCCTGACTTTAATATTTCATACCTGCTACTTCCACATCTTTGTATTGACAACTTTGACTTCTGTAAAGCAGCTTGGGGAATTAAGGAAAAAGACAACACAACAGAGTGTTATTTCATGGCTTGTGATTCTGCCTGTGGTTAATATAGAGTTTAGTAGACAGCCGTTCAGTATTTTCTGTAACAAAAGAGACTTTTTGCTCTTGGATTCCTCAGTTGACACCAGTTAACTATAATAAGCTGCAACCTTAAAACATTATGGAGACATTTTCCCTTTTTGTTTCCTATCTGGGAAATTAGCCAAAATATAGTCTATTGAAAACAAATAATATCTAATTCTTAAAAGATATCATCCATTACTTTGACTGAGTCTTTTGGAGACATCTTAAAAAACATCATTATTCTAGTTTTCATATTTCCATGCATCTTAATTCCCAGAATGAATGACATTAAAACATTCTGTTAATAAGATAACAGATGGTAGTAGAGCTCTTTAAAAAGAGCATTTCCCTGAACTAAGTGAAGAGAAAAATCTAGTCATAAGACTGTCCACAGGATGAAATTTGGGTCAATATGGTGCCTGAAGTCTTGGAGTTGATTCCTGAAATTTCACCTAAAGGAAAAATTCACTCAGAATGAAATTCACAAATATTGGGGTTGTCATTCTGAACTGGCATCATGGACATGTTTGTCAGTTTTGAGTTTTCTTGCTTCATTTTCAAATGAAAAGGCGGAAATACTGTCATGTATTAAACCATTTTCAAACTCCCTTCCCAGTATTTCAGGCGGTCACAGAGTTTGCAGTGGTTTCTCCCCTCAAGATGCTGCACTCTTTTCATTTATTTCTCATGATTGCATGACAGCCTTGGTGGAGAGATGAAGCCTGACCTTGGAGAGACTGTGGCTCCTTGTAGTGCTGTGGGTACCTCAGAGATATCCCTCTTACGCAGACCTACTCTATCCCTTTATGAGACGGTACAATGTTTCAGGGACATAGCTTTAAAAGGAAACCTAAAATTTAATTCCTTCTGTACGTCTTCATGTGTTTACCAATAAATGGTTGAACTGATTTGAGATCTAACCACGACAAAGCCCTCGGAGGCTTGTTGAGAAACGAGAGCGGATGTATTGATCAGTCTGTCATCCTGATCAATGATCCTATGAGATATCCTATGAGGTATTTTTAGAGCATTCACAGATCATCCTGTTATATTTTCAATAAGTGTCTGCCTCTGGTCTCTGAAACTGTTGATGCAGGGCTGCAAACAACTGCAGTTCCTCGCATGTCCACTTGAGGCTCGCTGCAAGAGCTAGAGAATCCCTGTAAGGTCTTACTGTCTCCACACACGAAGTGCAAGTAAAATCATTTGCACAAATGAATTACATGTTAGGTCAATGCAAATACGCAGTTAGACGCTCCTACTACTCTGGCCACGCCAATGACGCAAATTAGATGGGAGCTGCAAACGTCTCAACTTGAGCGGATATTCGCGTCACAGTAACTGATCAGCACAAAGGTTGCCGGGTGATGTATGAAAACGGGCGGTTGTTCACTGGTATCTAAAATGGACGATAGACTGTTGGTGTCCTGAATTTTATGATACCATTTCTTTCAATTACCGAAACCGGAATTAAAAAAAGGAGCAAGTGAGTGAGGAGGCTGGATTACTTGGTAAATTGTAAAAAAACCTTTGTCTATCACTTGATCCCGCCGGTTCAATCGGCAGGGATTCCCAATGAAATTACTGTTGACACCAGATAATCCAAGTAAATACTATTCATTCATGCATCTAGATTCGCGTAGATGATTGTACTCAAGCTTTATGTGAACGCCTCATTACACCAAAATGCGTGTTAAAAACAAAATCACACAGCCAGTGGGGTTAATAATGAGTTGTTTGTTAGTCGTTAACTAACAGGATTATTTTTGTTATTAACTTTTAATGTGGAAAGAACACAGCACTGTGGCAGCAGACAGTATCTTTACCAAGCTAGGAAGTCTACGTTGTTGGTTGTGAATGACTCTATAAGCTTGCTCTTGTGTGTGAATGATGTCAAAGGAGCTGAGAGAGCTGGTTCTTTCTGGATCAAGTGATCTGGGGCACTGAAAAGGATCTACAGTGAGGTTGTTTACCTGAGAAGAAATAATTTCCAGACCTGCTCTCACCTGCTTTTGAACAAGAACATACAGCCTCTCTGGATTTGAAGTAATCCATGGGTCATTTTTGGATATAATGTGTTCTGACTCTTGTAAATTTTAATGTTAGAAGAAGAAGAATTAGTGGATTAACTCTTGAGTAGTAGTGTTTTTGTTGACAGAGTTACATTTCAGATTAACTGTACACTGACTGGGCTACACTATTTAACCAAAGTGAAAGCACATCTGAGACTGCACTTTGACTCACTAGCACCACTCATCCAGTATCTGTTTTCTTCTGTTTCTGCAGGACAAGTCATGGTGACCACATGGTGAGTAAGAAAGCACACATATGTGGCTCTTCTCAACAAACTTTTCCAACTCTTCTGGAGGCATCCAGGGTATTTTCCAGACCAGATGATACCCCCTAACTTTAGGTCTACCCTACAATCCCCTTTCAGTTGGACATGTCCGATAAACCTCCAAAAACAGCAAGGTATCTGATTAGAAAGCCTCCTAATCAGACCGTCAAACACACCTCAACAGGCTCCTGTCAGAGCAAAGAAGTCGTTACCTTGTCTCAAAGCCTGAGACTTAGCAGAGTACTGTTTTGGGTATTTTCTGAGTTAAGAGCATCTATTTGTTACCTAAGCTCTGTTGTCAAATTAAGTTTCCTCACCCTGTGTAATTAGTTATTAAAGATCTTGATGTTTTAATGTTTTTAAGAGAGCAAGCCTGTAACGTTGAAGCTTGAGTCTCTGGGAGAAAGCAGGACAGAGAAATATAAGAGAAATGGTTGGTAGAAGCAAAGTACAAACCACAAAGATGAAATGTTTCTCAGGGATTCAGGTGTGATTTTTAGATATGCATGTTGGTGTCTTGTTTGTCTCTCTCCTGCACTCTAAACTCTTCCTGTATTAGCCGAGATGCCTTTAAGGGGGGCTGACAGCAAAATGGATTAAATGGGGTTTGCTGACGGAATACATATCAAATCTGCGGGCATGCAATTGTGGGCTGCGGCATTTGCAAGGCTTATGACTTCTGCTGAGGCTGTGGATCCATCATGCCTTGCACTGCTCTTCTCTCCTCCTTGCATTTCAGATTTGAAGGAAGGAAAAGAAGGAGAGGGGAAAGGAAAGGGCTCTTGATCACCTGCTTTGTCTGAAGTGAGTCACCTTGCAAATATATGAATAGCAAATGCAGGAAAAGTAATCTTGTGGTGCACTGGAACATCCTCCTATTTGCATACCTGCCAGCCCCTGTAGTTAGCTACAGAAATCAACACTTGGCACCTCAAATATGCAACGATAGGCATATATTTTCTTCCCTTTTCCCTCCAACTGTCTCTTTTTTATTTCATCTCGCTTTTCTTTTGTCTCCTTTACACTCCTGTCCATCTTTTTCCCCCACCTCTATTTGCTTCCCCCCTCCACCTCACTCATCCTTTCCCCTCCTGGCTCCCTCAGACATCAGGGTATATTTCCCCCCCGGCAGGATGCATGACAGGGGAGCAGGTGGAACAGAGAGCAAATGACAAATCTCCCTCTCCCTCTCTCCCCACGTCTCACCCACTGTCCTGCCAGGGGCCCTCCTCAGCGCTCCAGCCTCCCTCCTTCCTGCACCTTCCTATCCTATCTGACCACATTGATATTCAAATCTAACTCCGGCTGCATTCCACCTTGTCTTTTGTCGTGAAGGTCTCGCCAAACCACCAAGGAAGGGATAAGAAAGGGATGGGTTTCTGTCCCCACCCTTAAGCCTGAAATGACAGATCTCATGCTGAAGGGGGAGCACTCATGTCCACCTCAATAGCCCACGGTCTGTGCTGAAATAACCTGGAGTTGGTTTGTAAAAACGGTGAAACGGCTTAGCGACGATTACCCATCCCTGAAAAAGAGTATTCTGGATCTTAAACCGGTTTTAAACTACAGTATGAAAGACACAATCCTCAAAGAGCAAAATCACAAGAACATGGTAGAGTAGTCTTTGTGTGTCTGTTCTTGTTGTCATTGACATGGTCCCACATGACATGCAAGTACAGCCAAAGTCTCACATCTGGCCATGAGCTATCATTATCTTTGCCTTCTCCTCTCTGATGAATCTGCCCCAGCTCCTTGCTGAGGAGCCGGGCTTTATTTAATGGGCTCTTTCAGCCGTGGTTTGCTTGGCGGAAGCCTCTTACAAACCCATTTAAAGAAGGGTCTATGGATTTCATGGCTCCCCGGGCACTCTCTGCTTCTTTCAATAAGGTGAAGTCCAAGGCTTTATCCATCCGTCAATGGGCCGGGGGAACAGTGGATGCAGCAGTTTTTAATCCCAGAGATGCCACTGTCCACTGTATGCTTGGCTGTTCCCTGATAGGAGACCTGAGTCACCTGGGGACTTTTTAGTTCCTGTGGCAGAGCAGATTTATTGTTACATAGATGGGGATAACAACCGGGCACACTGGACACCGCCTGGAGGCAGAAGCATAGATGGAAGGACAGATGGAGGGAGAGAGAATGAAGACGCAGCAGATTGAAACGACTCAAGAAACTATGAGGTAGAAATTATTGAATCCACTGATGGGAAAGCTGCTGGGAAAATGTAGTGAACTCAACTAGCAGTGAATTCACATTCGATTGAGCTTCACTGCACTGAAGCCACCTCCAAGTGATATGTAGCAAGCTAGGCTCATAGACTGTATATACGATGGACAACTTGGTTCCGCCTTCCGCCTGTATATGGATTTAAAGCCAAAAAGCTCTCAGTATTTCTGGGATTGTTCTTCATTTCCTGAAACCACCACTTGCGCAGTAGCGTTGTACGCATTCGGCGAGAGAGTTGCTGTGATGGCACTCGGCTCAAACAGCGTATCCTCCGGTTGAGCTACGCAATCTTCGTATGCCCATAGGCTGTATCAAGTGTCAATCATAGAAATCTTGAACCCCCTAATAACTTTTAAAAACAGAGCTGTACAGAAAAAAAGAGGTCTTGAGCACAAACCAGTCTTACAATAACTACATGTCAACATCACAAGCAGGAGGGAGAAAAATTTATATTCTGTGTAATAAATTTCTAAAGTTTGTCCACAACTCCATAAGCTTTGCTGGCAGAGGCGGGATTTATGACCTACGTATACAGCAGCCTGTCACCAGATGGCGCTGTTCTCGGAGTGGCTTCACCCAGCATGGAGGCAGATGCTGTCCATTCTATATTCAGTCTGTGCTTGTTACACTAAAACACATTTATTGTTTATGATTTTATTCATAACTAACATATTTGTACTAAAGCAGTTTAAGTCAAAAGTGATCCTTTTTGGGGCCATTCTGTAAAAACATTATGGGCCATAATTAAGACAAACTTTAGCCAAATACAGAAGCTTAACTTTGTTTTTTAAAATCACTACCAAAAAACATTATCAATGCTTTTTCCCCAAGAAATATTTCTGCAAGACAATAACAATCTGTTCTGTATGTACTACAACAGCATGGCTCTGATAGTAGAAGAGTCTGGCTGTTGAACTAGCCTGCCTGTCGCCCCATTGTGTCACCCATAGAAAAGATTTGGCATTAATATACAGATTGATATGTCAAACGAAACTTCGGACTGTTTTTGCACTTCTTTTATTTGCATTTGCTGTAAAATATTAGACAGCGAAACTCCATGGCATCCTGGCAGAAACCGTTACATTCCTTGACACAGTAAACGAACAGTTAAGGTCTAATGCCAAATTAACCCTTTATTGCCTTTTGTATCATATTTGATACATACTTTTATAATACTTCTATCAATCAATATGATCAACAAATTACTAAAAAAAAAACCTTAACACAGTCCGATAAATGATAAAAATGTCCTCTTGTGGTTTATCAGTTTCCAAAAACATCTGATGTATCAAACGAGATAAATAAATATATTTGTGAAATTTTAAGGACATTTCTTTGGTTTTCAGTAGTAAGTGGAATAAACATTTCAGCTCCAAAAAATTTGAATTTTCTGGCCATAATTTGTGGTTTCAGGCATTATAGGGTTATATATTTTTTTAAAAACATCAAAAGTAGAAAAAAGTCTGCAAAAATGAATTATTCAACGATTTCCTTCCTATCTTCAGAGCCTAAAGGGCAATTCCAGACATCAGGGTGACGTGCCTGCAGTCTTTTAACCCTGTGATGGATGGTTCTTGGAGACCAGGATGATGATAGAGTGTTTGAAGCAGGAGAGAACTTCACACAGCCTGAGATCTGTTAAAGATCTGGGTGAAAATGAGGGCCAGCTGGTCAGCCCTGAGTCTCAGTAATGGGGGGTACACATCATCAGGTCCTGGAGCTTGGACCTGGTCTTCTGCCTCTGAAGGAGATGACACACCTTCTCTTCACTGATCTGTGGGCTGGTGGGGGGTCACAGTAAAGGTTGATGGTTGTGAAAACCTGCAGTAGAGGCCATTCAGGTCAATGTTATCTACAGAGTGGGGGGATGGTCTTCTGTAGTTGAGTATGTCCTGCAGGCTCCTCTACACTGACGTAAAGCTGTCTGCTGAAAAGCTGCTTTTCAGTGTCGCTCTTCTTACCTACCCTGATCTCCTTTGTTGGTGTATTTCTGACCTGCTTGTACAGAGCCTGTGTCCCCACTTTGGTAGGCCTCCTTCTTGGCCTAACGCAGTTCCCACAGCTTAGGTTAGAACTAGGGTTCATTATTGTATCTGCAGAATGTCTTGGTCTGCACACACCTGTCCTCACAAAAGCTGACGTAAGGTATTACAAGGTCAGTGAGTTCGTTAAGAGTTGTAGCTGCAGCTTCAGAAACTCTCCAATCAGTGCAGTCAAAGCAGGCCTGAAGGTCCAGCTTTGACTCCTTCATCCATCTCTTCACAGTCCAGCAACTAACAACAAAAAAAACAGAAACATGACATTAATTCTTCTTCCAATTTTACTTTACATAAAATACCTATATTATTGTTATGCTCTTTCCTATTTACATTTGTAGCTCTAGAAAAAGATGCCTCAGCTTGAGACATTTGAGTGCCATTCGTTACTACTCATTCATTTGACCATCTGTCTCTGCCTCGGCTACTTGAATACAAATGAAAGGCTTAGTGGCTGAGGACCAATCGATGTATGATTCAGTTAGTTGGGAGCAAATAAAATGTGGTCAATTTTTTGCCCTTTGATAAATCAGTAGCAAGAAACATCCACACCTCTCTCTCAGAAATAAAAGTGTTTTCTATTCTCAGTCTCTTTGACTGCGCCCCAGAGAATAGCAGGGCAGTGGTTAATGGCATTATCAGAGGCAATCACTTCACTGAGGTCAGAGAATGAGGACTTGAAAGCAATAAAATTCTGCACTATGAGGAATTATCCACCAGCACACACGCAGCAACACAGGCGTGCACACACACTATGATATTTCTGTGGTGGTAAAATAAGGGAAATCACTTAAAAATGGATAAACAATAAAAAAAAACCATTTTTTTACCACATGTGTCAACAGAAGAGGACGAAATGTACGCAAATTTTCAAATCATGAGGTAAACATATACTGTAATGAAATATACAGTATGTACCCTGGTTCATTGAAAAATCACACAAGAGATCACAGAGACTCACTAGACTAATAAGGTCGTTGCAATAGGCTTTCCTTACTGGTTTGATGGGACGAGACGAAAATGACGAACAGAGTTAAAAAAATTCAGTCAGTTAAACGCTAAACATATAGGAGCAGCTTCAGTCCGCACGTGCACACACGTGCAGTTTTGTTTTCATTGACGATGACGTTGACGAAAATATTTTTGTCAACGACATGTTGACGAAAACAACACTGCACTAGACTAATAAGGTCATTGCAATAGGCTTTCCTTACTGGTTTATCCAGTAAGAATGACCTGTCCCCAGCAACGTGTGAGGTGACAACCAAGTCATGCTATTGAGGAAGTATCAAAAGGGAGGTATAGAGTCTGACCTCTTTGTGTTTTGCTTTCACTTTTGGTGTAGCTGCTGTTCTGTTCATTATTTTATATGGAAAAAACTAAAAAAATAAGCTTAAGTTTGCTGGCGTAACTATTGGCTTGCCAAATATCAGCGTCGCATGCTGGCATTAGCTTTCAGCTCAAAGTTAGATTTGCCTCTCAGAGATAAAAAATGACTTTACACCTCAGGTCTTCAAAAATATTAACAAAATAGTGTGTAATTGTTTACAAGGGTGACCATATGTCCTCTTTTACACGGACATGTCCTGTTTTTTGGGGGGCTGTCCGGCCTTGTCTGGCCTTGTCCGGGGGAGTTTATAAAATCCTTCAAATGTCCGAGGTGGACTTACTAAGTTAGAAGCGCATAAAAAACACTCGACCCGACCCGAAAAACTCTCAAAATTTTCTAAGCATGACTCTGTGACTCCGCCCCCGCATCGTCATGTCCTCTTTTTGGGGATTCAGAATATAGTCGCCCTATGTTTACTATTCACAGTTAAAAGAAAGAAAGTGCCAAAATTTGCTTTAATCAAGCTCCTTTATTTCTTGATTCATGATCTGAAAAACTGACTTGGTTTTGTTCAGAGGGGAACAAAGTCTTTCAGTAATAGTCCATGTGTAAAAATCCCTCACTCCACGCCATCAGAAGAAGCCACAGCCAGTCAGCCATGAGGGAGATGAGGGATAAACAGGAGTGGCAGAGAAATCCCTTAGCCCTTGAGGAAGGTGATATATCCAGTGACATCTACAGATCAGGATATGATAGCCAAATGAGCCATGGAAAGAGTATGCAAATCACGGGGCTGCAGTTTGCCAGCAGCCTAGACCCACGCTGTTTCTGTCATGTTCACACCGCTCTTTTGACATTAAGGATTTCAAACAAACCGCATCTGTTAGACTGTGTGAAACGTTGCCTTTTTCCAACCTTGATTTACAGTATCTGTGAATGAATAGGTCTTCATTTATCAAGAGCAAGCCGCATTGTGTAAAAATGTGCATTTTGTTAAGCTTACTGTAATCGTTTGAGTCGAAGGATTTGAGTTGAAGGCCAAAGGGAAAGAGCTGTAATAACATAAAATGTTTTAGTTATATTCCGCACAAATATAATATAAATCATTTGCTTTGAATAACTAAAGATCCACTCTAAATACGATGACTCTGCTCCGTATTCATATTTTGATGAAGAATAGCTCTTTAAAAAACTGAAATGCTGCCTTGCTTTGTCTGCTGAACAACTTATTGTACTCTGAAAATATATATAGTGCTTTCATTCAAATGAGCATTTCAAGTTCAGACAGCTGAAAATTGCATTCCCATTACACAGCGGGTATACGTATTCATTTTGCTGCTTTGATATGTACTGTAAGTGCAACGTAATGATTGCAGTGTTTCTCATTTTTTATTCAGAGGAAAATTTGACTTGAAATTACGTGAGGCATAAAAATCTGTAAAATAAAGGTGCAGACACACCTGAATATCAGAGTTTATCCTCTGTTAGACACCCCGGATGCTTCTCAAAAGTTATGTCTCCACTTTTGTCAAGCATGTTTACAGATTTTGCATCTTTTCAGTCTCAGTTTGCTCCTTTTTTTGTGAGGACTTTTTAAGAGCTGGGCTCAGCAGGAACTGAAAAGATGGAAGGGAAACATGCAATCTGGGCCACCAGTCTGCAGGGTAAACAGACAAAAAACACACACCTGTGGGCAACTTGAGGCAACAAATTTACCTGATTCGCACTCTCAACCGTCGACAAAAGAAAGAAATGCAAGGTTACATGCAAACTTTTAGTTTAACAGGTCAGATCAGAGGTTGTATTTAACAGAAATGGTCAATTAGCCATTAGTTTTATGTGATTCTGAAATCTTGAAGACATTGCTTGAATATTTTGGACGAGTTACAGAGAATATCTGAATGATATATTTGTCAGAGCATCAGTTATGATCATATCGCTATTTGACACCTGCTGAATGTAACCCCTCTGCCAAAAGGTCTTTGTTTGCAGAAGCCACCTGTTTTACGTCCATTTTGATCACCTTTGTTTCTATTGTAATTCAGGTTATCCCTCATGCAGTAGTAGCAGTGTAATCTGGGGAGAAAAATCAGGATGTACATACTGACAATAGAAACAGTGATATTTATTGCCATTTGTTACATCAGAACCATATGTAGAAAAAAACTAATATAGTAAAGTAGGCCTGTCAAACTTTTGTAAGATTCAGATGTTATGTCAGATTAGTCTTGGATATAGATCGTGTCAGAAACAGACTCCTTGTCTCTGTGTTTATGTATTTGTTCTGTGCTTTCTTAAAGGGAGGACGTCAAAGGAGAACCAGAATCAGTCTCATTGGCCAAGTGTACTCAGGTAAGAACTCAGAATGCAAACATAAATATACACCTAAAATAAGTAAAAAAAAAGAAGCTTGACAGAGATAACGTGTTTCCTTGTCGAGCAGCCTGAGGAGCTACTGAGCCACAACCATCCCTGAGAGACGGAAAAAAAACAAGCAAGAGCCTGCCCTGCAATCCAAGCAACAACAACAACAACAGAGCTGGTAAGTGCATCTCAGAGTTGTCAAACTCTATAAATTAACTTAATCCATAAGCAGTGATACCAACCCACTGAGCAATAGACCGCTGTTAGACGTCTCTTTCTTTTTTTTTACACCTAATTTCAACCATCTAGATTCTGTACATTTTTAGACCAAATTTAGACGTTGCACTTTAACCCATTATTGGACAACTATTTATCTCTATAAGTGAGTTGCATGACTGATCTCTATGTACTTAACCAAAATAATAATGATAGCCATTGAGCAATATACAGTGGAGTATAGATATAGTCCAGATTCAGACTTGATCTAAACTTGGTCTAAATTTAGAAGTCTAAAAAAACGTTTATTTTTAGACTTGTGGTAGCCTGATTTTAGACCAGTCGTCGAGGCTACATTTAGACGTCTATTGGACCTCTTCTAGACCAAAAAATGCTCAGTGGGAATGTTCAAGTCAAAGTAGAAGTCTGCAGAAGTCTTGTTTATCTTCAATAGAAATATTGACCCTAATGGGAATTTTAGCAAATAATCATGGTGTGTATTGAATTGTTCAGTTAAATGTTAATTTGTCTTTCAGGTAGGTTGATACAAATCTATTACCTGTCAGCAAAATCATGTAGACATTTTTTTCCAATGTATAAGTCAATAAATCAATTTCAATCAGTAAAATCATCTTAAACCATTTTTTGTGTCAGCCTGTTTTTACCATGTAAATTGCCCCCTCCTGATTAGACAAACCCATTTGTGTGTTAGCCCCTCTGTTGGTACTGTGATCTGCAAAACCACCTGTTCACTATACACGGTCTCTTTCATACTGTAGGTTCTTGTATAACTGGCTGTTTTCTATTCAGCAGTAGTTGGACAGTCTTTACAGGATGAACAGTGTGCAGCAATTCATGGAAACAGCACTATGCAGCTCAATCAGAGTTGTAGCTGGTGCTCTATGAAATGTCACACTATCAGGGCATCATACATTTCTATTTCTTTACGTCTCCTCTGGTCTTGCCTTACTGAAACACTAGACCTCTCATAATGTTTGTTGACCCATGCAGGACTCTGCTGTGTCTCAATTTCAGTCTTGGGAACTTTCCAAATGAGTTCTCACCGTAAAGAAAAACATGCAGCATAAATAAGGTTTGAATTTCAGTTAAATTATTGCTTTCCGGCAAAAACTCCAAGAGATATCTTTTTTTAAAGAAATAGATTTTCTAGTTGATATGGATTTGCATTAATATTAATGCTTCCAAAAAGTCATCTTCTAAATCCGTACTGCGGCCCCACTCCTCCTGCTCTCCTGCCGCTCAGACCATCTGAATCCCTGCAGACTGCTCTGTTTTTAGCCGAGCTGGATAGAGTGCGGGGGAGGCCGGACCAGTGGGGATGTCCTGGTGCAGCCTGTCCTCTGCTGTACGCCGGACTCCTGCACGGCCTTCCCATATTAATCAGATTTGCCGCAGCAGCCATATGTCCGAGCAGCGTGATAAACCCCGGCTGCTACCTGGCACCCACAGGATGCACTGTCAACCCAGTGTGTGTGTGTTTATGTGTGCCTGCATGGGTGTGTATTTCACACGTTGCTTCTCCAGAGACGCTCCTTCAAGGATCTGTTGAGACATCAAAAAAACACTGTTGGTGTAAATATTACAGGTGGTTTAGTGTGTTTTTCAGTTTCTTGAGGATGCTCAGAGTTTGAAAATTAAAATGAATGATACCGGGGTGTCAGATTTCGCACCCAAGGAGGAGGAAGTCAATTTTGGAACAAGTGATTTCCAGCCTCGGTGTTTGGGAAATACATGCGGCTACGTACGTCACTGCAACAGGAGATTTGGCACTATTGACCTGCATTTAAAAAAGGCTCATTCCTGTCTCCATCTGTCACCTTATGCATAACAGCCTGTTATATATTTAAAACTCTTACATAAATCAGATCATGAGGTGTCATATATTTAGGCACAGTGTGTATCACACTGTTTAGTAACCCTGTACATAACTCATTGTAGTAGCAACACTGGTGACACAAAAAGCAGCCTCAAACACCGAGCTTTCTATTAAATTTCACAAAAGAATACATGTACCTCAATCCATAATTCATGATCCACACCTCACATGAGGCAACACCAACACTTGTCAAATATGATTAACTGTGTCTGTATCTTACATAAATCTAATTCCTCTCTGTGCCTCTGCCTGTAAATCTGCAAACAATCGTCAGCCAGTGTGCTCATGAGATTTGTGTTTGAGGTTTGTCAGGTATTTGATTGTCACACGCAGGATTATTGAATCCCAAAAATAAATTTGTAGGATGCAGACCGCATTTTTTAGGGTCTTATGTAAATAAAAGTCGCCCTTTTTTATAAGGAAGGTTCATTCAAATGTCTTTATTATAATAAAGGAAGATGTTATAGCTGTCTGCAGAAGACTGTAAAGAAAACTCTGTTCATTTCACTCAAACTGTACAGATCACGCTTATTTCAATGATCATGTATCAATAATTGGATTGGCAAGTGAAGTGTTATTTTAATATCTTCTTCTATTATCTTCCTCACATCGTTCCATTCGACAAAAATAAATAACTGTCCCAGAGATTATAACTTTAAGTCTTTTATTTTGAAATTCACACCACGCATGATTCATGCAGCTGCAAGGTTTTAGGGGTCAGCTGAGGCTGAATGCAGAAAACTGTGAGCTTTACATCATGTAATCCACTATAATCTCATACCAGTATAAAAAGTGAGTGTAGGACACTGCTAAAACTCAAATCTTAGCAACTGTATTTGTTGAATTCTTAGTTAAGAGATGTCACTGTGCTCAGTATAAGCAACTTGTCCAGAAATAAACCTCATTTGAAAATACAACAAGGAAAAAAAAGGCCTGAAATGATTGTTGCTTCAAGTCTGATGCACTACTTAAAACTGAATGAAGATGATTCTTGAAAAGAAGTATTACATGTTGTGTCAAGAAAACTCATTAAATAATTTCTCTTCCTGCATTGGCAGTCATTGTTACACATTACAAGCAATTCAAGCCTTTTTATTCAGATTTGTCGGCTCAATATAACTTGTATTTACTAAACGGAGATATTTTTTATTTGAAGATGCTGTGAGGAAATTTTGGTTAATATTAATATTGGCGTCCCCTGTGGACAAAGTGATGCATCTTATCTATTGTTCCGTACATGTGAAAATAGTGTTTTCAGATGAAAAATAAACCTATCCTGTCTTCTCACAGTGAAATGTATCACCTATTGTGAGTGGTTGCAATAGAAAACAATCCAAAATGCTGTTTTAACAGTCTGCTATCAATCATCTGGTCTGACACCCACCCCTTTACAGGATTAGTTACTGCAGTGAAACTATCAGACTTGTCGCTGATGGTCGTCTTTGCCTGATGAGTATCACTACTGTTTTGAGGCATTAGTTTCAGTCTGGACCTGTTGGTGATCAGTTATATTTAAAAAAGTGCCCTTAATAGTATCCCTACAAATATTAAAATCTCAGTAAGTGTATTTGCTGTTTTTAGAGACAAAAATGATCTCCTTAGACTCCGGATATCAGATTTTTGTACAATGTTCAGTTTACACCTGAAGGGTTGAAGCTGCATCAAGCCAAGGAGGCCTACCAAAGGGGACATGGTCCTGTACAAGCAGGCCAGGATTTTGCTAACAAAAGAGCTTCAGTGTTGAGAGGCCTGCAGGACATCAAGAACTCCAGAAGACCATCCCCCCACTCAGCAGGTAACAATAGACTGGCTGAGGACCTAAACAACTTCTACTGCAGGTTTTTACAATCAGTGCCAACCCCTTCAGTTCAAACCTACCTGCACCCCCTACCCCCCACTGTGACCCCAAACTACCTAACCCTAACCCTTTCAGAAGCACAAGATCAGGAAGGCTCCAGGACCTGAAGGAGTGTCCCCCCTCCTGCCTGAGAGAGTGTGCTGACCAGCTGGCCCCTATCTTCACCCAGATCTTAGACAGATCTCTGGAGCTATGTGAAGTTCCCTCCTACTTCAAACACTCTTTATCATCCTGGTCCTCAAGAAACCCTCCATCACAGAGTTAAAGGACTACAGGCCCATCGCCCTGACATCTGAGATTGCACTATGGACACCACATTCAATACCACCATTCCTGAGGTGAAGTCCACCACAGCTTACCGTGCCAACGTCCACCTGGCACACCAGTGGATCACCAGCTTCCTGCACCACTGACTGCACCAAAGGGGACCCGTATTTCAGTCTCCTAAAATTTGCAGACGACGCCACAGTCATCGGTCTCATCTGAGATGGTGATGAGTCTGCATACAGATGGGAGGTGGAGCAGGTCTTCTGGTGCGGTCAGAACCACTTAGACTCAAGACTTAGAAGATGTTAGTGGACTGTGTAGGGGGAGCCTTCCCGCACTCACTCCCTTCTCAATCCTCAACAGCCCTGTATCTGTTGTGGTTCCTGGGATCTACCATCTCCGGGGACCTGAGGTGGACCTCCTTCAGGAAAAAGACTCAGCAGAGATTTTACTTCCTTTGGCAACTTAGAAAGTTCAACCTACCTCAGAAGCTGCTGATCCACTACTAAACCACCATGTGTTTGGCAAGACAGGAAAAGACAACAACGGACTCTCAGGTCTGCAAAAAAAAATCGTCAGGGCCAACCTGCCCTCCATCCAGGACTTATACCAGTCCAGGGTCATGAAACAGGCAGCTAACATCACTGCAGACCCCGCACACCTGGGACACAAACTGTTTAAACTCCTCCCCTCAGATAGGTGTTACAGATCACTGTACACCAGCCGACACAAACGCAATTATATTCCCCCGGCTGTTCCTCTGATGAACTCCTGATGTTCAATAACCTGTAAATGAACACTATGGCTGTAAATAACCATTTAACTGTTTATCTATAAAACCTTTATATCTACCATCATTTATAACAACTCACTTTAAATGAACTCACCTCTATAATTCATTATATGACACTTCTAAACAACTCCTCTGAGTGATAATAGGCATTATAACAACATATAGCAATATTGTATGTAGTGCAATAAGCAGTGAGCATGAGCGCTTATAAATGTATGGCTTGTAATGTATTATACCTTAATGCAATCATAATAATCTAGTATTGTTGTAGAGTATTTTTGTCTGACACTTTACTGATAGCCTCAAAATATTAAGTTCTTTCAGTCATTCTTCAGTGTATTAACGAGACATTTTCTGAAGTTAGAATCATAGAAATTATTTCTTTTATAATATATACAATGAGTTCTCGATGAAAGTTTATAAATAAGTAATATTGAGTGTGATAATGGTTATTAAACCCAGAATTCAAAGGACTCTGCTCTCTGCATGTAACACTTCATAAACACTCATATAAGCTGCTATAAGAGAGTTGTTATAAATCCTAGTAGATGCCTTTATAAGGTTAAATATATATGATTCATTATAAGAGGTGGGTTCGTATAAAGAGTTAGTGACATTACTCCAATTACAGTATACTTTATTTGTAAATTTTGCTTTCATCGCTTTATTTTTGCCATCTTGACAGGAGATGTTTATGTGGACTTGTTTGAATGTGGTTTAAACTCAGTCTTATTGAAGTATCTATTTACTTCCTTAGATTTGAGTTTTTACAGTGCATCGTGTGAAAACAACATGTGCTGCAGCAAAAACACAAGAAAACATGTTAATGTGCTCATAATGTTGTAGTTTTGCCTTAATGGTCACAGCTGTAGCTATCAAATATTCCATTATTTTCAACAGGAGCCCTGAAGGCAGACGAATGTTGTTGGATGACATTATGATTTACTCAATCAGGCAGGGGTAGACCCTTCTCCATACTGCCCATGCATCTACCAATAGCCTATGTGCCCCCTTAATCTTAACGCTCAAACCCCCACCCACTCTCCTTCCACCCACCCACCCATCCTCACTCTGACATACGTCTGAGCAGGACCCAACACCTTTTGTCTTGGTCTGCCTCTTTGTTAGCAGCTGGTGGACAGAGCCGCAGCAAAACGCTAACAGTGATGACAGCAAACTGCAAGGCATCAGACATTTTTATGTCTCTAAATGAAGAAGAGGGTGATTGAAAATATGAAGTGAATGATTATTTGAATGTCTTTATTGTAATCAAGATGATAAACCTGCAAAGGGAGATGAAGTGAATTGGTGAATTTTTATTGTGTTTTTTTGAAACAATTTTTGATAGTTATTTATATTTATTTTTTTATTTATTGATTGTTTCCTTTATTATAAGGGGGCGTGTTTTATGTTGCATTATCTATCTATCTATCTATCTATCTATCTATCTATCTATCTATCTATCTGATCTAATGTGATGTCTGGTTGTGGTGAACAGCAGCATCATCACCACCAAAGTGAACTGCAGATAACCCCATGACGTGGCACATACACACACACGCAGTATGGAAAGCCTATATATAAAATCTACAGAGCCCTCGTGTTTCTGCTTCTGGTCTGAGCCGCTGATAAGGGCTTTGCAGGCGATCTGACTTCAGTCTACATGAAGGATGAGCTTCTCAGACAGAGACGTTGTCCATCCTGCTGATGCTCCCTCCTCGTCTCATCGTAAACTCTTGTGCACCCTCTGGTGCTTGCTAGTCTCCCAAACTTCTTTGTGTGTAGCCTGCTTTGCAGATTGTCTTCCTTGTCTGTGTGGTTGCTCATTATTCAGAGACAGACGGATCTCAGGTCATCTGCAGCTGCAGCAAAGGAGAAGCAGGAAAGATGGCGATCATCCATTAGACCGACCGGGCGCACGCATGAAATACGAGGACAACTTTTGGGAGGATCGCTTGAGGAGAAGATTGTACCAGTGAGTTTTGCGCTATATTTCCAGTTTCGCCAAAAGATTTCGGCTGGGCTTTCAAGGTCTGCGAGAACGTCGCTATGGTAGATCATGGGATATTATTTGGAGAGCGCCTCGTGAATGACCTGGAAAGAGCTGACCCCCCCTTTCTCCTTCTTCTTCGTGTCTCCTTTTAGTCCAGGTCCCTTTTGGAGAGGAAGGAAGGGAAGCCAGGGCGAGATTTTTTAGTCGGGTGGGCTCTCCATGCAGCCAAAGTCAAGTGGGTCTTCTCGCCAGTTAATATCCTAACCCATGTAGCGCTTCCTCGCTATGTCGCCTGTCGGTTTGTTGTCAAAGTGACACAAGGAAATGGACGCTTGGCGATGTTAAAACGAGGGCTCGCCTGCGTGTTTAGCGGAGTGTTTTGTTATTCTGACATGTCTGGTCAAGGGAATTACTGTAACCCCGGCTGTGCATGCGTTCTCCCCCCCTCCTCTCTCACTCCCTCTCCGGCCGGCTGTGCGTGCGTGTTGTTGCGCGTTAGCTTCATGGGAGAAGCCATTGCACGGATTGCTCTCCTCTCCCAAAGCAAGCCTCCATTAGCGACACAGAGGAGCTGGCATCCAGTCACACACACACACACACACACACACACACTCACACGGGCGCGCATACACACTCACCATGAAAGCCATGTCCAGTGTGAGGAGGATATATGTGTTCCCCCCCTCCTCCCCCGCTCCTCAATTTGAGAAAAGAAACCTTATCTGGTGACGGGTTTGACTCGCTTCTCCACAGGGTTGGAGCTACATGTTATCTAGATGGTTCTGAAATGATTGTAGACGCAGCCCGGCTCCTTTTTACCTTTGAGATCCTTCTGTTTTGTCTTGGTTTCTTGGGTGCTTATGGATTATACATTGTTCCCCCTGCTGTGTGTTTGGATGTCTAGCCGCTGTCACTGGTCTCAAGTCAGGTATGTCACACTAGGAGGGCTTCACCATAAAATGGAGGAAAGCAGATGAGTCTCCAAGGAGAGCCCTGGAGTCAGACAGGCTGAGGAACAAAGGTTGTGTTCAGAGAAAATCGCCCACAACTGTTTCTCCTTCTCCTCCTTCTGCTTCCTCTTCTTCTGCTTCTTTTTAATGCTCGGAAGTTAAGTCAGCCAGAAGAAGAAGAAGAAGAAGAACTGTGAGAAAAGTCAGGCGTTCAAGGTTACCTCCAGACTTAAAACTCCTTAGAAGAACTTGCTGCTTTAATTGAAATGATCTGAAACAGCTTCTCTTGTAAATGCGCTTGATTTCTCTTATTTTGGAGGACCTGCTTTTGTTCTGGAGAAGATGTGTTTGTGATGGCTGAGGGACACATGAATGAGATGAGAATTTTAATGCTGAATAATGCAGTGTTTGGTCTGTGCAGGTAGTTAATGTTCAACAAAGTGGTCCCAACACCCTCACACTCCCCCCCTCTACTGTGTGTGTGTGTGTGTGTGTGTGTGTGTGTGTGTGTGTGTGTGTGTGTGTGTGTGTGTGTGTGTTTGCTTGTGAAGAGGAGATAGATTCTTGGAGAAAGTTCTCACGTGTTACTATGTTATGACTGAATTATAGTTTCTTTTGTTTGCTTTTTGCACTTTTTGATGGCTTTAAATCTGCGTGCTACCTGCAAAATTATATAAGTTTTTCTTGAGTGGCAAATGCGCATGGTATTTTAAGATTTTAAGTATTTATCTGCAGTTTTATGCTGCAATAAAAGTTGTTTTGACCTCGCTTTGAGGCGTCTATTTGAAAATGCATCATTGTGAGACACGTGTGCTGTTTTGATGTGGCTTTTCACACATTATGTCCTTAAGGTGTCTGTTGGCCAGCCTGTCAGAAGAGGTGTGCAAGCAGGAGCGTGTTCCTCCGTGCGTGAGTGTGTGTGTGTGTGTGTGTGTGTGCTACGCTCTGCGGTTCCCCTGGCCACTGTGTGAAATCTTGCTGACAAGGAGACTGTGAGCTTGACACAGTGTGCTGCGACAATGCCGAGGCTGAGGAGAGCAATCAAAATGGTGGCGATGCTCCTTCTCCCTGGCGTGGCATGCAGGGCAAACAGGTTCTCAAGGAGGAGCTGATAGAGGACGGCCGGGCGGGGGGAAATCTGCTGCCGTCGACACATTTGTCTGGCAGACGGGTGCAGTGCATGTAGTCTAGTGGAAGGTGGATGTTCTGCAAATGAGCTCACAGATTTAACTTAGGATGTGATTGTCATGTTAGCTTTTATTTTCTGGAGGAAGCTCTCAGACTTTCTCAGGGATTCTGACACGGCGTGCCGTCTCTGTGCACTCAGACTTCCTGTAGAAACTTTCACAAGTCCCCGACACATTCTTGACTCATTCTCAGTTTGTAAAGCTCGTTCATGCTACACTAGCTGCTAATCTGCATGCTTAGGTTTTTCAGGTCAACCCACTGGGGTCATGTGGGTCAGGGCTGTTTGCTTTTGCTGTGGTGGCATAAAAGTGGTTCCAAGGAGCAACTTACTCCAGAGAGCTCTGAGTCTGAGGCCTCCAAGGTCTCCACATTTTCATTGCCTTGTTGTAGTTTTATTTTTTTTACAAATCTGACTGTGTTAATAAATACAGAGTGTACTTAGGTCCCTGCACTTCCTATTTGATCTTCTTGAGGCTCTGTCTTAAAGACGGCTCTAGTCTTGAAGTTCAAATCTTGAGTTGATTAGTTCTGATTGATCAACAAAACAGCTGTCAATGTGCCTGTCAAGATAAAACACCAAACATTTGGCCCAAGTTACAGTGTCTTTAAAGTAAGAAAAGGACTGTCTAATATTATAGAATGACAGAAAAGACTGGACAGTTCTTAATCACATTATTTAGCATTTAAAAACACCTTTAAGTCCAAACTAACAGTGTAAAGCACTTCTTAGTAGTGTCCCGATATAAAAATCAAATAAATGCAATGAAACGTTCTTTGACATTTAGATTTAATATTCATAGAAATGCTGCACCGCAACATCAGTGTGGTCTGAAACAGTGATTCTGGGGTTGTAGTGCTCTAAGTGTTCATTCTATGAAATACAGTTATTGTGGTTTTAAGGATAACACTGTCAACACACCTAAAACAGTGCTCATATGGCCCTCTGCAGTCAACTATGGTGCGCTGAAGGGTCAAAAATAGCATGAAATAGTGAATACTGAATCAAGGTAACATGCCAGTTTTGAACCTTAATCTCATTGTGATGAGGTTGTAAACTGATAGCCTTGGTTTAAGTTCTGTTGTGATCTTTTGGTATGTCACTTTAAATGAAGAAAAACTCTGATCAACGAGTATACCGTTGTGGAGGAGTATATACCAGGGATAAATGTGTTTAGTTGACAAAGTGTTGTCGCCCGAGGGGGCTGGCAAGGTTCGCATTATTATTGGTTCGTCAAATTAAGTGTTAATATCTCTATTAGTGTGTTGGCCTATCTCACCTGTAACACAGCCATCTAACACACACCAGAGCTGTAGCCTCAATAATGCCTTTATACTCTGGCACAGTTTGGCAGTATGTTAATCTAGAAAATAAAGATCAAAATCCATGTAGTTATATGTCTGGTTAAACTGGCATTCATCCACCCCACTGGAGGAAAACCAGCACTGACACAGATGTTAATCTGTAAGGAGGACTGAAAACTGGTGGTGCTAGCTCTGCTATTGATAGCCACACTTTGCAAACCAGTTTGACACTGTTGACCTGCAGACACAGTGATCTCAGGTTCAGCTGTGGGAAATAAATTATGCTTTAAACTTAGAGAAATTAGTTATATCTTAAACATCCCTGGTGAATACTTTGTGTCTAATCTGATTATCTTGACCTTTGTAGCTTTGGTTGTAGTTTGCATATCCAGGTTTGTAATTGGATATTTTTTTATCATGTTTAGAGCGCCGCAAAGACTATCCAAGCCAAACTGGTTGAATTGAATAGTTTAAACACCCTGTTACGGTTCAGCTTTAAGGTGACGGGGCAGAACTGAACCACGGTGGGTACTTAATAGAGTAGAATTACATAACTGGACTATTAGAAGGTATTTTAGGATTACTCTTAAAAAGCTTGTCTGTAAAGACGGAGGATTTAACAGGAGAGACTTCTGTGATGGTTTGGCCGCTGGAAGGAAGTGGTTGTGAGGCTCATCACTCACTCAGATACTTTTTTTCTGTGTGTCTCTGTCTCGCACTCCAACACACACATGCACAGCTGCCCCCCCCCCTCCCTGTCTCTCATTCACTCACTCACATTGGGTGATGCACTCCTCCATTGCACTCCTCCATTCTTCTCTACCTGGGGCAGTGAAGAAGGCCAGGGAGACGCACAAAAGCAAATTGAAATGCTCCAGTGAGTGCTTTCTTGACATGATGCATGGCTCATGAGATGCAGCCTGGCCCTGCTGCTACACTTGTAAGTGTGCTGGAACACACTGGCCCCAGTTCAAAACACTACAGTCATTACAGTGCAGCACAAAACCCCTTGCTTCTTTGTCTTGCATTTTTTCAGACCTCTTTTTTTATATTTCTCTTGTGCAGATATTTTGATTTTATTTTGAAAGTGTGCCTGTGGTGCTTGAAAAAACTGCAGTGAAGCTTTGAATAATTTAATGCCGTGTACATGGATTAATTGCTGAATGGCCTAGTGGGCACAGGCTTAGGGGCCCAAGGGGTCAGGGGGCCCAAAATCAGAGACTCAAGTGTACCTACTTTTCAGGAAGGTCGCTTTTAACAACGCAGAATGACCACAAACAGACCCAAAACAACAATAAAGAGACATAAATGAAGAAAAAGTGGAGTGAGAGACTAACAACTCTAAAGAGACACAAAATAAACAAAGATATGATGAAACAAAGTCACGCAAACAACTCCAAAAAGACATAACAGACTACAAAGAGACACGCAAAGGACTCAGCAAAGACGCAAACAACTACTAAGAGAGACACAAACGACCTCAGGGAGACACAGGTGACTTCAGAGAGACACAAAACAGCAACAAAGACATGCCAAATGATGACTCACACACAACGCACTCTGTAAGGACACAAAGAGGCACAAACAACCTGTACGGACACAAAATGACAACATAGATGTTACTTAAAGAGACAGGTGACTATTCAGAGATGCTAACAGCTACAAAGAAATACAAATATCAATAAAGATGCGCGAAATGACTACTTCAAGACACAAACGAGACGGAAGAGACACAAAACAGCTAAAGTGAAAAGCCACAGACAACCACAATGCAGGAACGTCTTAGTGGCGCAATCCAACCTTTATTCGAGATAAAAAAAATATATTTGACATCTCAAAAACACATTTTTTTCATATCAGGTTGCTGTCCCTGCCATATTGAAACATAGTGCTTTTTATTTATTTATGTTTATGGCATTTTAGTTTTGTCTTGTTTTTAAGATTGCAGTAACACTGGTCCTTCAAGTGGGAATAGACATCAATCATTATGAGTAGATAAGTCATTTAGAAAATATCCCACAACAAGCATTAAAACATAAAGTTAAGCAGTGGGTGTGGAGGTAGATTGTAATTACTGTGGAGTTAATCAATAGATAAGAGAAAATGAGTTTATGTTACCAATTAATTTTACAGTGCTGAGCTAACAGACAAACAACTACTGGAAGGAGGAATCCCAGAGCACAGAGTTTTTTTTTTTTAATCTTTACTAATTAAATATAAGGTAGTTCAACCTCCCATGAGGAGTTTTTAACTAGTTATGAAACAGGCGTGAATTAATACTGATGCCCCTTTATGACTTTGGAATTTAACAAGACCATCAGGAAGAAGATTGGCTGTCAGGTGAAACAATTAGCAGCATGCTTCCAACAAACAGTCTTTTTTATTTTGACACTTTTCCAGGCATAGATGCTGAATAAGTTGATATATTTGACTGTTAACAAAAAGGAGTTGGGGGATCTGTTTGGCTCACAGGTTAAGTGATTCATCCCATGTGGAGAGACTGAAGTCCAGGTTAGGTTGAAGGTGACTTACAAAATTAAAGCTCCTGTGAGGAGTTTTATGTCGGTCACAAAATAGACTGAAATTAAAACAAGACCATCAGGATAAACACTGACTACTAGTATCTGGGTGGTAGGTCTAAGTCTATTTGATTAATTGCATGTTTGCAAAAAAAAAAAAGGCAATTTTCCATTTTCAATGGCAAATGTTTTAGTGTTAAAATAACACAGATACAGATTTTATAATTACAAAAAACTAGCAATGCATGCACAGGAAAAGATTAGCAAAGCAATATGAGGTATCAGTTTGTCCACAGGGGGCGCCAAAACCAACCCTGACAGACAGTTCCTCACAGGCGCTTTGAAGTCCAAAATCAGTGACAAAACAAGAGGTACTGTTTGGTCCAAACTTTAAAGCTTTAAAGACTGAATATTACGCCTGTAATTCGCTGTGTTCAAATATTAGGGGTGGGAATCACAAGTGGCCCCACGACACGATATTATCACGATACTTGGGCCACGATACGATATTACTGTGACTTTTAACATTTTGCAATATAGTGGGTATTGTGACACAAAATATTGCGATCGATACAATTTTTTCAACTGTTAAGCTAATTTAGCATTTGGCATTCCTTTATGTTTGTCTTATTTACGCTGTATTTTATTTTCATGTAGCACATCTTGCAAACCTTATGTATAGTTGTTGTAATAACTTTCTCATGCTCTATGGTGTCACCTTAACACCAACCTCACTGGACAAACAGTTGATTTTATTCTTCGAATTTTCATAGATTTGACTTCATATTAGCTATTCGTTTGAAAAATTGATACTTGGTAAATGAGACGATACATTGCGATACTATGCTGTATCGATTTTTTCTCCCACCCCTATTGAATATGCATTTATAACTACTACGTTTTGGTAACTTGCTGTGCAGATGGTCAAATGACTGTTTTTTGGTTTGATAAAAGTCTGTTTAGGTAGGTTCCATGTTACATTATTAGCTCCTGTTGGTAGATTTGAAGTGAGAGTTGAGTGGTTGTTTCTCTTGGAATTAAAGATGGTGGTGTATCAGGTGTAGGTCTGACCTCTTCTCAGCAGGGGTGAAACCCACCACAAAGAAAAACCAAACCGAGGGACTATAGATACAAAAGCAACTCAAAGACATGTACAAAAACCACAAACAGACACTAATACTGCGAGTCTTTCTGTAGTGTAGGGGGGTGGGAGAGCATTTAAACATCTGAGACTTAGTACTGCCGTCTCACGATCTGCCCTTGGCCGTGTTGCTGGGCAGGCTCTAAGCCTTTTTTTCATGTCAGGGCTTTGCAACAAGGAAGTGGCTTGCTGGAGGTGTCATTCCAGTTTCTGTTGTCGGTTGCCACCTCTCAGCGCTGTAAAACTGGTTCCTCCTCTCTGCTTTCCACCAGAACATCAACAGTTCAAGCGTCACCTTTCCCCTCCTGAAAACACAAATAGCTCACAGTTGTTTCTGTCCTCGCTGGTCTTTTTCTCTCCACATATGTTAAGCATATGGAGAGCCGGTAAATGAAGATTCCAGATATAAAGTGGCTGAGCTGATGAGACAGTTTGTATAGTGAGATAAATTAATCCACCTACATGGTGTGTGCTCAGGTTTCTGCATTTCTGCTTTATGTTCTTCTCTAAGAAGACACAGAGGGCTAACTCTGTCAGCCTGGAGCTGCCTGTGGTGGAAAAAAAAAACCTGAATTCTTTGGAGACGCCCGTTCCTTGGGCAGTGTGGTGCCATCACACAAGGCCTTCATTGAGCAGGAACAGGAGTGGTCTTGTAGAAGGGATCCACTCTGGCTCGGCCTACGAAGCAACAGAGCTGTCCAAGGACGATTAAATATTTAAAAGCTTGGAAAGGAGGTCTCAGTGGTAAGTTAATATTGATGGGTCTCTCATCTTTCCCGTCTCAAACTTGTTAGCTTGCTTCAAGCGGATGGTTTGGTGAACCTGGAGAGGAACTTCGGCTTTTCTGGATAAACTTATCAGATGCTTTGAAAATCGGACCAATTGACCATTTTGATCTCAATTCTGCTACCAAAGCCATCTACATTTGACACGTCAGCTCCTTTTTTATATCTCCTGTGTCTTCTTTTGGTCACTCTGAAATTCTCCATCCTGTCAGACTTGTAACCTCACCCACTCCCTGTAACTGGAGTAACTGCCATGTCAGGCTCACAAGGAAGTCAGCATTGCAGTGTTTTCTGGCAGTTGTCCACTGAGCACCACTCTTAAGAAGCTGCTCAGTGCATCTCAGTCTTCTGTTATAATCTGTCTTTTCTCTGGAAGTGAACTACACTCAGGGCATTTTAATCTCTGTAAGGAAAAGGAAGAAATCAGGTTTGCAGACTTTTGATGGAGATGAGTTTAGAGAGTTGAGCTTATACTGAAAAGGAAGTCTCGATGAAATCAAACTTCTCGGTTTTGCTCCTTGATAGCTGACCCTGTTTTTCATTCATTTTTGATTTCTGAGATTATACGGCGTTTATTCCAGACGGCAGCAGATTGATTTGTGTCAGGAAATGGTTTCCAAGGAGAGATGGACTCCACGGCTGTGTGGAATGTAAGGTTTCCTGGAGTGATTGTCTTTGTAGGGGAAAAAAACACTTCCTGGTTTTACTCCAAGATCTGTCCTTGGACATCCTTCACTTGCCCTACTCTTCAGCGGTGTTTATTTAGCCTACGAACTCTGTTTTTTTAAGTTCCAGGAGATCTGAAGGAGAATGTTCCTGCAGTATGTCTGACTGTGAACATCTCTGGATTGTGTGCAGAGCTTCAAAACCCCTTTTTTTGTCTTTTGCAGTCGCCCACTGGGGTAGAGTCCTTGATAGATACCATTATTGAGAATGTTTCTCTTCATGCTCGAGGGAAGAAACCTCTTGAGAAAACCAAATATATCTACCTATTCAAATGGTAAAAATAATCACGCCTGAGGCAATTAATTAAATTGTGCACTTAATCATTTTTAGATGGAATATTTAATCATGTTGCTCAGGGTTGCCCCAAGTTTCATCCTTTATGTTTTCTCATCTACAAAAACACGATTTACCTCCTTCGTTGCTCATGCAGAGATATTTTTGGGTCACCTGTTTTTGATTATTTACAGATAAAGTTTTTAAGGTTTGAACGACACGTTGAGTGAAAGCTCGGCTCCTCAGATCCCTTCATTGTCTCCAGCTTTGAAGAAGAGCAGAGCTGCTCTCTAGGTGGCCATCTTTGCAGAACAAAAAAAAAAAAAAAAACACCCGCACATCTCACTTCTGCTTTTCTGCCATGACAGCCAGCCGAGGAACAGGCAGGAGGGGAAGCTGCTGCTCGCTCAGGTCTGTGCTCTTAAAGCTAAACACTTCCATCTGTGTAACAAGATAGCGGAGCGAGCAGAGGCAGCTCCAGCAGGACGGTCAAAGAAGACCTTGAGGAGCTTACAAAATGGTGGATGGCCAATGCCACTGACACTCCTGCATGATTGGCTGTGTCTCCTTGGCCACAGTGGGGCTGGCTGTGTGAAATGGAGTCCCTCTTGTGTGTGGAGCATTGGCCCAGCCTCAGCTCTGATGCAGAAGATAATTCTGTCAGCCCCCAGAGAGAGAGAGAGAGAGAGAGAGGGAGAGAGAGAGAGAGTGGACAGCCAAGTGAGGTGACTATTCGAGGGAAGGTTGATCTGCAGACTTCCAGAGAACTCAAACCATGCATGTCTGCTCGCTTCCACCTCTCAAGCCCTCTCAACTACATGATTCACTGGCTCCTAACTTCTCGTTATTAATGGAATTTTTTCATTTTTGCATCAAACAGACGGGCATTGGCTTGAAAAATATATTAAAAAAAAGATCAGCTTAGATGAAAAGATCCATTTTTTCGTTTTGTTAACAGGAAAAAGTAGCGCGACTATGTGAGGGTATTCATTATCTAACCTTCACACTCTACAGGCTTTAGCCGAGGGATTTACCAGCCCTCTGTTTTTGTTGCTTTGTGAAAATTTCAAGCTTGAAGGTCACATAAATATCTCAGAAAGCTTGTGATTAAAAGGTAAAAGCAGGAGTTGTAAAAGGCTGTAAGGGCTGCATTTTGAATCAAGTCATAGATGTATATATATTCAGGGCGAGTTTTCACCATGACAACCTAAAGATGGCACCAACATGGAGGTCAGCCATTGATCCGTGTCTCTTCCTAATCTGCTTGGTCATTATCTTCTTCGTAAAAGAGGTCAAATGTTGCCACTAAGAGCTCTGTTTTGCAGTCCTCTTTTTTATTTTTTATTTCAGAGGCAACAATCTAAGCCTTTTGCAAAAACACAAAAGCTACCCTTGGATCAAGGTTACCTGTTTTTATTTTCTCTCAGCTCCTTTCATGTTTTTGGAGCAGCTTTAGAGAAGAAAAAAAAACATGTAATTAGAAAGTTGGATTTCTTTGATTGGGAGAAGAAATTGCTTTTCCAGTAGAAAATATGGAGAAGAAGAGTGTGAGTGCAGCAGTGATATTAAGTATTAAAGACAGTCTGACTGGGCGGGTGATGTCAGGTAACCATCTGTCAGAGGGAGACGGGCTGACACAGTCGCTGTCTGACCTTGCAGTATGGACGACACACACATAAAATAGAAAATGATGATCTCTTCCTGGGATTAGCATAGAGCTGCAACTGGAAGCCGAGCTACAGGCCTTCCTTGCCCTCTCTCTCTCTCTCTCTCTCTCTCTCTGTCTCTCTCAGCTTTTCCTTCTCTCTTTTCTGTTTGAAGGCCTCCGTCAGGCCTTTTCTAAAGAGGTGGGACATGTTCATTTCATGTACTGCAATAACCTTGATGTCGAATCAGACTTCATCCCAGGCGACCATTTACAGTACGTTACAGGTTCATGCATGCTTCCATTTCATTAGATAGAAACTTGTGTTATTGATCAGCTACTCTCCATGCGTGTTTTATGATGGGAAGTATGTACGCTGTTAAAGACGAGTGCACTTAAACTGGTTTCATCAGTTGTCACCATCCATATCTAAGACTCGCTATTCAAAAAGCCTCAATTCACCGTCTGCTGCCTCGTTCTGGTTCACTTAACGTGCATTTAGTCAACCTTTAAGTCTGGCTGTAAGACAACACGATCTTCCGTCTTCCTCAAAATCCTCAGGGGTCGTCTGGGCCCGCAGCGGTGAGGTGTTTCCCTTTAACGCCCTCTGAATGTGACACGAGTGAAGGTCATGCTGCAGACAGATCGCTAAAGCTTGCTGGATTGCAGCGTCTGAAAGGCTCTGCACCTGTATTTAACTGTTCTGCGAGACAATCCGGGATTATGGAGTAGGTTTTTTAAATGTTCTCCAAAAAAAATTCAACCTTTTTTTTTTTTTTGCCTCATGCAGCTCATTCAATTGATAGAAAGTTAGATGTAAAAGGCTTCTTTGCATTGTGCTTCTGTGCTGAGAATAGCTCTGTGTGTTAAATTATGCTTCCTGATTGAGGGATGTAATATTCAGTTAGTCCGATCGAACAAGATCTTCAAGAAACGTCAACATGTACATGACAACAAGGAGAAAATCTGAATTTTTGAGGATGTTCTGTTTTAGATTCAGATTAGAAAACCGTTTCAAATCAGATCCAAGCCTCTTATTTTTAAAGAAGACGGGACAATGTCTCGTTCTTCTGGTCAACCATCTGTAACAGATTGTCATGTACAGAGGAAGTTCTAAAGGAAAACCACCAAGAGCAAGCAAACAGCAAGCTATAAATAACTGAGGCATTGTATGGCAGAGGCTATCCAACCAATCCACAACATGTGGGGCTTTTATGTGTCCTGAATATCTCTGAGCTGAGGGGCAACTAGATAAAGATCGAAACTTCAGACTCAAGTACACACCTTAGATTTGAAGACGTGGTTTATTTACATGAGAGAATAAAATGACTTCAAACTAAGATTTGCTTATTCTTATTCCTAAATCGATAGAAAAACTCATGAAGGATTTTATTACTGTAAAGAAAATAGTCGCTATAATAAGTGGCCTGTCCTGTAACACTCAATACCTTCACTGTCAAAGGCTGGTTTCCCTAGTTTCGTGGTTGTTTGACATTGCTAAACACGGGATCATAGATTCTGCTGACAAACAATGTCAAATCTGTTTAATGTGTAGAGCTAGCACCACCAGTCTATGGCTCTCCTTGAAGGTCACATGGTCAAGAGTTCATATGCCGGTTTAACCAGACAGAGCTGACATACATGTGTTTCTTCAGGATCACTTGCTGTGTTGATAAGATTGTAAACCTTGTATAAACTGACCGCTGTATGCAGACAGAGCGAGGGTGTAGCAGGCAAACATAGATTTCAGTCTGGGCTTTTTTTCTTCTTCTTCTAATTAATTCACCTCTTAATTTAAAGGGCTCTTCTATTATTGCGTTGTTGCTTCAGTGTTCAGAGCTCGTACATTTCAGACGGGTCTGTGGCTGAAGATGAAGAAGTGCTTGAAGAATATTTCTGGTCGGGGCCATGTACTCTGGTTAATGGTTGACCTACTTTTCTGGATCCCATATGCTTCCTGAAACAGATTTGTTGGCAGATTAACACCATGGTTTTTTAGTCAGGTGTACGTTGAAATTTTGAGCACACTTAGATGTGTTGCTTTTTGACGATCTGCTTTTGATTGATTCATTTTTAATATTGTGAAGTTTTTTGATTTAGTTGAAAAGATTTTGTTTTGCATGGGAATATAAAATCTCTGCAGTCAGATCTTTGACCTCCAAGAGTAAATTCCTGACTTTGGATGTTTTTAAAAATGTGCAGCACTTTCTATTTAAAGGTGTCTCCAGATTTTTTTTTAGCTTTATTTCACGCCTTTCTCGTCCCTGCTGTTCCATTTCTGTAGATGTCTGATGAATGTTGTGACAAAGCGTTCACACTGAACAGTATTGACTCCTCACATCTTCTCTGAAAATGGGCCGGCCCATTGATCGGTCAGGTGGGATCGATGTTTCATCTCTGTGTATTCAGACTTCCTCAAATGAGCGCTGCCATTTGATCACATCATTCCAGGAAGCTCCCTGCTCTGATCACAGCCTGTCAGGAGGGAGGTGACTTTCCTGCACTGTGTTGATCTTATCATTGAAGGGCTGAGAAGCTGACAACATTGCATATCTGAACTAATTCTGTAGTTACCAACCAAGGAGTTTTTTAATCGCTGAAGTTTGGAACAACTCACTAAAGTGTGAAATATTTCTTTGTCCAACCTCTTAAATTTAACTACATCGGTCTTTTCTCTTTCGTATTCGCACTTGGAGGATTTGTAGTTCAACTCTTGCAATTTGAAACATCACATTTGCATCACTAAAAATTAGAGATGCACCAATCCATTTTTTTCCAATTCCGATGCCGATACATGGGCTGAGCGTATCAGCCGATATCTGATACTGATCCAATACTACTGTTGAATGAATGAACTGTATACTTTGCCCTGTGTGTGAAGGCATCAGGCTTGACATTAGCCTTTTAAAAGAAAGGTAACAAATCAACACAGATATAAATTTACTTATCTTATTTATCAATAAATAACAAATTGCACATAAGCACACAGCAAAAGGAGTAAGACTTCCATGTAAACATTTAGTGCGGCTGTGTATGATATTAATTAAAAGAAAAAAAAAGACTGGATCAGAACGCTGGATTGGCGTCAATCATCAGATATTCGATCCAGTTAATTTGTCAGTATCGGAGCCGATATCCAAACCAAATATCGGATTAGTGCGTCCCCACTAAAAGTGACACCGGCAGTTTCGCTATCTTCCAAAAAGTCGACTAATAATAAAAATATTCCCCACAGCCTGCCCTCACATCTCACATCTCACTGACATTTTCCCCCTATCTTCTCCTTCAGAGTCCTCTCTTGTTTCTTCTCTGCCCACCATTAGTATAAGCTCTCCTATTTAATTTCGTACGCTGTAATCTTCAGTGTCTTCTCCAAAGAAATCTAACACAACTGGACTGAGCACCTGTGAGAAAAATCCCTCTAGATTGATCTGCTTTTCATAAAAATCTGTGAAACCCACAAACAATGAGTATCAGTGATTCACAGCTCTAGTGTACAATACAATATCTTCACTTTAAACGCTGGCCAAAGCAATATGAGGCTCTCGTGCAGTGTTGCGGTTGCATTTGTCAATATGTTATTCCTCTGTGAAGGGATTAGGCAGCAGCACAGTATTGGAATATGAAGGTCACTCAGGTCAGACCAGCTTTGAACTACTGTTGTTATCTGCTACATTACCAACAGATAAAGGCCTAACCGTGAGCCAACAATAGTGTAAGCTGCCTGCAGGCCAAAGGATAACTACAAAACAGAGGTTTTTTCTCTCTCTTTCTGTCTGGGCACCACTCTTCAACTGAACCAGAATAACTCCCAATTTGTGTTTTGCAAAAATTTGGGAGATCCTTTTTAATTTTCATGTCATGTACAAAACGGGTTATTTTAATGTGTGTTTTGAGAGCTTTATATGAGGCTGTCTTTGTGGTTGTGTGTGAGAGTAAAATATAAAGCCTTCACATCCTATCTTATCTATTCAGACTCTAATCTTGCTTCCTGGTTACCTTTTGGCTGAGGTGTGCTCACCATCATTAGCTCAACAGAAATGTACCTTAGACTTTAGCTTTCATCATATTTTACTATTTTGAGTTGTTTGAACCTTTACTACATGTAATTTGTTTTCCTATAAAACTCATCAACACACTTTGACATCAAATCGGCGTCAAGGTTGATTTTGTGTACAAACTCACACATCAGTCAGCGAACAGCCAAGATTAGCATTAATTTTGAAGCCTATTTCTGGTGAACTGATGAATTTTAGTCATATCTTCACGCTCTTTTATCAGTTCATAGAGACAGACACCATAAAATATCAAAGGATGCTCACAAGGATTTGAGTCTAATGTAACTTTGACAGTTATGCACAACAAAACAACTTACTCATCTTGTAAAATCGAGTTATTGTTTTTCATTGGAAAGGCTACTCAGGTTAAGTACGGTTCACTTCAGCCCGACTAGGACTGGTGTGTTAAGATTTCCCACAGATGTGGAAGAAGTGACTCAATTCAGCCTGCAGTCAGCGTCTGTGGTGGAGGCTCTATTTGCAAATCCAGGAAGCCTGGCTGGTCACTGTGTCTGAACTGTTTTGTTGTTTTAATTCAGCAGGACTGTTTTACAACCTGTTTTTGAGAGTTACATCTATATCAGTTTGAACACTACAAGTCTCTGTTTTTTCAAAGAAATGAAATGCAGCTTGGCAAATTGTTTAGATTGACTAAATATCAATCAGCTTTATGAAGGGAAACCAATGATTTGCTGAGAAAACAATATTCGCCAGTTGCATTTAGTATTCAGGATTTACCTGCAGCTGCTTCATAGTAAAAGCTGGTCATGGCTGCTAAAACTGTACCTCTTTAAACGGCTTATAATATAATACCTGAAACTGTAAGCTCTGCAAGTGCTGGTTTCATATTTGGTCATCTTGACCTAATGCTGAACAACCTTACACCCTCAAATGAACTTTGTTGCAACAATCTGACTCAAGTTTACAGATTTCATGTCAGGAAGTATCCACTTGCATTAGTTCTGTAGAATTTAGCTGACTTATTGCAGGTGTAAAGTATCATCCGTTTTAATGTAAACCATCGCTCTGATGAATGATCTGATCAAAAGTTTCTAACCATCACTTTAAATTATACAGCACATAATGCAATTATTCCAGGTAATATGTAAAAAAAAAGGACCAGAACATTGAATTTGACACACCAGTCCTTTAGTTTTTCTGTTTTTGAAGACTTTCAGTTGAAACTGTTAAACAGAATGATTAAAACTTTCATCCTAAAATAATGATTTCTATCCTGCTGCTTGACTCAGCTCACAATTAAATGAGCAGATGTCATTTGAAATGAACCAAAATAGTGTTTTATATTAAGCACAGTTAAATTTAAAGATCTAAAATAATAATTTTATGAAGCAAAAAGAGGTATGAACTTTTCTGTGCATTAAAATGTCATGATGTGTAAAAGAACTCCCATTAATAGCTTCACAAAACTAGTTTGGTTTTTAAAATAAAAACATACTTCTAACAAATTTAAAGCTCCTGTGAGGAGATTTTAGCTGCTCATGAACCAAATAGGATGTTCCTCATAGGAGCTTTAACTGCCTTGGTAAGCTTAAAAAAAGGCATATAATTGATTTTAATCAGAAAACACAAATAAATTTAGAGAAACTGTTACAGCAAATTATTTTTCACTTTAAAGGAAAAAAGAACAAAAAGAAGAGAAGAATGAGAACATGCAAATTCAAGGATATTTGGCTATAAGATGAAAAATGCAGGGAAAAAATGGTCGCCAGGGGCAAACATTATCATGCAATTTGTAAGATAGAAAGTCTTCTAGTTGTTTTTTAAAAGTGTACATCAACCGTGTAGCTTGAGTCTAGAGTTGAAAATGATGTCTGCTATTGGATGAGTTGATGGACACCAAATTGGTTCATAATCCTAGTGCAGTACAGAATAGTTGTTTCTTTGCACCTACATGATCTTTTCCATGTTTATGTATGCAGCACCTCGAATCCTATCACTGTCAGGGTTAGTTTCTACATACAGTATATGTCATTGGGCTCATTATCATATTTACCCATTTCCCCCACGAGTATATCACTACTTTTCACTCTGATTGAATGCATCTGTTACAGCACCCTGTCATGAACTGAGAGTTTTCAGTGAGAAAGGCTTTTAAGCGTAGTAATGTGCCCAAAATACTGGTGCATTTTGCCACAATGCGGAAAATATCAGGGTTGTGAATAGTGAGAGAAATGAAAGGCAGAGTTTTTGGCATTGATAAGCTCCGCACAGTATCTGATTATTAGTTATTTACACAGAGAGCCGGTGTGCCAGCATGCAGAAGCTGCTGGTTATGAACCTGTTTGCTTTGCCACAGTGGGGTGCGGCAGACTTCTTGTCTCTTGTGTCTTCAGTTATGTACGATAAAACACTTAGCAAAGAGCTGCGAAAAGTGAGTCCATGTAACTACACAAACCCTGTATCCATTTTAACATAACACTTTATATTCAGCCAAATCCTTAAATTTAGGCTAGATTCTGTTTTTTTATACTAAAGCTGTGAGAAGTTCTTGGTGCAATAATGAGTATTAAAGACAGTTTTTGTGGCAAACCCATATGGGGATTATCATCATGCTTGCTAAACATTCAGATTTGTTTCGGCTGGAGTTTTGTGTTGTGTTATGAAAAGACAAAGTTCACAGATCAGGTGTGTTTTATTGTTTTTTAAATGATTAGGGGCACGGCCAGCGTGATTGACAGGTAGATATATTGTGGATTTAAGCCAAGGGACTAAAGGCATAGGTATAAATCATAGACTGTATAAAGAATGGACAGAGTCTGCCTCCTCTCTGGGTGAAGCCACTCCGAGAACAGCACCCTCTGATGGTGGGCTGCAGTATAGGTCATAAATCCCGCCTCCGCCAGCAAAGTTTTTGGAGTTGTGGACAAACTTTAGAAATTTATTACACAGAACATACATTTTTCTCCCCCCTGCTTGTGATGTTGACATGTAGTTATTGTAGGACTGGTTTGTGCCCAAGTCCTTTTTTTTCTGTACAGCTCCGTTTTTAAAGGTTATTAGGGGGTTCATGTTTTCTATGATTGACACCTGGTACAGCCTATGGGCGTTCAGGGATTGCGTAGCTCACCCGGGGGGATACGCTGTTTGAGCCGAGCGTCATCACAGCGACTCTGCAACTGCGCGGCCGAATGCGCTCATCGCTACTGCGCAGCTCTGGTTTCAAGGAAGTTGAGAAAAACCCGGAATTAACGAGAGCTTTTTGGCTTCAAATCCGTATACAGGCGGAAGGCGGAACCAGGTTGTCCATAGTATATACAGTCTATGGTATAAATACGCAGATACGACATGTCCCTTTGAGCTGCATCCTTATGGTAAGGCTAAACTAGCAGGGGCATCGTTCATATCAAAGTGAATACATTGACATTGAAAATAAATCACAACCTGCTCATTGCTTAACCAATTTTCATGCGGTTTACTTTATTGTCAACGCCAAAACATGTGTTATTAATATAGATCATTTGATGTAAAAAAAAAAAAAAAGTTAAATCAAATATTCTGTATTAATAGCACATGTTTTGGCGTTGAAAATAAAGTAAACCGCATTAAAATCTGTTGAGAAATGAGCAGGTTATGAGTTATTTTCAATGTAAATGCAATGCCTTCAATGGGAGCGATGCCCTCACCAAGATGGCTGCCATGTAGGCATGATGCTCGGTGGACTGCTACAGTGTGCTGGTGTATCTAGTCCTCTCTATATATCTGTGGCTAAAAGGCCCACCTTAACTCCACCTATCCACCTATCTATCTTTGGGCTTCAAGACTCTCTTTCAGATTTATTGGGTGGTGCTACTAAAAAATAAATCCAGGTTTTATCTAGTCTATGTTTGCTGTGATACGTAACATTTGTTGGAAATGGATTGACACTTTTCAAGATAAATCAGGTCGATCTAAACCAGCTTGAAAATGGAAACCCGGTGCAATAGAAGTGCAGCCAGTGTCTCAGCTGTTGCATGCTCATTTTCCTCTGAAACTCCTTGATCATTATTAGGCCGTAGTTTTTTGGTGTGTTCTATAATACAGTGTGTGTTATTTGTGTTGTCGAGCACACTATCCGATCTGCTGTGTTGAGATCTCCAGGGCAGATGACATCAGAGGATGGGCGTAGCCATCTTGATCTCCCTATCTGCTGTTAGTGCAAGAGGCCAAATTCTCGCTGGTGCTGTGACGCAACGTTTTTTTTTTTTTCTCCTCTGCAGACACAGTGAGATCTTTCTGTTCTGAGTAAACCTGGCGGAGAAAGCCTGTGGATGAAGCAGATCAGAATTTGAAGTATTATCCAATTATCTTTGGGCTTTTTTTTTTCCTCCTTAAAACAAAAAAAGAATCGATTTTTTTTTCAGATGTTGTCATCTCATCTCTGAAGAAATCAATTCCCGTGGCTCTGACTATCTGCTGGTTTTGCCGATGTGTTTTTCCTTTCAAAAGTAGGCTGTCATTCACAATCAATGGGTCATTCATTATTGCGGCTGTGCTAGTTCTCAAGATGCACGTCCTGTCTTGTTTGCTAGATGAATTATCCACAGCCAGGATGCTCACTGTATGATAATAATACAACGCATTGGTGGATTTCTCTCTCCCAGACAGGCCGAGATGATAGCACTAACCAACAGTTAAGGACAAAACCTCTGTACTCCTAATCAGCTTAATGCTGGCTTACTCAAAGGCCCTCTTTCAGACAGAGCAGCTGCTGTCAGACCGTTTGAGTAGAGGGTGTGACTGCTGGCACAGCTCACCCATGCAGAGAGACCGGTTGGTGATTAACAAATGTCAGTAGACTTTGGAATCTGGGGAGCCCTGTCTGATGGCTTTGTCCTCTGTTGGTCTTCCAGGTGGCTCTGTCATGCTCCCTGCTCCTCCCACCCTTCCCCTTCAGGGCCAGCTCTCCCCTTCTGCTCCTTCTCTCCTCTCCTCCTCAGGGTTTCGGAGATAAAGAAGTTCAGACATGCCACACATTTTTAGACCCCCTTGTGGAACGTTGTTGGCAGCTCCACCAAAACGCAGTATTCCTCTTCTCTGACCTGATCTATCTTTCTTCGGAAAAAGAGGATTCAAGCATTTCCCTGAAAAATCTCTCATGATGTGAGAGATAATGTCCCTGAGAAATGAAAGGAGCAAGCAAAGCAAGAGTGTGAGATGTTTTCTGCTGAGCTGTGTGGGCAGAGGGCTTGGGTACATCTGGCGGATAGATTTCTGTCAGCAGCTCTCCAGTGTCAGGCCGCCTGCCTTTGAGGAAGAGGATCAGATCTGTGGGTCCATGTTGTGTGCTGGCTGAACACCTAAGTCAGCTACTAAAATGGCTGCCCTTGAAGCTCAGCTCAGAGGAGGATCTGAGCAGCTCAGTCACTGCCTGTTAGAGCCCCGGCTGACTAGATGAAAGCAGCTACACAATCTCACCCATTAACTTGGTGTGTCGCAGGGACTGACTGGCTGAAAAGACAGAGCCATCTCGAAGGCAGATGGTGCGTGTGTCAGAGGTTTTTTCTCCTCTTTCTTCCTCCCAGTATTCCTCTCCAAAAGGATTCTCTTGATATCCATGTCAAGGAACCTGGCATTAGGGGGTAACTTTGTTCAAAACAGCACTGAACAGCCAAGAGAGCGGGGTGGGGCCCCATGGTGAGGCTGTAACCTGACCCTGAACAACAATGGATCCCCTGGTTGCTCAGGGACATACTGGCAGCTTGGCCGGCTCACTTTGAGCTCTCCTCGGCTGGCGGGTTGGGTGTGGGAAGCAGGGCGGGATTCCCAGCTGTATCTGGCTGGGTTTCACTTGAAATATCTGGGTTTTAACATCAGCAGACTTAATACGATAGTAGCGTGAAGGTTATATTTCATTATGTCTGAATGAAAGCTGACTGTGCATCACAAGAGGCTATTTCTGTTTCACGAGGACACTTTGGGACTTTGCTAAACTGAGTAAAGATAAAATTGTAATCGACCTGTAGACTATTTGGATGGATGCATGGATGACACTTAAACTAGCAAGATCTTCCTTCAACACCTTCTGAATACAGCAACGTTTGATGTGTGATGTTAGCGGCTAATATAGCTTAATGATTCCCGCTACACCTACTACATACAGCAACAACTACATTTTAATGCCAAACCTCTTAAAAGATGAGTTAAAGGGATCTTGCGTAGTAAAATAAGTTAGGGTTAGGGTTAGGACACCCATGTTTCCGACCGCTTGCTTCTCTAGTTATACGAACTTTTGTAACGACCGCAAAGCAATACACAGAGCCACACGCTCAACCAAAAACGCCACTCTATAGCTGCAAATAATGTTCAGAACAGCACCTAACTTCATCAACAGTACATATAGGGTCCTAGCCATAGCACTAGCCACCAAACATCTTTTAATCTTTGCCTGATTTCTTTAGCAAAGAGACTAAACACAACTTACCTACTCTCTTCCAGCAGCCGCTTGTTTGTAGCGAGACCTCGAACCAGTCCAATGTAGACTACAGCGGGGTGGCACAGCTCAAGGAAGAACATTCATGATCATTACTTTATCATTTCCTTGAAGTAATAATCATCATATTAATCATTTTGCTCTACAGACACAGTAGTTCTTCTGCCTTAGTGTCTCAGTCTGATTGCATTTCCATGAAGTAATGATCATAAATGTTCTTCCTTGAGCTGCGTCACCCCGCTGAAGTCTATAATGCACTGATCTGAGGTTTCTCACAACAACAGTCAAACTAACAGCGACAAAAAAATCCCTTTTACTAAAACGAAGAACACATAGCAATGTGATAAATTTTCCCTGCATGTCATTGGAAATAACAGAAGTTAAGTCTTAAACATGATAGTACAGTGGAGTAAAAATGGGTGAAGTGGGCTTCAGATTTGATGTCTCCAGCTTCTTCATCTATGAGAACAATCAGAGCATTGATGACACTCCCACATCCTCTGGTGGTGTTGTAGCAGGAATATAAGCAGATGACACTTTTTCAAGATTGTATTCGGTCGCATTCTCATCACAAATCATAATTTACTCTGTTATTTATTTATTTATTTTTTATTATGATCTGGATTTATCTACGAAGGTTAATCACGCTTACTGTGTGAACTTCTAATCCTCTGTGAGTACATACTCTTAACGGAACACAAACAAAACTTATTAGAAATGTACATTTTCTTTATCTTCTGCAGTAACACATAATTACCCGATATTCATAACCTCGAATATAATCACACCAAAGGGAGGGAAAGTAGTTGAAGTAGGTGAAGATCCTTGAATGTATACTTCATAGCTCTTTGAACTTTTAGCAGAGTGTGTAATGCAAATTGAAATCAAGTTTTCCTCTGAACTGCTTTAAAGAAAATTACTGCTTTAAAGCTGCTCCAACTCTGTAAAAAATGAAGCCAATGTCAGTTAACTTGAGCCAGAACCAGAATAAACTCAGACAACTGAGTCAGGTTTATGCACTCTTAGAAAGTAGCTCAGTGTCCGATAAATGTGTTTTTCTTTTGTAAAATGTCCGGCATGTTGAATTTACAGAACTTTCATCCATGCTAACACAATTGCAGTCTAAGGATGTAGAAGTTAAGTCTGCTACATGATGACTCAGTACCCCTCACTTGATCTAATATAACATTATCTTACAGCTGAAACACTGATCCTGTCTTTAGTCTATGCTGTAAGGCAACCGTCCGCCAATATATAGAGAGAGAATTTATTTTTACATGAACAACAATTAAACAGTATAAATTAAGGACATAAACACACAAAAAAAACATTAAAAAAACAAAGAAAACAAAACCAGAGAGTCAAATAATTTTGTCATTTGCTTGTTCAAAATGGAGAGGGAGGAAGTCGGAGCTTGTCTGGTCCCACCCCTTCACCTTGCACGAATCATCGGTTTTTAATTCACCTACTTCCAGTTAATAATAATAATAACAATAATCATAATGATAATCAAAACATACACAAAACAGCCAAATAATATATGAAAACAAATAACTAATGAGGAGAAGAATGAATAAATAAATGAATAATATCTGAATGTAAACAAATGATGATGACAGATAGCTTCTCGCTCAGTGGGGCTTTGTTTGGTTAAGCTGGCCTGTGACCCTTGAGTTTAACAATGCACAACTAGCACAGATAGTAAGTGGATTTTAACCTGCAGGAAGGACTGGAGGCTGCTGAAGCTAGACCTGCCAGCATTTGCCTGACCAGTTAGTTGTTTAGCTGCAGACTCTGATCCAGCGCTGAGCTGTGAGGTAAATCGTGTTCAGTTTTGACTTTCATCAAAGTGTTTTCTTACCTATTAGACCTGAGGGTTAGTTGGAATTAAAACAGCCAGTAATTAAGTCGCCTTTTGCTGCCCCCTCCATGTTGGTTGTTTCTTGGTGTGTTAGCTTTGGATTTGAGCAGTCTGGATATGAATGGAGGCTCTGTTGAAAATCTCAGCTTTGAAAACTCACATGTGCAGTCTTGTAGAGACTGGGTCACAGAGGTGCTCATTCACTTCCTATTTAGTGTCTGTTTCTCGTCCTCCTTTAAACTGGTTTGTTGAAACATATTTAATATGTGCTGTTGCATTCCTGTATGGACTTTTGTTCTCTTAAACGTTTTAAAACTTGATGCACACCTCCTGAATAATAACAATTCATGCAGCAGAGGCATGATTCAGCTCACCAAAGAAATTTTAAACTTTCTACTTCCCTCACTTCAAGTATTTAGCCACTGAGCTTCAGAGAAAGTGTGAAAGATTTGTATTGATTGGGTTTTGATTCAAAAGTCAAGGTTAAAACTGTGCCCTTTAACCACCCATCTGAAAACCAGTGTGCTACAAATCTTGTCTCTGATATTATATGGTTTCAAGACAAAAATGACAATTGATTGGAGCGCCATGATGAAAGAGCCGTGAAAAGATGGCAACATCATCAACATCCATTTCTCAGGCCAAGTCAAAGCTGTTGCAGAGAAGCCCAGAGACATAAAACCTTCATCTCTCCGTTGATTCATTCAATCTTATTTCAGAGCAGTTGATACAATCAGATGGAATAGTCCGCTCTAAATACTGAGCTGTGGAGCTGCTCTCCAGCTGTTGCTTATCCCAAGGTAATAAAAATGGGACAAATCAGCCCATAATCCCTCCTCGGTCCCTCCATTGTTCTTGGAATGATGTTTTGCTTAAAAAATTGGGACCTTCTTAGTATTTTGAGTAACATCAGGCATCTGCTGAAATCTCCAGTTTGTCATGTTTTGTGAGGCTGGTGAGCAGCTCCGGGTATTTCAGTGATTGAAGATGTTCTCATTTTTGTATGGATTCGTCAGTCTTTACTCATGTGGTTAGATCTTCACAATAAACCTGGACCTTTGTTTTGTTTTGTTTTACTTTGAATTTATGATCACGTCCGAGTCTCGTTGCTTTAAACTTCAAATAATTATCTTTGTTCAAAATTTGACTTCAAACAAGATTTCTTATTTGTTTATTTGATTCCCTCATATGATTCAAATCCCATCCATTAGAGGTCACTGAGGGCTGCATCCAATCCCAGCTATCATGTGGTGGAAGGCAGTAAACACTCCAGTGGTTCCTTTAGTGTGGAAAAATGAAGCCGGTGCTCGAAGCTGCAGTTCCTTAAGTGTCATACTGCAGGCTGGCTCCAAAAACCAATAGAGAGCCATTAACACCCATGTTTAAATACCGATTATACAGCATAAATAAGCATGTTAACAGCCTGGTGCAAAGATGATCAAGGTCTAAATAGGCCTTTTCTTTCTATGTTCACGCTGTTTGCGCCTCAGCTCTGCCTCTTTGCCTCTTGCTACGTTGATTAAAACCTGAGTTGAGTTATTATTTCCAATATTTCTACCATCGTTGGGCTTTAAAAACCAGTGGATAACATCACCATGCATGTCCATGTTTCATACAGTTGATGGGTGCACCCAGGAGAGGTTATCATCTATGTCAGGGCTGGTTTATAAAGACAAATAAACAGATACGCTCACACTCACACTTACAGACAATTTAAAGTTACCAGTTAGTCCAACAATTTGGGGAAAATTCAGAGTACCTGGATAGACGAGAGAACGTACATGTTTTACACAGAAAGACCCTGGCCAGCATTTAAATTAAGCACCTGTGAGGCAGAAATGTCAACCAACACAGCCCTAATCCTAATCCATAATTAAAACCACTATCACAGAATAAATAAACACTGTATGCTGGGTCTGAATTAAATAAAATTCTAATCACATAAGCTGTATACAATCCAAAACGTCGTTTCTCCTCTGCCAGATTCACAACAAGGTCCCCCTATTATTGCAAATTATTGCTAATGCAGCTCGGACACCCTCTAAAAAGCAGGCAAATGAGGGAAGAAGACAATCATCAAGAGCATTTAGAGGCTTTTACATATTTTCTGGTCATTGTCTCACTTGGTATGCTCAAAAAAAAAGGAAAAAAAGATCTTGGACCTGATTATTATTTGTTCAAAGCAGGAATTGCAATCAGTGATCGTATGAGATCATCACCGAGCTCATTTTTATGGGAGAGCATGTTCACTACTAAGAATGCTGAAGCATTACAAAGGATAACATCAGTCCTGAAGTCCTGAGTTGACCTCAGTGTTCAGCTTTGTAGTAGCTCTGTGTAAGAGTGTCCATGGTATAGTGAATGCACTGTAAGCCCAGGGACATTTAACATGATTCTCAACCTTCACTCTAATATTTACTCATAAGTAAATGCTGCATGTCCTAATTTTTTTTTTTTTCATCTCCTTTTTTCTGCAGGTTTCCCTGATTTTCCAGGGAGTGCTCCCTCTTTCTAGTGATGGAGGTACTACAGTGTGATGGCTGTGACTTCCGTGCGGAGTCATATGACGACTTGAAGACCCACATTCAGGAAGTGCACACTGTTTTCCTGCAGCCAGCAGATGCCGACGAGTCTGACTCTCTGAAGGAAGAGGATGAAGAAGAGGAGGGAGAGGGGGAGGAATGTGCGGACAAGGCAGACAAGGATTGCTCGCCCCCAAAAGCTGACATGAGTATGCTTAACAGATATGAAAGATGTTTCTGCAGTTTCAAATCTCTTTTTCATCACAATAAGATTGTAGTGAGATGGTTGTATATCTCATGAAGAGCATAAACACTGATTGATTTTTGATGGTTTTATTTAAATTAAGAGCATAGAGTTTCCATAATAGTGTGAAATTATAACCTATTTCACATTTCCAGCTGATATCTTATACGTTTCTCTTCTTTTTTAGGCCCCAGCTCTGCTGACAAAACCATCGCAACATCACAAAAGGAGACGGCTGAAACTCATCTGCCGTTTTACCAGTGCAAGTATTGTGTCCGTTACTTCAGATCACAATCATTCTTAAGGAACCACACCAAAAAAGTGCATAATGTCGTCGAGGAAGATTCGGACGCAAGCATCTCCTCGCAAACAGCAAATCAGCCCAGCTACACAGTGATAATGCACAAGGACAATTCAAAAGTGTATTCCTGCCAGTATTGCACATACAAGTCTCCACGCAAAGCACGGATATTGAAGCATCAACTAATGTATCACAACAAAGTCCCTTTAGAAAGTGGTTCTTCTGAATACGCTGAGATTGGAGAGAAATCTGATTCAGCCTCTGGACTCATGAAGGGAACATTTGCTTGTGAATGGTGTGACTATCAGACTGACCAGAAGGACAGCTGGACTTCTCACGTGGTCAAAGAACACAGTGACAAGGTCAAAATAGTTTCCAGCATTACAGAGCTGGAAGGGGAGGCGGGTGAAAGCTCGCCCAGATCAGATTCTCCTTCTGTGTCCCAAAGCCAGAATCCAGTAGTTGGTGATGGAGGCAAAACAGGTGATCCGGCTGAAGAAACGTCAAAAAATTCTTCGGAGAAGTCAGCCCCAGAGATCTCATCCTTTCAGTTTGCACAGATTAGTGCTGTAACTCCCAACAGCACAGGCTCTTCCATTTTGGGCAAGAGGTTTGCTTCAGCTGATGTTCCAAACAGTGCCATCGAGGTGGACTCCAACTTACTCAACAATGATGACTCCAGGAGCAGTTTGGAGGACGATGACGATGAAGAGCTGGGAGATATCGATGATGATCCCAGCTATACTGGGACTCTGTCGGCGGATGCAAAGCAGCTTTTAACTGATGAGGATAACAAATTACTGGAGACTAAAGGAATACCGTTTAGAAAGTACATGAACCGGTTTCAGTGCCCCTTCTGCTCCTTCCTTACTATTCACAGGCGGAGCATCTCCCGACACATTGAAAACATCCACCTCTCCGGTAAAACCACCGTTTATAAATGTGATGAATGCCCGTTCATTTGCACCAGCCCTCTTAAACTAGGCACGCACAAACACAGCCACAGCTCCTCAGACTTAGAAACCTTGGACTTAACAGGGGATAGCCCAGAACCTCAGAATGACACTGCTGCAGAGCCAGTCAACGGGGGCAACGTCACCTCCAAAGTCAACGGTAAAAAGTTAACCAGCACACCAAATGACCAGCAGAACCCTCACCGCTGCTCGCTCTGCAGTTTCTCTACCACCACCCTGAAAGGTCTGAGGGTTCACCAGCAGCATAAGCACTCCTACTGTGATGACATTGACTCCACTGTCTTTGAAAACCAGATGTCCGACCAGCCAGACTCCGAGGTGGATGCTTCTCCAATTTTCCTCCAAAAAACCCAGACCCCCATTTTGGGCCTTGCCACCAAAAAGCCCTTAGCTACAGGGAAAAGAGCCAGGAAATCCATCAATGACCTGCCTTTGGATTTGTCATCCGTTAAAAAGCGAACTAGAATCGATGAAATCGCCAGTAACCTTCAAAGTAAGATAAGCCAAAGCCAACAGGACATGATCATAAACCTGGACGAGATGGATGATGAAGAGGCGGGAGAAAATCACGCCAGTGCTGATAAAGATAGCGGAATTCTTGACGGACAGAACCCTGTCTTTACGTTCAACACACAACAGCTCAATGCAAGAGAATCACTGATATCCAACGAGGGGGGCCGAATTGGAAAAAGGAAGAGCAACCCAAAGTCGAAACCTAGGAACATCCCTTTATCCCTGACTCTCTCGGATGATAGCGAAAACATCTCCGTTGACCCAAGTGATAGCGCTATCCAAGAGAGCGCCGATTATTCAGAGGAGCCAGGAACCGCTCGTTTCTACTGCAAACACTGTGACTACCACAACAAATCAGCTCGTAGCGTCAGCACCCACTACCAGAGGATGCACCCTTACATAAAGTTCAGCTTTAAGTACATCCTCGACCCAGAGGACCAGAGTGCAGTCTTTCGCTGCTTGGAGTGCTACATCGAATACACCAACTACAATGATCTGCACCAACACTACATGGATCACCACCCTGAAGCGAGCAACGTGCTGAACTTTAACCAACCAAATCTGGTATACATGTGCCGCTTTTGTTCGTACACGAGCCCCAATGTCCGGAGCCTGATGCCCCATTACCAAAGAATGCATCCTACAGTAAAGATCAACAATGCTATGATCTTTTCCAGCTATGTAGTGGAGCAATCCCATAAATCAAACGAATCGCAAACCCTGAGGGAGATATTAAACTCTGGCCCCAAGAATTTTAACTCATCTTCGTCAACCTCCAGATCCTCCTCCAGCCCGGTGCTTAAAACAGCCCCCAAGACCCCTGAAGTCAGCGCTGAGACAGACACTTTGAAAGAATCAATGGGGGGCAACGTTGTCGTCTATGATTGTGACGTTTGTTCTTTTGCGAGCCCCAACATGCACTCCGTTTTAGTTCACTACCAGAAGAAACACCCAGAGCAGAAGGCGTCTTACTTCCGTATACAGAAAACCATGAAGGTCATCTCTGTGGATCAACAGCAGCCTGTTGCAAACTCTACTTACAATCTCAACATGGCTTCACCTCCGAAACAACCGAACACCGCACTGTATGGAGCAGATGAAGAGATGTACTACTGCAAGCATTGCGTGTACAGTAACAGATCTGTTGTTGGTGTGCTGGTACACTATCAAAAGAGACACCCAGAGGTGAAGGTGACGGCGAAGTACATCAAACATGGCGCTCCAACGCCTGGCTTGATGAAACTAATGGATGAACTGCAAATCGCTGCACCCAAACAGTTCTTAAAGCAGTTTCAAAACAACGGACACGATGGGTCCAATAACTCAAGCCCTAAACAAGGAAGTGGCGATAAAGGTGAGGATGAGTTGTTCTTCTGCCAGCACTGTGATTATGGCAACCGCACTGTCAAAGGAGTGCTGATCCATTACCAGAAGAAGCACAGGGAAACAAAGGCCAACGCCGACCTCGTGCGTCGTCACACTGCCGTCGTCCGGAGTCAACGAGAGCGCGCGCAGATGGTTCAGTCAAGCAGCGTCTCTTCTGCTGTGACCCCTGCCCCTCCGGATCCTGAAAACGCTACAGCCCTGCGTTCCCTGAAGTGCAAACACTGCTCCTACACATCCCCCTACATCTATGCCCTGAAGAAGCACCTGAAGAAGGAGCACCCAACTGTGAAAGCCACAGCCATGACTATTCTACACTGGGCTTACCAAGACGGCATCTTAGAAGCTGGCTATCACTGTGAGTGGTGCATTTACTCCCACGCTGAACCCCAAGGCCTGCTGCTCCACTACCAAAGACGCCATCCTGAGCACAATGTGGATTACACATACATGGCGAGTAAGCTATGGGCTGGCCCGGAGACGACCCAACAAGGAGGTAATATGGAAACTAAGCATTACAAATGCAGAGACTGTGCCTTTGAGGCCTGTTCAATATGGGACATAACAAGTCACTATCAGGCGGTCCACCCATGGGTTATAAAGGGCGATGAATCTGTGCTTTTGGATATCATCAAAGGAAACGGTTCAGCTGATAAGATCCACTCACAGGTTGCCAAAGAACACGTGACTTTCAATTGCGACTCTGCTGAAGATGATGGAGCTTTTGTCATCGCCACTCCACCTCAAGACGGCAATGCTCATCCTTCCCACCCACGTCTTTCCATCTCTAACAATCCATATCAGTGCACTGTATGTCTGTCAGAGTACAACAGTCTCCATGGCCTCCTCACCCATTATGGAAAAAAGCACCCAGGCATGAAAGTAAAAGCTGCAGATTTTGCACAGGAGGCAGATATCAACCCCAGTTCTGTGTATAAGTGTCGACACTGTCCGTATGTGAACTCTAGAATCCACGGTGTCCTTACTCACTATCAGAAAAGACACCCTTTAGTGAAAGTCACTGCAGAAGACTTTGCAGATGATATAGAGCAAATCGCTGACGTAAATGAAGGGGAAGACAAGTGCAAAACTCAGAGGCAGGGCTACGGTGCATATCGATGTAAAATGTGCCCATACACACACGGGACACTGGAGAAACTCAAAATCCATTATGAGAAATATCACAATCAGTCTGCCTCTGATATGTTCACTCCCTCTCTGACAAATTTCTGCCCAAGTAAAGACACAGAGCCGATAGCTGAATGCAGTACCGGTAATATATCAAGCACAGCAAAAGTCCAGGAGGTCAGTGAGTTGGACCTTGCCCTCTCCCAGTTACCCATCAATAAGACAGAGAAACATGCTGTGTTCAAGTGTCAGCTGTGCAAATACTTCTGCTCCACCAGGAAAGGGATTGCTCGCCACTACCGTATAAAGCACAACAATGTGCGTGCCCAGCCAGAGGGTAAAAACAATGTCTTCAAATGTGCTCTGTGCTCATACACCAACCCTATTCGCAAAGGCCTGGCAGCACACTACCAGAAGCGCCACGATATCGATGCCTATTACACCCATTGTCTGGCTGCTTCGAAGACCTTGAGTGAAAAGCCTGTTAAGGTGATAGCACCCCTGCCTTCAGAGGGGGAGAATTCAGAGATGAGTGAAGACCTGCGCTTGGCCGTGGAAAGACGGAAGTGTTCACTCTGCGCCTTCCAGGCTTTCAGCAGGAAGAGCATAGTATCACACTACATTAAACGCCACCCGGGTGTCTTCCCCAAGAAGCAGCATGCTAGCAAGCTGGGTCGCTACTTTACCGTTATTTATGCCAAAGAACCTGATAAGATCGCTGTCAATCTGATGGGAGAGGATGACAAAGAAGTGTTGGAAGTCCCGCTTGAATCTGAGCAGGACGGAGACGATGATTGGCTGCCTTTCAAGTGTCTAAAATGCTTCCGGTTGTCCTTCAGCACAGGCAATCTGCTCTCTATGCACTACAACGACCACCACAGCATTGACTTAAAGAGGGACTTTGTGGTATCAGAAGGTGTCGGGGATGAAGACTCGGAGTTGTACCAGTGTTCTCACTGTGAGCTGAAGTTCCTGGCTCTCCCAGTTTTGGCTAAACATCTACTGAACCACAATGAGGAGTTTCAAAAGAGGGCCATGAGGCTGGAGAGGAGGAGGCAGCTTCTCAGCAAACAGAAAACTACTGAACTACCTGAGATCAAACTTGAGAAGGTGAGTGAAGTAGAGTCATCAGTACACATTTGAAATGATAGAGGCGTATTTTCATACCTTAAGAGTAACTCTGTCCTATCTCATCAAAACAGCTAAAAGTATGAAAAAAACACATGGAAAGTGATATATGGAAACTAAGAAGGGAGTGTGTAGGACACTTTTTAAACAAAGGAGAAAATTAAGGAGAAAATAAGGGATGTATGAAACGAAAAAACATCATTATAAAGCGGTATGATCACCAATATATCCTAAGAGAGATATCACGGTTGGAAAACACTCATATGGTTGTGAGTGTTTCCATTTTATTAACATGTTGTTGTAGAGCTCTCTTCAATCAAGAAGTGATATGTCAGGTTTTAAAGGTACTATGGGGAGTGTTTAAGTGGTTGAGAAACAAACTGAAACTGATGCATCTTTATGAACTCAGGAAGCAAATGTTGATAATTTCTCTGTTGAAACTTTTCAAGTCTAAAACTACTCTGAAGGGGGGAGGAGTCTGACCACATGATTGAGAGCAGGTTAAACAAACAGCTTTGAAAACTTTTTTCACAGTAAATACTCTCAGTGAGTGATGCATTACTTTCAAACAACAGTAGCTTGAGGTTTTTGGTCTAAAAACACTCATTTTACATTCAGAGGACAATCAATAAGAGGTATATCTTTGTCCACAGGGGGCGCCAAAATCAACACAAACCAAAAGTTTTTCTTAGCTACTTAATGTCAGTTATAACATGCAGGTCTAAGTTTGATATAAGGTGTAAGCCCAGCTTGCGCACCTTAACCAAGATGGTTGAGACAATAGCGGTAACAGGAGAACAGTATTACTATTGTACAGTTAAATTTTAAAACAAAGCAGCAAAACAAAACAAAAAAACTGACAGTGGACTTTTTTTCCCACCTTTCTTTTTCTGTGATCAGGAGAATCCTGCAGACAAAGCTCCCATCGGATACAGGTGTAACTTCTGCGTGGAGGTCCACCAAACCCTTCGAGCCATCTGCAACCACCTTAGGAAGCATGTGCAGTACGGAGAGGTCAAAGAGGGACATGTCAAGGTAAACGGAGTTTGGACAGTTTCTAATCAAAACTTATTTTGTGTTTTTTTTTATTGTGGAGTTGTTACACTTCAACAGTCATCACACATCCGCTCTATGAATTTTCCTGTGTTGTGATCACACATGTTCCCTCTGAGTTTTGTAGTTGGACGCTGTTGTGTTCAGATGGCAACAAAGTGTCTCTGCACATTATTTAACAGAAGGTTTCAGTCTCTTTCGTCTCCTGAAATCTGTAAGGAGTTTGTTATGAAGTATCAAACACAGTTCCCGTGCTCTGACAATGCAAGTGTTAAAAACAGTGGTTTAATCTAAATGTTTCTATTCTTAGAGCATATTTCATAGAGGATATTAGTCTGTCAGGATACACAGGTGCATTTATTAACAAAGCAGCAAAACTCAGCAGAACACCAGAGGTAGGATACAAATATCATCAGTCCCCACCTGCTCGCTCATGGTGAAAGGAGATTTTTCTCAGTACTGATACTATTTATCATAGTTAGAGTTGCATTACAGAATTAATATGACTAAAGCTAGCATGTTATATAAACTTCATATAACTCTAACAACCATCAGCCAGGATATTTGACGACTACTCTTTTCAAGCAGCTATAACCAATGCTTTATTTGTTTCGCTTTCTGATCAAGTAAGATCGACAGTATGTTTTTTTAATCACTTAAAGACAGACTCAGTCTCGAAATCTCGGGTTCTTTGACCCGTTTTCTTTAACAGCGATTGAAGGAGGCTTCTGGGTAGACAGTCTGTCAGCCAGTCTGTCCCCAAGAGAAAACAAGCAATGTTGTCCCATTGCAGTGAAGAGGGGAGGAGCAGAGGACAGAGTGGTGAGCCATAACTTTTAGGGCAGCAGCGGGTAACCATTCAAACATTAGTATTCCACTGAGGCTGCCAGTGAGAGGAACAGGCCCAAGGATCCAACCCAGATGAGGGCCTGGTACCTCTGTCAGACCCTCAGCCTGCCTCAGAACATATATATCAAAGATTATATGATTTTCAGCAACTACAAGTGTACGAGAATTTATGTTAGGTACACTGGGGTTAAAATGTCAATCTGTTCGATTTATGAAATACACACTACCGGGGTTAGCTGTGAGCAATTGTGGCCTACGACGCAAAGACCTTGTTAATCTATGACATCTTCACCGCATAGAATAAATAAACCCTAGTTTTGAAAATAAATGTTGCTTTTTATATCATGAATACTGTTTGAATTCCAGGACTGTGATGGTTTCTGCTACAGCTGGATGAAGAACAGGCTGACAGTGCAGTCACAGCAGACTAGATGGCAAGGTTGGCCCAGTAGATGCCAGATCTTATTTATGGCTGCATGAAGTGCAGGGTCAGGTCCTTCTAGAGAGAAAAAAAAAGAGCTTCCTCAAGGCAGTAAAAAAGTCATGGTGATTGTCTGTCCACTTGAGATGACTGCAGAAACCAGCCTGCAGCCCAGCAGATGAAGGAAAATTAGACACAGATGGAGGGTTTGTTTTGTAGTTGGTTGGTGCTGCTGTTGGCAGATGTAGTTTTGTGTTGTCCCCATTCATTTTGATTGATTCAGCATCAGATAAAGCAAATGATGCATGCAGCCTGGAAGCTAAACTCAGAAAGTTCTTTGTTATAAAGAATTAATGCTTGTGATGCAGTATAAAGACACATGGTGTTGAATTTTCTCTCTTATAGAGGTAGACTTCTGAGAGACAGTGTAAGAAAAACTAGAGATAATGTGATTGACTCAATGTCAAAGAAGTGTTGTGTGATGATGATTAACTCCAGAACAGAGATTCAGGTCAGAGCTTAAGTGTGGGACTTAATCTAGTTAAATATATAAGTAGTTTGCTCAGCATAAACAGGAATCAGTAGTTTGGAGGGTTAAAATACTAGAAAAGTCACCAAACTTGGCCGACAAATGCAGAAGTTAAATGTTTGATGTAGATTTTGTCAGTGGACTTGGGTTCACAGCTCAGTTACACCTCCTACAAATTTTCAAAAATCAACCCCTGCAGCGAATTCTGAAACGTGGTCGGCATATGTATCACGCCTCTTGAGCCCAAATCCTAAACCTAACAGGAAGTACATCATCTTGATTTAATCGTACCTATCATTTATTGATTAACTCCTCACAAAGGGTTGATCAGATGTGCTCTAAATCAAGTGTACAGCTGCTGGAGACCTTACAAAAAAAAGACCTTAATACAAAACTCTGGTAGCTCGTAAAAGTGAAACATCTGAAAAACTGGAGACTTATACTCTCCCTGCAGGGTCAGTCCAGCCCACTTCAGATTGGATCTACAGATATAGGAGGTGTCAAAAAACGAATGCTCTTCAGCTCTGCTTCAAAACTCTGAAGGCAGAGTTGAGGCAGCTCTTCAAAGCTGCTTGTCTTGCAACACAGGAAGTTGCACTTAATCAAAAACACAGGGTCCAAACTGCCTCTAACTTCACATGTTTGATGCAAGTCCACCGCTGAACATTTCTACACGCCAGTATTACCTTTTTTTTGATCGGGCTTTAAATTTTAAGCGCTGCAGCTGTAAGATTCCTAAGAGTTTGAGAAAAATGTGTTGCATTAAAACGCTTCCAATAAGTTAATTTTACTCAGTTAATCTTCCTCGTGACCTCAGTAAGGGTGAGATCAGTGTCATAGCTGTAAATGACTGCACCGCCGCAGCATTGACACCATCAGAGGTGTGAGGTTGATGCTGAACTGTTGCTTATGTGTTACCACAATGCGCCTGATTTTAGAAAAATAGGGAAGAGGTGCCAGACTCCAAATGATACTCCAGTGTTTCAGCTTTGGTTTTGAAATGAAAATATTTTCTCTTTTCTGCCTGTTTTTGAAGTGTAGTGCATTTACAGAATGAAAAGGCTTTGAGAGTAAAGTTAACAAGCTCAGGAAGGTTTGCTAAAATCTGCCCCCATCTTTTGTTTATCTTGCAGCAGGAAGTCAGCGAGGTTCCTCTGATGCTGCCTTCTGAGAGCTTAACTAACGGTGACCTTGAGGCGGATGAAGCCGAAGCAGATGGCCTTGAGAGACCTCCGGCCAACATGACAGATCCACCCTTGACTTCCACTGCCTCTGCTGGTGTTGCTGTTGTCACGGAGACTCTGGAGGCAGAAAAGGAAGCTGTTGAAGGACGGGCGGCGGCCCTTGTGGCTGCAGCGAGAGCCGCGGCGTCGCAGGACCAACTGAAGCAGCGATTAACAGCAGGAGGTCACCCATGTGCCCAGTGTGACCGAGTCTTCATGTCCATGCAGGGACTGAGGTCCCATGAGAGGAGCCACTCAGCTATGGCGCTGTTCAGTAGAGAAGACAAATACAGCTGCCAGTACTGCCAGTTTGTCTCACCCTTCAGACACAAGTGAGTAAAGAGGAGCTGGTTCTGTGGTTCAAACCTACAGTTGAGGTCCGTGTAGTGTAGACTCTACTTTATGAGGAGTGGAAAACACTATCAACAGCGTCCCTACCCAATTCTAATCTCTGGGTCATGGCTAATGTTCATGTATTGGATGCTCGTCACCTCTGCCCCTGTACTGAGAAATTGCTAGCATAAACATAAGGCTAAAGGTCCTTACACACCAGGCGCGAATTCGCCAGGCGAATTATTCGCCTTTATTCGCCTTTTTTTAAAACAGCATAAAGTCAATGCAAGCTTCCACACCGGCGGCGATTTTTCCACGGGGCGAAAAGCCTCTTTTATTTTTTCCCTCTTGTTTCGAATTTTTCTGAGATTCGCAGGCGAATATCTGGACCTGCTAGACCTCTGGCCAATCAAAAGTCATGTTGTTGATGACGTCACAGACCCATGCGGCTGCAGTTCACACGACACACACCACCACTGGCACCAAGAGCAACAATGGGGGAGAGTGTGTACCACAGAGTGGTCACCCGGTGTGTATAAGCGAAAGCGATTTTTCGGACTGGTGAATATTTCCGCATTTTCGTCTCGCTTTTTCGAGTCCCTCGCAAATTCGCTGGTGTGTAAGGACCTTTAGTATGCTACTGTTTTCTGCAGACAGGGAGATTAAATTGAGCTCATTTTAGAAGACTTCCTTGACCCAATCTTGGTTTAAGTGCACACTTATCCAGAAATTCTTCATATATGTTCATAAACAGGAAATGGCCGAAAGCTGATTATGACTCAGTTTGATTATGATAACTTTATTAAGATGCTAAATGGAGAAAAACGCAAAATTCAGTGACATATTATCTCTAAAAAAAGTGCCTTTTTAAAATTTGCTCCTAGTTAAAATCAAATCTCAGATATTCTTAAAATGATGTTCCTCATTCAAAAAAGGTATTTATTTAAATCAAAATGAAGTGACTTGATTGTTTGCTCATTAGTATGTTTATTAGCATATTAGCTTTTAATTAGACACTAAAAAAACACAATAAGAATAAAAATGATGAAATATGGTGATAGGAGGTGTCCACCCGACAGCGATGATATACCACATGCTTATAAGCAACTCAATAATGGTTAATATAAGGTTTGTCATATTGTATTTATTGACTCAGACCTAATATGATGATGTAGAAAACTGTTTTCTGGATGAAAGTCTAGGATCCAAAAGTTTCTAAATATATATATTTGCAAATAAGACAACGTACAGGAGTGTTGCCTCACTTAGCTGAGAACAAATCCCTGATAAGAAAACTGTCAGAATCGTCTTAAAAAACTGTTTAAAGTTGTTTTAAGGAGAAATTTCCTCTGGGGAAGGGTAAGGTTAAGAGGTGGCACTATATTAATCAAAGCAGAGTCTCTAAGAGGTCATTTGTTCTCAGTGTTATATCAGTTTACTCATGCCTTACAATACGTGCAATATGAATCCCTTGTGTTGTAAAAACCCTCCCTGTTTTATACCTTTCCAGTCCCACACCAGGTGCTCTCAGAATCATCTGGATGTAAACTCATTTTGCACAGGCCTCACTTTTACGCCTTATTCTGTTTACCCTATCACATCCTCTGGATCTTCAATCTTCTCGAAGATTTCCTGCCTCCTAGGAGAGAAAGACAAACATTACGGCAAGACTGAGATTTTGGTTGGACGATTTGTTTTATCTATCACAGAGACACAGAGCGAGAGGTGGAAGAGAGAGTCCTCATCTCCTCTGAGCTCCCAGGTGTAATCCCTCTGTACTGTATGTGCCCTGACCCAGAAACAAGCTGCATTCCCGTGCCACCTATGAGGCTGGCATTAAAAACACAGCCACCGTTCCCACAGGCACACACGCACTCAGCCCCACCAGGGGATTGTGGGTAGATGAGTTCACCCCATGGCTCCTTGTTGTGTTGTCATTGGAAATGTGTTGTTTTTGGGGTAAACAGTATGGGGCGCTTTAGATGCTGCAGAAAAACCCTGCTGTTGAAATCATCAAAGTGAAAGCTCTCTTTCCTGTACTCTATTCTTGTCACTTTCTCTCTCTTTGTCCTCATTTCATCATTCTTTTCCTCTTTTATCTTCTAATCTCATATCCTCTCCTCTTGTGTTTTTTGTATATTTTGTCTCCTCCTCAGTCTGGACAGACACGTGCAGTCCCACCACGGGCACCACAAGCCCTTCAAGTGCAAACTGTGCCCCTTTAAATCTGCCTACGTGAGTCGCCTCAAGAGCCACCTGCATAAGGCACACACAGGTACGAAAGAAACACACGCTCATGCATTTAATCACATCCTACAGCTGTATCCATGACTAACAAGGTATTCCCAGAGTAACATCCTCCTGTTTATCATCTTCCATATAAAGATACTGTGCTTGATTTAGCTTTTGCATCGCAATGAAACCAGAGGATTATCTGAAGCAGCAGATTCATATTCCACTGTTTAAATTACAGGGAACATACAAGACATCCAGAAAAAAGGCTTGATGTTGGCCCAGACATTTGCACAAATACCTAAAATGAGCTCAAAGTCAATACTGAATTCAAAAAGATGGAGGCAAACACTTCAGTTTGATCGTATTCCTCTGCACATCGTGTTTTTTTTTTTCTTACATTTTTAAGGGAGCCAGACTCCAGACAAAGACCCAGACATAGTCGAACAAATGCAGAAAAGCTCCACCTGTGCAATCAATACGTGAGCAAAAGAAACAATCTCTTAAGATGGGCGAACGAGATGGGCCAATTTTCAGAAAGCTTTTGAGTGCTCTCAACTGTCTGATAGGAGAGAATGAGAAACAGGAGCAAGAGATAACAACACCTGCTGATAATTGATACAAAACAGTTTGAAGTTACAATTATATTTGGGGAAAAAAACAAGAATTCGCAGAAACATTCAGCATTAAATTTCATCAATGTGGATCACTGATTTACCTTAGTTTGCTTGCTTTCAGTTGCTTTCACCTGGAGCTTTTGATTCCAACATTTTCTCACCAGGAAGAAGTTTCCATATTGAAACACTGATTTAGTTGTAATGTTGCCGCTCCACAGGATTCTGTTTGCATCAGGTGATGATGCAAATATATATTCAGCAGCTACAGGAGGCAAGATGCTATCAATCCTCACGTATACCCTTAAAAAAAACTCTACACAAGGTCTCTTAGCAGAAGCAGCATCATGGCAGAAATACACATGCACAGAGCCAGCAACCTCCCTGAGTTAGAAGTGAAGCCAATGTAGTAAAAGCTGAAGTGCAAAATACTGCAGTTCCTCAAGTGTCCAGCAGAGGCTAGCTGCAAAGCCAAGGACTCCACTTTTGACCATTTTACAGCTAAATTAAACATTTTACAACTCTGTTAGTTTTTATTTATCTATTTATTTATTTAAGCACATATCTTTTTTTCTCCTTTTTTGCACTCAGGTCTTTTTTTTATGCATTTTGGTAACATGATTCAAAGGCAAAGAGTTATGCACAAGTTTGCACTGGCTGACAAGGGAGCACAGTGACTGTTACCTGTGTGCAAGGTGGGTAAAAGCTCACCTCAGCTCCTAACATTTACCCGGTGAATCAACCAATCCAATCATACCTGCTTTATTTATATAGCACATTTTAAAAAACATTCAAGTCTACCAAAGTGCTGCACAGACACAGATAAATTAAAAGAACAAACACTGCAGAAAACATCGAGGAAATAAATAAAAGCAGGTAAAAAACATTTAAAGAAATAAAATAAATGAAATAAAACCACAAAAGCATAAAAGAAATAAAAGTGATAAAAGGACCGTATTAGGACAGAGATCACACAACTGTCATGTTAAACTAAAAGCCAATAAATAAAGGAATAAAAATGAATAAAAGTGAATAAAAATAATAGAACTAAAAGAAGTTTGGTTCAATATGGGACTTGCCGTGAATGACCAATGGGTGAAATTAATGCGTCTAAAATCGTGTTTTTCTATTATTTTTAAAAAAGCCTTTGCTGACTCATCAGATGTGGATTGTTTGAATTCAGACCTCAACTGAGACTTCTGAAATATTCTGTGTCGCTTGTTGGAGAATAAGTTAGTAAGTCTGATATCTGATTATTGGTTTTCAAAGGAAAAAAAAAACAGGAAGCAGCCGCATTAGTTAAAATACCAATTCAAAGCCTATATACATGTTAACAGATGTGGCATTCATTTAAAAATAGTTGCTGTAGTGCGTCTGACATACTGCCCTGTTTTTTTTCTTATTTATTTATAACAAAAGTCAGCTGTAGAGAGGCATCTACAAAAACAAAGACTGCATAAAACTTAGCATCTGTTTTCATGAATCCACGTGTTCCTAAAAAGATGATCTGAAGCTCATAAAGTTGTGACAGAAGCCAGATCAACCATAAATAATTAAGATGTCTGAAACCATTTTTATGAGCCAAGCTTTCAACATGTTTAATTTTGCTGCAAAAAATGGACATCTTGAAACAGGACCCATTTGGATCCCTTGGCTCTTACAGTCAGCCTCAAGTGGACACACAAGGAATTTCAGATTTTTGTTCTTCAGCTTTAGTTTCATTTGTTCAGCTCAAGAGGTTGCTTTGTTTGAGAATTGAGTCACATTCAGATGCTGCAAAATCTCCCTTTAAGCCATGTGCTTGTAAGTAGTTGTGGTGTTTTGCAGTCAAATCACCTACAATTACAGTGAATGTCAAGAAGTTGTATTTAACAGAGCCTGTTATTTCAAAGCTTCGTGTTAATGCGCGATACTGCGAAACATTTCCTTTAAAGTTTTAATGGCACTTAAAGAAGCGTTTCTCTCTTTTTCAATCAAGATACAACGAATTAGCCCAAAGAGAGCACTTCAACTTAACTATCAAAACAAACACAACAAAGTGCTGTACAAAACGTAAAAGCTACAATAATGTACGCAATAATGTCATAGAAACAGGGACACATATTGAATTAGCAAGACACACTGAATAAAAGGGAAAACAACTTAAAACTCCGGCTGAATGAAACAAAGAAAGAGAAGATTTAAAAACAATACCAACAATCAAAAACAACAGCTAAATTTAAGAGACAATTTAAAAAACATGGTAGTTATCACCATCATCCTGTTTTATTGTTTTATAGGGAACATTTCGTCCTCTACTGCCTTTCTGCTGCACAATCATGTGTTAATCGAGATACTGACTTTGTGATCTTGATGTCTTTCCAGGTGAACAGCACACATACAAGTGCTTGTCGTGCCCCTTTTCCTCCATGACCATCAGCCAGCTGAAGGAGCACTCACTGAGAGATCACGGCGAGGCTCTGACCCTCCCCAAACTCCGAGCTGCCACACAGGCCGCCCACACTACCCCACGGCTCTCCCGGCTGCCTAGTAACACAGAGCAGAGCCCCCTAAATCCGGATGGTAAGAGATCCTGGGTTTTATCATTATTATCAAGTTGAGATCAATCTGGAAATGAGAAACTTCTGTTGAGTGTCAAAGCAAATCTACTGTACGAAGATGTCTTAGAGGAAACAGATCTGCGTCATCATGTACTGTTCGTCACTTTGGATCAGAGCGTCTGCTAAAATGACATCGCAATTTTGTAATAGCTCTGGTATTGAAGCGCATAATCCATGAAATAGATGTGATGCAATAATTGAAACCAGAAATCCCAAGAAATCAAAAACAACTTTAAAGCTCCTGTGTGGAGTTTTTTGTGACAATGATATTCAAATCAGTTCCTCGTTGTGATATAAAAAAGCAGACAAGGGCATCTAGGACAAAATTGAAAATTCTTTTGTTTTAATTTTTGATGTCCGAAACCCATGTGAGGGTGTAGGTGTTAGCGTAAAATTAATTTAGGGTCAAACACACCATAACACTGAGTTAGACACCCCCTCGAGAGATGAATGTTGCCGACCGCTTGCTTCTCTAGTTATGGCAACCTTAATAGTGACCACAGATAGCAATACAGAGAGCCACGCGCTCAAACAAAACGCTACTTTATAGCCACAAATAATGCTCAGAACAGCACCTAACTTCATCAACATATAGGGTCACAGCCAAAGTACTAGCCACCAAACATCTTTTTAGCTTTGCCTAATTTCTTTAGCAAAGACACTAAACACAACTCACCTACTCTCTTCCAGCAGCCGCTTGTCTGTAGAAAGACCTCCAGGCGAGTCCATCGACTGAGGCGGGGTGACGCAGCTCAAGGAAGAACATTTATGATCATTTCTTCATGGAAATGCAACCAGACAGAGACGCTAAGGCAGAAGAACTACCTCGTCTGCAGTGCAAAATGATTAATATGGTGATTATTACTTCAAGGAAACGATAAAGTAATGATCATGAATGTTCTTCCTTGAGCTGCTTCACCCCGCTGCAGTCAATGAACTTACCCAGAGGTCTCCGTACAAACAAGCGGCTGCTGGAAGAGAGTAGGTGAGTTGTGTTTAGTCTCTTTGCTAAAGAAATTAGGCAAAGTTAAAAAGATGTTTGGTGGCTAGTGCTATGGCTGGGACCCTATATGTACTGTTGATGAAGTTAGGTGCTGTTCTGAGCATTATTTGTGGCTATAGAGTGGTGTTTTGGTTGAGCACATGGCTCTCTGTGTTGCTATCTGTGGTCTTTACTAAAGTTGGTATAACTGGAGAAGCAAGCGGTTGGCAACATTCATCTCTCAATGGGGTGTCTAACTCAGTGTTACGGTGTGTTTGACCCTAAGTTAATTTTACGCCGGAATATTCCTTTAAGCGTGAAGATGACAGGATAAGCAAAAGCTTAAAATTAGAGGAGCTTTAAATTAGTTTTTTTTTCTAATAAACTTTGAAGTATATTTTTTTATGTGTTTTTTTGTGAAATTTTTTACTGAAACTCCTTTTATTAATTTTTAGATTTAATATTTGTCATCTGTCAAATTATCAGCAAGTTTCAACTACTCAGTCCGGTAGAATCCAGGATTTAAACTCTGAGATTTCAGGACTTTGTCTGCTGATCTTTGACCACTCGAGCCTTCTTTTAAAGTGGATTACGTTGCTTTATTATTCTCAATATTTCTGATCAAGAAGACACGTCATCTGTAGGTTGACATACGTTGGCTAACCCACAGTCCTGCTGCTGTGTCGTAGGTGTTTTAGTCGCAGCACAGCCTCTTTAGCTTGCAGACTGTTCTTGGCAGCAGCTGTCACCTTGCTGCTGGAGCTGAGGAATCTCCCCTGGAGCTGAAGCAGGGCAGCATTCCTCAACGCACCAACCACCACGGTCAGCTGTGACCGACCAAGACAAGTGAAGCATTGAGAGAGAGCAGAGCTGACATATTGAATGTCTCTCTACTGTGCCAAACCAGCTACCTTCAGCTGAATGTCCAAATTTAAGTCCAACTTTCAGTGGAATAGAGGGTCTGTTTGGGGTGGGTTAACATTTGATTAGCTCTAATTAGCAACGATTTTATCTCAAATTTCATTTTTTTTGTGACAGTAAAAGCTGCATCTGCTGAAATCTAGCATTGAACCTGAGTTTTATTTTCCAACTCTGTCTTATGTATTTAAGGAAGACTGCCTTTGAGTCCTCTTAAGATATTTTCAAGGTGCCCTCCTCTCTCTCGCTCTCTTTTCTCCAGCTCCTCACAGAAGTATTCCACCTCTCATTTATTCAGTGTCAAAGACAGTTTTGACCGTAAATCCATTTATGTAGACACATCCCCACCCCGTGACACAATTTGCTATCTCATTTTCTCACATCTCCACAATGCAGAGGGGATATTAAGAGCATGAATCAACTGTGGCGTCGTTTGATTCGTATGAATTCCTCTGCCTCCTTTGGAAAGTGAGAAATTGAGTCTCAAGCATTTTATTAAGTAAAAGTTTAAAAGAAAAAACTTTTCCCCTCCCCTCCAAGCTTCTCCATATCTGCACGAGTGCTGAATGAGGCATTTTTCACATGGATAGATATTCTATTAGTGTCACTGTGGTTTATTTATTGATGTGTTGAAGGCTCAAAGTAGGACGAGAAGATGAGCTTGCTCACTGGTATTATAGACTCAGAAGAAAGGGAATGAAAAGAGAAAGGGGACGAATGATGACAGTCGTGGTTATATGTCTGTGTCTGGAGGGAAAGAAGAGACATTGGCACCCTTCTCAAGGAAAAAAACAGCTGCTGTCTGCTGATAGTCCTTTATTATGTTCTTGAAGTCCTCTCAGAATATGCAGTTTTATGTTTCTGCATGCCTTTAAAGTCATTTTGATGTCCATCTGAAGACCAAAAGAACTAGAATTCAATGAAATACATTATTCTGTTACGCACAAAAATAACTTAAGTCTTTATGTTACACATGAAAGTGCATATCAGAAGTAAAAGTGGAAATTATAAGAATCAAGAAACACCGGGGCGGCAGTAGCTCAGGAGGTAGAGCCGGAAGGTTGGCGGTTCAATTCCCCCAAATCCTGAGTCTGTCCGTTGTGTCCTTGGGCAAGAAACTTAACCCACCTTGCTCCCAGTGTGTGTCCTCCACTGGTGTGTGATTGTGAGTGTTGTGTGGTGGTGGTCAGAGAGGCCGTTGGCGCAAACTGGCAGCCCCGTTTCTGTCAGACTACCCCAGGGCAGCTGTGACTACTAAGGTAGTTTACCACCACCAGGCTGTGACTGTGTGAGTGAATGAATGAATGATGTTTCCAATGTAAAGCACTTTAAGGGTCTCTGATAAAATGCTATATTATTATTATTTGTTTTTACTTTAAATGTTGCGGATAAACCAGACATTTAAAAAAAAAACTGCAACAAGGTAAAAAGTGTTTATTTGCATTTTCCTGACATAAACATAAATAAATTAAAAAATTTAAAAAAAAGTTTGACTTCAAAGTTGTTTCACTTTCATTGACTTTGCATATGTTGTCCCAAAATGATGAGCTTCTTTCTCTCGATGTGTCCGCTCCTCTCTAAGATCCATCATATCTGGAGCCAGCGGATGTTCGTCAGCAGCTTAGTCATTACCAGCTGGCCTCCCGCAGTCAAATGTCTTCCGGCCTAACACCTGGTGGCTCAACGGTGGCTGACAATCGACCAGACGGTGTCCTTACTTGCGAGTTCTGTGAGTTCAGCTCCGGGTACATGCAGAGTCTGCGTCGGCACTACAGGGACCGCCATGGTGGCAAGAAGCTCTTCAAGTGCAAGGACTGTTCGTTTTTCACCTGCTACAAGTGAGTGATATACTAACACATGTCAAAGGGGGTGATAAATCTATAGATACGATGTTGACAAGAGGTTAAATTCCAGCTTTGGTGAAATGGTTCCTCTGCGTGTCTCTGAATCCGTCTTAGGAATACCTTCACCATGCACGTGGAGGCCGGTCACAACAACAACGCACCCGAGGAACTCCCTAAAGAGCTGCGCTGCCCTCTCTGCCTCTACCACACTAAACACAAGAGCAATATGATTGACCACATCGTCCTGCACAGAGGTACGATCCAGGCAAAATGGAAAAAGGAAATCTGAAAACTTTACTTTAGATTTAGTAGGTCAGCTATTCCTGTGCTATTATTTGCTTTTTATTTTCCTGGAGGGGTGTTAGATTAGAAGATAAATGGACTATTTCTTGGCCTGTGTGTAGCTTCTCTATTAGCTGATTATAAGTACTTGAATGGTTTATACTCAGTGCTTGCACATGGTGATGTCTCTTCTGGTGCTAATCGAGTCAAATTGACGTTGAAATTGAAACGTCACGACCAGAAAGCAGGCAGTTTTAGAAGAATCTAAGATAAGTTTGTGCAAATGTGAAAAAATCTACATGATATCTCTTATGTACCCAAACACCTCCTCTTCTCAGTCTGTCATCAAACCACTACCCTTGTCCCTCTTTTCTGCCATCAGTTTTCTACATCTCAAAAAAATTTCTCTTCTCCTCCTCCACTAGAAGAGCGCGTGGGACCGCTTGAGGTCAGCCGATCCAAGCTGTCGCGTCACCTCCAGGGCCTGGTGTTCCGCTGCCACAAATGCACCTTCACATGCTCCAGTGACCAGGCTCTGCAGCTGCACCTGCAGAAGCACGCTGAGATCAAACCCTATCAGTGCCAGCTCTGTTACTATGACAGCAGTCGACGGAGCCAGCTAGAGGAGCATCTACGCCTTGAACACAAGGTCAGATGGAGTAAAAAAGATGATACCTGTGAAGTTCAGAGTGACTAAACTTGAATTGATTAACCTTATATTCTTGGAGGTTGCTTTATTACTTTGAAAAAAAGAAGTATCAGGTAATGACAAACCATGAAAAGCGGTAGAGAAAACTAAAGCTTGCTCATGTTTGGAGGAGTGGAAGCGCAGGTGTGGTCGCTGCTGGGAGTGATGTTGCTCCTGCTCAGAGTCTTAAAGGGAGTGTTGCTCAGACAGACTGATATCATTTGCAAATATTGTAGATATACACACAGTGAAAGGTCATTGAATTCCCTTCCTTTTCTTTTTCAAGCTTCTGACTCAGATATACTGTAAATAAGGTCATCACCATCTTTGTGAAGTATAAAAATACGTGTGTAGCCCAGCGGCACAAAAAAAAGGAACGTTTTCTTTCGGAACACCCTGTTGCATTTAGATTTGGTCAAAACTCACTTAGATAAATAAAAAAAACACCTCTCTGGATGTAATTCTGAAATGAAGGTCTTTCAAACTGAGCAGATTAACAAACTCTGGATTAAAGTTCCGCTTTAAAAATGATCTCTAAAGTAAACACTCATAATTTATATTCGCCGAATCGGACTTCTCTTTTTATCCGTGTATACATGCAGCTGAGAAAATCAAATTACTATCCTCCTCCCTAAAACTAGGGGGCGATATGGGTCTTTTCAGGGGCGCTGTTATCAACCCCGTACAACTGTCAACAACAACAGCAGATCCGTGCAAGACGCCAGAAGTGGCTACCACTGCTGCTGGGCATTTTCGAGCAAGAAGATGGAGCATCGTAGCCTGGCTGGGTCATCCAGTTGCGTGAATCACTTGCCGTTCCTTCCCACAACAGTCTGGACTTCGGCCAATTGGGAGCGTGTATTAGAAATCAGAAAATAACCGGGCCAATCAGTGACTGTGTTTCCACTGTTCCCCGGACAACAGGGAAAGGCAGCCCCTGATTGGTCCATGTGTAGATGGTGACGTCTAACACATGCTGCGGGACTTTTCAAAGCGCCGTTCATTCAGAACGCCGTTAATTCTGCAGTTGACCTTGCAAAGTCGGCAGAAATCGTTTATATCCGCAGAAGAAGACGTAACAGACATTGTTTGCTCGCACACATTGAAATATTACCAAACCTTTACTTGATGCTTGAGATCCCTGCAGGGAACACAGTTGCGCACTGTGATGACGTCAGGTGTTTGGTTATGGTGATTGGTTACAGTAGTCTGTCTATCAAGGAAAGTACTCCCGCCCACTTTTAGGGCTCCCAATTGGCCGAAGTCCAGACTGTTGTGGGAAGGAACGGCGAGTGATTCATGCAACTGGATGGCCCAGCCAGGCTAGGATCATCGTACAGCGTTGTTTTTGTCGTACATGATGTACGCGCTACTTTTTCTGTAGATGAGATGCACGCTACTCCTCTGGTGTTTTTGTTCTGGGGTTATGGGGGCGTGGCGTACGTGCACATGCATTGTCCAATCATACTCCGACTACGCTGATTACATGGTAGAGAAAATCGAATTCCAATCACGTTATCTGGATCTTAATCTGAGTTCTCTGACTAAGACTAAGGTGTTTACATGCACTTCAGTTTTCCGGTCTTAATTGAAGTGAGGCAGTAATTCGGTTTATAATTGAGTGTTATGTAAACGTACTGACTGTTCATATACAGACAGATTAACACCTCATGTCTATGATCAGGTCATCCGAAACTTTGAGCTGATGGGCCGTGTCAACCTGGACCAGCTGGAGATGATGAAGCAGCACGAGAGCAGTGCAGAGGAAGAGGTGGAGGAGGAAGAGGAAGAGGAAGAGGAAGAGGGAATCATTGAGATGGGTGTAGATGGGAAACTAGCTGGTGCGGGAGAAGAAGAGGAGGAGGAAGAGGAGGAGGAGGACAAAGAGATGGGAATGATGACAAACATGGTGCAGGAGCATAGAGAGGAGGATGATGAAGAGATGGAGGACAACATCAAGGAAGAAGAAGAGGAGGAGGAGGAGGAGGAAGTGGATGAAGAAGAAGTCAGGGCGGTGGAGGAAGAGAGACCAGCCCCACAAGGTAAATACAGCTGAATTAATACTCATCTTTTGTGTCATGTCTTCATCAGTCATTTCTGGATCTTAACACATTTTAGTCTGACCAGTTGTTTGGACTCTATTTCCCAGAAGTCTTTGCATCCCCCACCAGCAGCACCAGCAGCAACTCTGGGCCAAGTGGTGCAGAAAAGCGTCTCCCCTGTGAATTCTGTGGTCGCTGCTTCACCAACAGCCTCGAGTGGGAACGACACGTCCTTCGACATGGCATGTTAGTATTTTTCCCCCCTCCTCCTCCTCCTCCTCCTCCTCTTCCTCCTCCTCTTTCTCTTCCTCTCCTCTTCTCTTTGTGAGTGAGCTTTTGTGTTCCTCATCTACTACACAGCGAGACACGATGGTCCTCTCAGTCTTTTTAGTCTTACAGCAGACAACACGGTGTAAGTCTTTGTGCGGTCTCACTTTGGATTAGGCAAGACGAGTTAATTTCTGCAACAAGGCGATTCAAAGTGCTTAACGCATCCCAATGTCTCAGCTCCATTAGTGTTCAAGTTTTCTCCACGTTTGACTACAAGTGTCTGTTTTTTCTCTTTCCTTCAGGGTGTTTAACAACAGCCGCATGGACACCAGCGCCCCCTCTGCATTAGAGGCCTCAGCTTCATCTTCCACCAGCTCCTCAGTCCCGATGGACGCAGGATTGGACCTGTCCAGCAACAATAAAGAAGAAGGGAATGCAGCTAATCACACACTGAGCAGTCAAAGCCAGTATGTGGAAGACGTAGAAATGCTCGACACCAAAAAGGATCAACAATTTGGTTGAACTCGTTGTGGACTATTTGGGTTAGAAACTGATAACCTGGGGTAGAATAAGCACTGAGTTGGACATTCAAATAGGACGGGAAGAAAAACATTGAAACTGAAAAAAGTGACTTCTTGTGAGTTGGCGCATCACTAGATTTTATGTGTTACATATTTAAGTATTAGGTTGTGCTGCATAAACAGCTGAGCTCTTTTAATGGGCAGTCCCTAGGACAGATTTTAATATATTGGTAACCAATAGTGAACAGAACTCTTTATTGCTGACATTCTGGTCAAATCTACAGTGAAAGATCCCACCTAGATAAAAACTAAGCTATTTATGAAGAATGTTGTCCAAGATGAGAAACTAAATTCAACATTTTCGTGTTTCAAGCACCTTTTACACTCGCCCCTACTTCTACTCTGACTGTAAATTTACAGAAAAAGCAACAAAGACAAGATGAAAGCATTTAAAACTATTGTCCTCTGTAGAGTTACCTTTTTCATGTTTTCTTGTTCAAATTGGAGACTTTTTTCCATCCTAGCCTTGTGTTAAATGTGTAGAGGTATTTCTGAGGAAGAGTTGCACCTTATCTTTTTTAGCAAAACCTTAAATTGTGTTTTCTCCATCGTAGAAATACCATCATTTCCCCTAATGTTGTAGCAAATTGCTACATTTAAGGTCCCTTAATATTATACTACGTATAAGCCCTCTCTCTGTGGCACCCTTTGCCTTTTGACCGTGCTGTTGTACCGTCCAGTTATTTTACCCATGAAAAAATTGCTAATAGGGAGATTAGTCTCCGTCTTTCCCCCCCGCAAGAGATCTTGTTGTTTGTGGTTGATGTCAAACAAGGCCAAAAGTGGCGCAATATTTCTCAACATGATTAACTGACAGTGATTACGCTTGTCTTTTCATCACCAAGTTTGTAATTGGATGTAACATGATCAGCTGAGTTAGCATATCGTATGCACACTCATTATAAGAGTCCATTTCCGCTAAGTATACTATACCTGGGACAGAGGGAAAACTCAGTCCATGTCTATCAGAGATACTGGGGTCTTGACAATTTGTAAGGGTTCGATTTTAACCCCCGAAATTCTTCTCTTGAGAAGTACGAGGGGCGTTGTGGTGCTGATCACTTTTTATTGGATGTGTATCCCCAGTATTTCATTTCCATGTTTACAAACCAGAAGACAAACTTGAGCATCAGTCAATTCCTCAATTCTATCATCAAATTTGTCATGTGGTAAATTATAATTACAGGCAGCACAATTTGAACCCTCTCAGGCTCAGTGTTGGGCAAATAATGATCTCTTTAGCTTTATAAGGTATTGTGGTTATCATAGTATCAAAGAAGATTGCATATGGATATAGATGTCTAGCTGCTGTGTTTGAAAATGCAAACAACAAGTTCAATTCCTTAAAAAGTAGTTCCTGTTACCAAAAGTTCAGGCAACTTTCCATGCAAAGTTTGAAGGACTGAGAGTTGTAGCCAAAGCCGAAGTGCCTTAAAGTGCAGTTTCTCTAAAAGACAACAATAGACTTGAACTGCTCTGAGAAAGGATTCCAACTAGTTCAGAAGTAACCATGATACAACTTCCCTCTTTAAATTATGATCGATTTCTCACTCGATTTAAAGGCTGGTTTCACATATTTGTCCACGATCAATTCAGCTGAAAGTAGATTTTTCAAAGTTCCTTCTGATCTGATACAAATAAATGGAAATTATTTTTTTATACTCATAGCTTTGAAATAAAATGGATGCTATATTGGAATAAATATTGAAATTACGGCTGATTTCTGAAAATAATTAGTCCCTTGCTGTGGGTACTATAAAAATCAAACTCTTAAGCTAAAATGGATATTTGTTTTCTTGATGGAGAAGTTTAGCTGCCTTTGTGTGCTACTCTGGAGATAATCTTTCAGTTTCCTTAAACTTGCCTTTTATGTGTGAAGATTAAACTCAAATCGATGTATAATTTTTTTAAATTTCCTCGAGGGAACCTTCCCAAAAGGATAAATAAAGTTCTCATCTTATCTAATCTCTAATCTAATTCCTCTCTTTTCAATAATTTACTGTTTGTGGCACAGACTTTGCTCTCCACAGCGTGCAGTTTAGGGTATTGTTGAATTATATTGATATCCAAACCATTATCGAGCCTCCACAATGATACAAGTCTTTATTGATTTCCATTTAGACTCTTTTTTTTCTATTTGTTGGAGAAGACACCATGACAATTTTACCCAAAATGGTGTTTCTTAGCCATGGTTTTCCCCCCTACAAAAAAAAAAGTTGTACCATAAACAACATTTTCTTTTTCTCACTTGGTGTGGTAAGAAGTCAGCAAAGTTAAGACCTCAAGCAATTGATCACCAGAATGCTTTTCGTGTTTAATTTGTTGGCCACAAAAACGATCAGACAGTTTATGTTAATAGATCTGGTTTTAATCCTCATCCGTAGATTTGACACATTATGCTGAGAAGACAAGTGTAACCAAGTCAAAGAGCCTCAAAATCATTTTGTACAAACTTAAATCAGGATATTGGGAATACTGAGAATACATGTGGGAGACTGACTCTCAACCCCTTCGACTTGAACCCCGTTAAATTGTCTTTCTGCGCGGACACTACTGTCATCACCTGCATATGTGTGCTACTTTTTAGGAAGTTGTGACATTATTGTTGTTACTGACAAAAGGCAGAGATTGTATTTGTTGGAAGTTGCTGCTTTGAATGCCCTTAAGCCTTATAAAGATGACAAATAGCAAATAAGTCAAATTATGTTGAAACCCAAAAAGACCAATAAGTAACAGTTGGAAATAAATCGGCTCATTACTCCATCCAATTTACAGAGGAAACGGTACCAAAATATTAACCAAGCCTGCTGTGTTTGCTGCTGTGATTGTATTTCATGAGCATCAATCAAACCATCATTGAAATGGTAAAGCTGGGTTTGAACCAGTGGATTTTGGAATTAGACTTCAGTGTGTGCAACCCAGTTGAACTTTTTTGCAGCCATGTATAGAAAACAAAACTACTTGTTAAGTGTTTGAACTGTGATGTTTCAGAAAGAATACTCAAACCTTTTTTTTCCTTTAGGTGTTTTCATCTTAAAAAGAAGACAAAAAAGTCATAATTGAAGATGATAGCTGACCCTAAGAGGCTTTCGAGTCCTCAGTCCAACATTATTACACTGTTGTACAATGTCTGGTGACAATGAAAATGATTTTGTACTGTAATGGGACAGGCAGGAAGGATGAGCAGTGTGGTTGTATATTTACACAAGGGATGAAAAATGATGCAGTTTTTCCACTTTTTGATCGCCAGGGGCTTTTATTGTGAAGAGGATAAACTTGGCTAAGTACAAGACGTGGAAAAATGTTCCTTTCGGGGCATTTAACTCAACAGCTTGGTCGTCTTCTGGGATAGGCAACCTAATAGATCTGTAGAGATCTAACCCACTCATGTCCAATCCGATATGTGACTCTCCGGTTTCTTATATTCATGACCAGTTAGGGCGGGAACTCCCAGTCAGCCTGCCCGTAGTCTACCCTGTCAACAGTAGGTGGGAATGTAGCAGCCCCACTTTGCTCCTCAGTCCGTGTAAAACCTGAGAAAACTGTTTGAGTTTGTGATGAATTTCCAAGCCCTTTTTTCTGTTCCTCAGGACCAGCTTGTAGCTCTTTCAAAGTAAAATTGTTGTGTAGAAATAAGCTTTGTAAGGCAGCTTTTTACCCTATTTGAAAGCCCAGTGCTCTGATGATAAAGTGGGATGTTCTGGGTAACCAAGCTGTCAGCCCCAAATAGTTTGTTGTTCTGTGATGATTTTAATAGAAAAAAAAACTATGAATCCCTCACTGTGTGCAGTCTCTGGACTGTTTTATTCCCCGTTAACCCAAAGCTACTCCCTTGCTGACAACACACTGGATCCTTGTAAATATGTTTCGTTTGCTTTCCGATGCATTTCTCTTCTCAGACTGTTGTTTCCATAGTTTGACACTAGAATCTCTCCTTTTTGCCTTTCTTCCCATATAAATCTGATTACCTGATGGTGGGTTGTGATGTTGCCTAGAATGATTGTTTACAACTTTATTCCATTTATCTCTGGATATTCTGTAAATATTGTAATTCATTGTCTTTTTTTAACTTGATAATAAAGTTATCAGATAACAGTTTGTTGTGTTTATCTTTTCTACTGAAACATGTGTCCAGTTGGGACTTTGAATTTGAAGCAAGTCATGCCAAATAAAGTGGGCAAAGTTTCACAACTTTTGACATTGTCACTACTACCACTGCTGGTTTAATTGTAGTTTAGGTGACTTTGTTGAGTGTCTGAATAAAAGCCATTCTCTGACTGGGGAAGCTACCCCCTCTACTCCCCATGTGCCCCATTGACTGCTTGCTTTTCGAGTTATACCAACTTTAGTAACGACCGCACGATAGCAATTCACAACAGTCTGAGGAGCCATAAACATACCTCAACCAAAAAGCCACTCTATAGCCACAAATAATGTTTAAAACAGCACCTAACTTCATCAACAGTACACATAGGGTCCCAGCCATAGTACTAGCCACCAAACATCTTTTTAGCTTTGCCTAATTTCTTTAGAAAAGAGACTAAACACAACTCACCAACTCTCTTCCAGCAGTCGCTTGTTTGTACGGAGACCTCAGGCTGGGACCCTATATGTACTGTTGATGAAGTTAAGTGCTGTTCTGAACATTATTTGTGGCTATAGAGTGGCTTTTTGGTTAAGGTTTGTTTATGGCTCCTCAGACCGCTGTGTATTGCTATCGTGTGGTCGTTACTAAAGTTGGTATAACTAGAGAAGCAATGACCATCTCATTGTGCTTATCTTTAAGCACTTCTCAAACAACATTTATGGAAGGGGTTTCTCTCTTGCTTCACATGAGTGGCCGTGGAAGTGAACTTACAGTCTTTCATTACAAGGGTCGTTCACCACGACAACACAGGTAAGTCTGATCCTGTCAGTTTTACGGTCTTTTGATTTCACCTTTCATTCAGCACAATGTAAACTCAAACGTAAGAGCTGCAGTTTTCTCCACGGAGCACCGCCGTCCTTAAATTGAACCCAGAATTCTTTCATACAGTAGCACCAATAAACTACAAGTTTGCATGGCAACTCTTACTTTTGAAGGTCCTCGTTACCTCTACTTTTTGACTGTGGAAGCACAAAACAGCAATTCAAGCCGCAACTCAAAGTACATGTAAAGAAAGCAAATGTTCTTGGCTGAGATAAAGTGCCTCTCTCTTGGGTTTGAACCAAGAATCCTTGAGAGGCAGCAGTCTTAACCACTACAATACAGGTGAACATGGCAGTGATTGATTATTAGGTGCCTTTTACTCTTGACTACGGTATTTTTACTCCTGCTTCACAAAGTCCCATGGAAAGCCTGAGATTTAAATGCAGAATCAATTCATTGAGAGGCAGCAGTTTTCAACACAAAACTTTAAAGGTTTTGCTGGCTGTGCTTGCTTTTTGTGGGCGCTTTTTACTTTCATTTTCTACATAATAATGTTCAAAACCAGATGTTAACAGTGATGTGAGGACAGGTTTCCTCTTTGGGCTCATAGTTGTCTTGGTCATGGACTCAGCTTTGTTTCAGCGAGAGACAGCAGCCTTCACCACTTTGCTATAAGTTGCTTTGATAAGTCCTGATTCCTTCTATTTTCTGACACTGGAAATTTAAAAACATGGTAGCCTCATCTCACCTACTTCAACTGCATTTCAGGCCAGTTTGAGAAAAGACTTTGATCACCAACGCATTTACCATAATTATCCCAATATGTGTGCAATTGAAATTCAAGATGACATGGGTTAAAGTAAGTAGAAATCAAATGTATAGGCCTACATTATCATGAATACATGCTAAAACTTTGATATTTTGTTGGGAAACTTATTTGTTGAGAAAACAAATTAGGTGTCAAAACTTGGCAACATTGATAAACTTGATATATTTTTTTAGCTTTTTCCCCCTGAACTAATATGTTTATGTTGGCACTACTAAACTGCAATAGTGGTCATCACTCAAAATTATCAACGCTACGATTTCACTGTTTATTTTAAGTGGAGACATCTCATCACTTTTAACAGTGTAGCTGAACATGATCACGCATGAAGATGTGTGCAAGCAAACCCCTCACATCCTCAAACTAAATAAATAAGGGCCCTCACAGAAAATATTTAATGTAAACATCAAAACAATCTGTACCAGACTGAGTCGATTAATGTTCAAGTCTGAGTACAAATCCAAGTAATCCATCCTTGAGTCCAAGTCGAGTCACGAGTCCTAAAAATCTCGTCTAGAATTGGACTTAAATTCTTTGTCCTGGACTTCAGTACTGTGACACTGTTGGATAGCTACATGTGCTCATGAACTACTTCATGGGTTTTGTCTAATGAAACCTCATTTCCTCAAATCTCTATTATGATCAGGATATTCCTCCTGAAAGTTGCAGAGTTATTTCTTTAAATTACACAATATTTTAAGATTAAACTAGATTTTGAATTGCATTATCATATGTATTGATAAACATGATGTTATACAATTATTTCTATCATATATTTTTGCAGTATCACGCCTAATCTTTGCTTCAACCTTTATAAAGTACACTGTCATACAGAAATTCACACCACTTCCCTTGGCAAAGTAAACAATTAAAAGTCTCTCCATTATCATCCATTCTGCTTTTTTTCACGTTTCCCTTGTCAGTGACATATAGGATTTCCTTTCTAACATGTCCACTGAGCCTCAGGAGCAACCAATAATAGTCCCAGCAGTTTGTGGACAGGAAATAGCTTTGGACTGAGAAGGCATCTCAGTGGCCTTCACTTTGCGTTACACCCATCCACCCTCCTCTTTCTCTCTCCTTCTCCTTCTCTACTCCACACCCTGGAAGACCGCTGCTGACCCAAACCACAAACCTTCTTAATGCCACTTGCGAGAGAGTGTTGTGTAAAATCTTGTGCTATGCACAGACATGCTGCTGTTCTTTCACCATGAATGCCACAGGTCTGTTGGATCAGCAGATTCAAGTTGTTTTGTTTCCACTGAACTTTTTACCGTCAGCCTTTTTATTTAAGAGGCACCGCTGTATCTCAAAAGCAGAAATTTGTGAAGTTTATATCTCTAAGTTTTGATTTCACACATGTACTCCACATTTCCTCTCCTGTCTATCTAAGAGGGGGCCAAGTCTTTATTTCACATGTCTAACATCATCTCTTAAGAATATCTCAGAGTCACCAGGGATCAGACAGCTATCCCTATGGCTCTCCACTTCAGAGGGGGCCGGTGGCAAACCGACGACCCCTGGAGACGGGAGGAAAGAGGCACAGCCACAGGAGGGAGAGAGGAAAGGAGGACACCACTGTAGAGCTGCTGCTCCTGCTGCTCAGAGAAACAACATAAGGAATGCCTGATGAGAGCGTGCTCTGAAGAAACTGCAAAGCATCACTTGTAGAGCAGCACAGCTCACTTGGAAAATTGCATGCCTTGTCCTCACAGCTTAATCCACCAGCCTGATGTAGAAGTCTCACCTCAGCAGAAGTCGAGCAGAGGGGTGGTCAAGTGAACTAATCTCCAATGGCTCCAAGTTGTGTCTTAATTTAGGGTGCAAAGTCCACTCTAAATCATATGATGACAGTAGGTACATTTGAAACTGAAGTTGTGTCTTTGTTTAGTTGCACTATGGTGGCATCTTAGTTTGCTGAGCATGAAGTCCAAACTAGTGGAAATTCTGCATCAGAAATTAAGTTTTCACATCCTGTGGTCAAAAGCACTTGGTTTGTCACATTGTTGCCTCTTATGTTTGCCAATTTGACCGTGGTTGCAGTAAGTATAAATACATACATAAACTTGAATCTCTGATGAGTGGCCCGCTGATTTTATTACAAACTTTTGCACAATGGGTATGCAACTACTTGTTTGGTTGTGTGATTGGAAACAAACTGCTTACAAGACTTAAGAGGGAAAATGCAAAGATGGACTTGACTGAGATGTGGTAGGTTATAAAGATCAGAAAGAGAGCTGAAAATTTCAGGGTAAATCAGGATTAAACTCCTGATATGTAGCCCACAGGCCCAAACAAAATGTTAAGCACATCTGTACTGTTGCAGATCAGTTAATGTTACTGGCCTCCGTGGATACTGACAGTACTTCCCCTTTTTGTTTAGAAAGATGCTGTAGGAAAAAAGGGGTACAAAATTATACAATATAATACAACACAAGAACTTTATTTATCCCCAAAGGGAAATTCATAAATGACAATCCTGTGGAGTATCTTAACTTAAACAAGGCTATTTATCAAAACAGGCCCCCAGTCAGTCTATTTTAGTCAGAAGGCAGTGCGAATTAATTAACAATAAATCACTGTTATGTTCTATATTCTTGTAAAAAAAAAAAAAAGACTATCATTTTCAAGACATTTCTTGTTGACAATAAACTAACTGGCAATTAAAAAAATAAAATAAAATGAATATTGCCTAATAATAGCAGAATAATATAAATATTGTTATTTGGCACCTTTTGCATGATCACAGCCATTAAAATCACAAAAATATATTGTATCAAAAGCTAAAAAAAAACAATCGAAGTTGATGGAAGTAGTGGTTCAAATATTGTTTTTTTTTTTAAGTATTATTAAAATACACTGAAGAAAAACAATATTGTAATTATTTACGTGGTTCAACTCAAACATCCAGGAGGTGGTGGTAATGCAACGATTGTGGAGACCAACCACTATAGACGAAGAAAGCTGTAGTTTTTGAGCGTCGATTTGTACTGCGCATGTGCGAAACGTACGTCACTGAAGGCAGAGAAGCCCCGAAGAAGAGCATCTCCGTTAGAACTTCCGTAACGACTGTAGTGGCGGGTTTTTCGATTTTGACACAGAGATTGACTTTGCAGAGAAAGAAAAATGACAAGTCTAGCGGTAGCTCAGCTGAAACCAAGAGTACCCAGATGCAGCGCCAAGATGGCGGACCCAAAGATAGAAAACCACATTTACAAAACGCAATAAGTTTCCGCATTACCTCCGATTGGCGGACCCAAAACATGAACTTTGAACTTCTGCTTTGCGATGCCAGAACAGTAGGTGGCGGTATGTACCTACACTTTCTGACGGCAAAATTTACAGAAGAAGAAGAACTCTCAGGAAGTTTGAAAAGAAGCAAGCCGTCCGCATTCATTCAATCTCACCTCCGACCACTCAAACTAACCCTAACCCTGCATTCCATTGTTTCCATCATGGGAAATCTAAGTGACGCTCTCAAATTAACAGGAACATTGCGCAGAAGATATGTCCTGGGCAATGGACTGAGAAAACGGGCAGAGATTTGGAGGTATTTGTGCATGCTCTATATTACAGTTGAAAAGTGTATAACAGCTTTCCAATGCTGTTACTTGTGGCGAACACCTTTTTGCTTGAGTTGATGCGTGCCCGCAGGTGGAATAATGTCACATGTCACACACATTTTCTGTCGTTTTGATTTATTTACTCATTCATCATTTTATGTGCGCACCTCTCCTAATCAACCCACCCATTAAATAGACAGGCACAATAGCACCATCTGCTGGCACAAAAAATACATAACAATAAACTGCAAAACCCCAATCTGGCTCCTACAAAGTGTATGTGACAAGATGATTAACGTTTGCTTTTGTTAAATCAGGGCTTCCCCAGCCAGGACTTCGGCTCAGACTGTGGCATATTCATGTTGATGGTAGGTCATAACGAGCTGTAATGCACAAATATTGTATCTAGAATAACTTTCCAACATGGACTTTTTTAAAGTTATCTCACATGTTGTCTCATAATTTTTTTTAAGTCTGCCATGTACATCGTTATGGAGTCACAGTTTGACTACTCAGTTGTAAGTACTTTTCAACACGCAGTGTCATCCTCAAGATTGTATTTTGTATTGTGCACTAAAATGAAATACAAACAACAATTTCAGCATGACATGCCTGTTTGGCGGCGATGGTGGTGCCTGTTGCTCCTGGAGAACAATTCTTTGAACAGGTAGACAGTTTAAGTAAACTAGATGTCCTAATTAACTGGAAGACAATCAATATATTGTACTCAAAGACATATTGTCATTACAGTTGTGGGAAAATCTTCGCCCACTGGACCAAAGAATGTCAAGAGCTCATTGCTGGAAAGCATACTCCGGTCTTCAGTCTAAAGAGGAAGGCAGAGCAGCAGGACATAGAGGTTAGAAAATTGCCTTGTAAAAACAGTATTATCTCAGTGGGAGTCCTTCAAAATGCACACAGTTGTATGGATCAACATCGTCTCGATGTATTTGGTAATTGATGTTACTTTTCAAATTGCCTTGTCAAGGAAACCATGACGCAGACGGTATCGGATGTCCAAAGAATGTGCATGGCAGATTCAATGCAATTCTGTGTCTACCAGACATCGAACAACACAGGAGAGAGGTGTGTTGCAGACTCAATTTAATAAATGCAATTATCGGGGCCTATTCAGTGATTTTCCATGAAGTGACCACTTTTACATATAGTTTAAATGCACGAATCATGCAGGAAAATTATTTATACATTCAAATGTGCTGCAGAGGTATAATCAATTGGACAGCGTGTTTGTTTAATATTATGTTTGTCTCTCATTTGATCAGATTGCTTTACCCTGAGGTAAACGTCATAAAATGGGTCCAGTGCAAGACGTGCAGGGGCTGGCTGCATCAGGATTGTGCTGGGATTGAAATGGAGCCGTTTGACTGCGGGTGCGAGGACTCCATTGAGCATCCTCGGTATAACATAATTTATCAAGGAAACATAGTATCAGTCAAAAATACGAGGCTCAAAGGATGAAAAAATGAGGGCTTGCTCTTTTCTTATTTCTCTGCAGGATCAAGGATGCTGTTGACAGTTGAGGAATTCATGCTGTCTTTTCTAAGACACAGATCAAGGTTGCTTTTGAATGCACTATCAGTTGTTAAAGCCACCGTTTCTTTTTCAGATGATTACATTTTTGTCTCTTGCTCTTTGGTTTCAGACATTACACGATGATCTACTGTCTGGAAAGATCCGCTCCAACAGAATGTTCCTTTGGAGGAATCCCGCCACCTCACTCCGACTAAAGCAGCATCTTAAGATAAGGACACTAAGTTGGAGTGAGCAGCGCGTAAGTAAAAATGCCATCCATCATGAGTATTTTTACTCTCAGGGGTGTTACATTTGAAAGGTGTTTACTTTCTGTGTTTTTCTTCAATAGATGTTCGAGCTCCTGCGGTTCATTGAGGTGGCAACAAACATTTCTAAAAAAATAAAGAGAGGCGAGATTTATCTGCTTGATTTCGTTTTTGACGTCATGCTCCCAGAGGTGAGTAGATCAAACTATATAGCTTGCTTTGAAAATTGATGATATTGTTAAGAGGTTGTTCTTATTCATTTGGAAAGCTCAAGAACAACAATTAACCCATACTGCATAACTTCAATTGTTCACATTATTTGACTGTTTTTCAGCTTTTGATCAAAGCACTGAAGGAGCATGGCATCACCCGGTTCAGAGCAGAGCAGATGATGGCCTGTGGCAACGTGTTTTAAGCCCCCCACCACACCGACGGCAGTGCTGAATTTTGTATATATATATATTTTTTTTTACTGTTCACAATTTTGTTTGGAAAAAATTAAAGAAATCTTCAAAGCAGTTGTATGACAATTTCCCATTTCTTTACACAGTCTGTAATGATATCGCTATTCAATTGTTTTTGCTATATGGCTCTTCTGAACCTTAAAGAGATCATGTGACTTGTCTCTACAACTATTGTATACTTGGATTTTGCACAGTCAAGCAATCCTGAAGAGGTTCACCAGGAAGCACACCATTTCATAAATGATGTCCCTGGTTACACAATGTTACTAAAGGATGGGGGAGTAAATTTGTGCAGCAACATAAGCACTCTCATAAAACATAATTATGAACAACAGAAAATATGTGAGGGTCAGGGCAACATTGTTGACATTAAACGAGGTCCTAATAGGAGTGGAGAAACAAGGTCACAGAGAAGTTAAGAAACATTGATGTGCTGTGTAATAAAGCTATTGGAGAGAAAAGTTAGAAAACACTGTTATATGATGTGTAACGAGAGGTTAAAACAGTCCATACTTGTAGCAAACTCTTACAAAAGAATTTGAGTAAGATGATAACTTCTACATACATTTACCTATTCTGACAAATTATCAGAATATGAGGACATCAGGCTATATATACATATTACTGTAAACTTCAGAATTAAATCAGAACAAAACAGTAGTCATAGTTAATACATAAACGTTTTATTTTGATTTTTAGCTCAATAATAAATTTAATTCGATTCTTATGGAATGAACGGAGCAAAAAAAAAAGGATCCGGCGACTAAATCCGACTACCTGAAGTATTTCGGCGCCGGAAGTCCGCCAACGAGAAAGCCTTTCCACCGGAAGTAATTGTTTTGGGTCCGCCAATCGGAGAAACTTATTGCGTTTTGTAAATGTGGTTTTCTATCTTTGGGTCCGCCATCTTGCGCTGCATCTGGTCACCTCTCGCTGAAACGGGGAGTGAGGAAGAAGGGGTCTTGAAAGATAAAATGTACAATGTTGTCTTACGTCTTGAGAAACACGGAATGGAGATGACCTGGACTCAATAAAAGAAATTCTATTCTATTCTTCTGACACCCCAGCATGCCGAACTGAGAGATACAAGAAATCACCAATCATATATATGTGCAGACTTTTAAATGAGAATGGTGTTTAGCTTTTTAAGTTTTTAGGTTGTTGCTTCTTAAGCTGCATTTTATATTTGAAGTTTTATTTTTTGTAATCAGCAAAATAATTCAGTGTTTTTAATGGCATCTGTCTTTTTTAAACATCTGTGATCATGCTGAAAGCTGAATAAACAAACATAAACGGAGTAAAGAAAGTTGATCGATTGAAGTTAACAATGATCATTAGAGCCGAGGTTGGAGAGGTGAAGTATGCAGGGGTTCTAGATGACAGGAATCTACTATAGGGACAACACGGAGCAGCAAGTGGAGAAAGCTTAAAAAGAGTTGCTGGAGAACCTCAGAGTGAGACACAGAGGGATTAAGAGTGTCACAAAATTGACGAGAGGTGTTGAGAAAAAAGAATCAAGAAACTGTAATACTATGACATTTTTACCATGCTATAGTACAGGGGTGGGCAATCATGTGCCTTGGAGGGCCGAGAGGCTGCAGGTTTTCTTTCCAACCCAAAACTCCACCAGGTGATTTCACTGATTACCTTACCTCCAAGCAGAGAGCAGGGACTAATCAGTGAAATCACCTGGTGGAGTTTTGGGTTGGAAAGAAAACCTGCAGCCTCTCGGCCCTCCATGGCACATGATTGCCCACCCCTGCTATAGTATGACATTTTTATCAAACTATACTGTGATATTTTGCTCATAAGTTCGATTTGATATTTTGATCATAACCCAGATTGTGGGTTCGATCCTTATTCAGTACTCTGTGAATTATTGTAGGCCAGTGTTTAAATAAAAAAGGGTGAAAAGTGTTCCTGAACATGTCAAGATTGTGTCCACATGGCTCAGAGGAGAAAAAATTGATTTAGATTTTTGAGGTTGAAGGTTCAAACCCTTATCTAGGTTCCAGCCCTACCTTACCCAGGTTTGGGTGAATTGTAAAGTCTAGTGTCCACAAAGGACAGTCAAAGAGGAAAAAAACAGAATACTCCTGTGTGCGCACATGGCTCAGTGTATAAGGAGACTGACTGGAACTCCTGAGATTGAGGGTTTAAACTTTATCCAGGACAAATTTTGAAGTCCAGGAGCCAAAGTACCACGATAAAAGAGCGCAGAGCTCATCCCCAAGTGTGGAGGGTATCTGGTGGCGCGGTGTGGTATGCAACTGACTGACACCCAAATGCAAGTCAGGAGGGCAGCCCTGGTTTGATACCTGCTTGGCACAAAGAAGATTCTGAAGCAATTTCTGGGGAACCAGGCCCGGGGGGAGGTTTCCTAAGAGGTAAAACGGGGGATTATGAGGCAGGAAGTCAGAGGTGGCTAAAATTTTGAAGAAACCAAGTCATCAAAGTGATGACTAGATGGCAAAGTGAAAACTAGAACAGTGATGACTTATAAGTGTAGTTTAGTCATCATGATGACTATAATATGGTCATCTATTATCAGGGCTCTCAAGTCTCACGCATTCAGCGTGAGACACACGCATTCCCACCTATTCACACGCTCACACGCCACACATTGTATTTCTCACGCATTTAAATGAACATGGTGATGTCCACCAAGTTGCACCTCTTTAACTATGGAACAGGTAGAAATCAACGGAGTTTCTCCGAGAGTTCAGAAGCTGCGTGCCACGCGCAAGCCAATCAAATAAAGTATATCTACTGAACAGCCAATCAAAAAGCAGCATTGCTGTATCCGGATAGATTTTGATATCTTGCGGTTTGACTACAGAAGAAGACAGACACTCGCCGAAATAGAGCAGGTTTTTATAAGGACGAGATAGACTCGATGATTACAGTAAGTCAGTAACCGACACATGCAGAGACCTCAACACCTCATGGCAGATAAACTCATATGATAAACTAAAGCCCTATGCTATTGCTATTAACAGCTGCATTGATGAATTTAGCCCCTGTACAGTCATTTCCCCTCCACAAAAGCAGCATTTCTCATATATTCTTTTTAAAGTTCTGATACTCGTGACAGTGTAATGCTGATATACCAAAGGATTAAGTATCTCCATGTCTGTGAAACCTATACTAAAGTACAATTCATCTAAATGCTCCTCAGTGCTGATTTTAACAACTCTCCTCCACAACAGGTAACTTTACTACTTTATTCTTAAAGTCATTAATGACTTTATTCTCCTAAATAATAACTTTAATCTCAAAGATTTAAAAATGTTTTTTTCTTTCTTAATGTGGCCCTCATAGTCCATTGTATTTATTAGATTATCCCCCCCCCCGGGAATCTCACTCTAAACTTAGTTCAAAACTTGAGAGCCCTGTATTATAGTCAAAGTAGATAGAAATAGATGACTATCTTCAGCTCAGGGAAGATGGCCACTGTGTCCCTCTTCTTCCAGCGACTAAAAAGGCAACTTCAGCCACAGAAAATTCACAGTTGGATTACAGCTCCGAAATATTAAAAGAGATTAGTACAAGATGAGAGATAAGAGGTTGTTTGTCTACTCATGTTCGTGTGTGAACAGGTGCAGTAGATGGTTACTAGAGGAAGTGGCGTAGGTTCCGCACTTGCGCAGTACAAATCGGGTAGCTACACAGACGACCAGTAGGGGCGCTCCATCCTCACCGTTTTACAGAGAAGAAGAAAAGCGCAAAGGCATGGCGGCTGACAGTTTGTAATGAGCCAACGAAAACAGACACCGTTTTTGCAAGTTGGACTTATAACGTTTAAATCATATCAGGGAGTTCAAACACGGACGACAAAATGCAGATAACTTTTAAAACCCTACAACAGCAGACGTTCAAAATCGAGATCGATGAGGAGGAGACGGTGAGAGTTGAAACCTTGCATTTCTGAAGGGGGTGGAGTGGGAGTGGGGTATGTCCTGGAAGCGAGCGCTTCAGTTTTTTTTTAAGAAATTCAAAACTAGACGGCCATTTAAAAGGTATGTTAAATTACAAGGAACTCTGTTAATAGAGTAAAGATCCCCTTTTTAAATGGCTTTCATTTGACGATAAAGTGAAGCTAATTAACAGCATTTATAAAAACCGGTCCGGAAGTAGTTTGGAATATCAGTATATAGCCATGGCCCACCGTAGGTTGTAGATGGGGGTTAACGCTGATAAGAGTTTGTGCTTGTGAATGAGGACCTTATGATAAATTTAACTTTTTTTTATTGCTTCGTACATCTTTACACGCCAGCATTAGTGCATGAACACACTAGTACAGAGTAGAGTTGAAGTGTTTACTTGAATCACGTTTGCGTGAACTTCAGTTGTTTTTTTTCTTCATATAAAGGCCGGAACCTAATTTTAAGTCTTAAACTGTAAGTGTTTCCTTTTGATAAATTTATTTTTAAGTATTTTTTTTTTATCACAGTATCACTATATAAAAATGACCTTCAATGAAGTGAAGTTTTGGGTCAACAGCTCACAATGACTTGCACTTTTTAAGCAACATGTGCAATGCCATTCAAAGCAATACAGTACAATCTACACAATTTAACATAATACGAGTCGTTAAGCTCCTGTGATTAGTTTTTTACATTTATTTTGATACTTTTCTGGGGTATACAAAAGTTAACAAAGCATCAGCAACAAGACTGGTAAATTTATATTGTAGTATTTGTTGTGAGGGGGTTCGGGGTTAGAACAGCTGAAGAAACAGCCCTGTTTTTCCTCTAAATATTCACCATCAAGTAGTAGTAATAATAATAATGATACTTTGTTCCATAGGTGAAGACACTGAAGGAAAAAATTGAACAGGAGAAAGGAAAGGACAATTTTTCAGTTGCTGGACTGAAACTCATATATGCAGGTATGTTATAGTTTGTTCTGTTTTTTTTTTCTCTTGGTATGACATTGTCCTAATTCACAGAATGAAAACACTCATGACACAAAAGCTCTTTTAATATTGCCTGTTTGAGACAGGATTGCTATACCTCACTGTAACTGTTGAATGAGAGGTTCAATGAGGTTCATCAGCTATCAGCAGCTATGATAGCTAAAAAGTTGTTAAAGGTGAAACTGTCAGTCTAAAACATCTGGGCTGACTTGTGCTGGTGCATGTCTGAGCGTATGTGTATGAAGCTGCTGCTGTTTGCACTTTGTCGCACTCCTGTCTAATGCCACAATGTAAAACCATACTTTAATATTGAGCTGCTTCTGAGTGAAATTTACAAGTACAGGGGCGTCATGAATGACGGCAGAGCTTTGATTATGCAGTTAGATGGTGCTGTGGTCCCAGTGTGAACAGTGTAGAAAATGAACACAACTTAAGATATTCTGTCTCAAATCATTTAGACTGAAATTTATATTCTAAAGGACTGACTAGTGTAAAGGTAAAAAAAACAAACAAACATGTGGATAACAGTGAAACTGAAGCACAGTTTATCTCATACAGTGAAACACAGGAAGATGGTGTTCAAAAGTAAACAAGGTCGTACAGAGTTTGCACCCCAGTTAGCGCTGCACTTCAAAACACAAAGTTGCTGCTTCTTGTTTTATTAACTTTTTATTTATTTTGGTCTAATTTGTGAATCGATTCTCAATCAAATCAATCAATCAAATTGTATTTATATAGCGCCAATTCACAACAGTCGTCATCTCAAGACGCTTTTCAAAGAACAAGAGCAGGTCTAGACCACTCTCATAGTTTGATGATCAAGAACCAAACTAAGATAGGTTTTGGCTCATCTCAACTAACATGAGTAGCAGTGGCAAAGAAAAACTTCCTGTTAACACGCAGAAACCTTGGGCAGGACCAGCCTCATGTTAGACAGCCACCATGATGAAGATGGAGGGAGAGAGAGGAGAGAGAGAAGAGGGGAGAGGGCAGGGGGAGAGAGAGAACAAGATAAGGGAAGGCGAGAGAGAATGAGTAAGGAGAGGGAGGGGGAGGGAGAGAGAGTAGAGAACGAGGGTGAGAGAGAGACGGGGGCAGCAGAAACAACAACAGCTCATGTAATGGTGAAACAAAATGAGTTCAGTTTACAGGGTTAGGATTTGAGTGATTATGGACAATTTTAAATTAATTAAATGTGATTACAGTCAGCAGGCCTAATCGTAGTCAGCTCTAGTTTATGTTATTAATGTCGTTGAGGCTGATGTTCATGTCTGCAGTAACAGTCCAGAGGAATCCAGGAGAGGAAGGAGCTCAGGGCCTGAGGTGGACAATCATAGACAGTAGTCAACTCTAGTTTTATGTTATTAATGTCAGTGAGGCTGATGTTCATGTCTGCAGTAACAGTCCAGAGGAATCCAAGAGAAGAAGGAGCTCAGGGCCTGAGGCGGACAATCATAGACGATGCGGCTAGAGTCAGGCAGGCGATTCTCAGAGGTGAAGCAGGAATCCTGAGTTAAGAGAGAAAGTTGATTACTACCTTTATGATACTCTTATTCTGTAATTCAGGCTTTAGGATTTGTTGAGCCAGCTTCTTTAAGTAAAGCCTGAATAGATTGAACCCCTCAGCTTGCAGGTCTTGCTGCTGCACGCTGCTAAATAATTGAAACTGACGCTGTTGTTCAATCCCTCAGTGGTTACTTACACGGCTCTGCAGGTTCCAGTCTAGTTTATGTAGCACACCCAGAGAAATATAACAAACACAAACATTGGACAGTGAAGTTTTGTTGATCTGTGTCCACAACCATTTGACTGTAAATAGTGCATAGTTACATTAACTGCAATTTTTAAGACATGAAAAGAAAAAAAATTGTGCATAAAACAGAAACCTGCAAAGAGCGCTTGTCTGTCAGCAGCTTTTTATATGTGTGTCACTCCAAAGGTTGCAGCTTGGGCAAACAAAAGTGTTTCATGACATTTCTACTTTTAGTTGTTCAAACAAACTTTGCAGCGGTCTGTTGTTATAAAGAGAGATAAGCATGGGAACTGGAAAAAAAACACAGTCTCTCAACTGTTATCAACCAGTGTGCTTGTTGTCAGACAATCCAAAATCACAAAACTCTCCTCCAAAGGTTAAAGATGGTTTTGAGTCGATGTGTACAGGATACAAGTGTTTCAAAGACAATTGTATTGTTTAGTGTGACCTCTTTCAATCGGCCTCCCAGACACATGTATACCTTAAAAACAAAAGTACCTCACTCACTCAATAATGAGTCGTCATCTCATGTATCATTCTTCTTTAGTTTCAGATTTCATGTCAGTATTAATGAAACATCGGACCTCTTTTTTTCTTTCTTTTTGCAGGTAAAATCCTCAGCGATGACTCGCCCCTCAAGGACTACAAAATCAGTGAGAAGAACTTTGTGGTCGTCATGGTGACAAAGGTTTGTGAATGACAGAGAGGATTATTTTTGTCTTGTAGTTTTAGTATCTATATATATATTTTTTTGATTGTTTGACATTCTACCTTGAGAGTTATAAACCAGATTACACACTGAAGTTATCTGAGAGAGAGCTTCTTTTGTCATCAGCCTATAATGTTCAGTTAACTAAAAAGAAATATTGGAGTAAAAACATTGAATATTGATCTCTCTTTAGCCTAAAACGGCCTCAGCCACCCCACAGTCTTCACCTGCCACTACAGCTCCCAGCACCACAGCTCCTGCTGCACCTCCTGCCTCCTCGTCTAGCAGAGAAAACACGACAGAAACGTCCTCTACAGAGGACGAACCAGAGGAGAAGCAGTCATCAACAGCTGAACCACCTTCCACACCAGCCAGGTAAAAAAAGTCCCCGTCTGGGTGTTTACATTTTGAACTCCGTCTGGTTTCAGTTTTGATAAGTGACGCCCTTCATGATCTCTGTTCTTTTGCAGAAGCTCTGAGAGTTCAACAAACTCAAACCTAATCGATGAAGCAGTTTCAACTCTAGGTAGGCAGTACTTGGAAACACAATTTGTTGCTCAGTGATTTAGACTGTGCAGAAAATATTTCTAGGTCAAAATCTGAAAGTAACAGACCTGCAGCCCAGAATGCGAATTAGAAGTGGTTTTGTCTTTGCACATTGAAAGTATTGAAGAAATCAATAGCATGGCGCAGTAATTCTTCTTAACAAAACCCACTTCCAGTTCCTTATGGCCACAAGCTTTCCAGTAAGCTCTGAAAATAGTAGCTGTACTCTGTGGATTTGTAAGTTTCCCTCCTGATGATGCTTTTGTGTTCTTTCAGTGACAGGCCCATCATATGACGCCATGGTGAACGAGATGATGCTCATGGGCTACGAGAGGGAGCAGGTGGTCGCAGCTCTGAGAGCGAGCTTCAACAACCCAGACAGAGCTGTGGAGTACCTGCTCACAGTAAGAACAGCTCTTAATCTGAATGTTTTTCCTTGATCCATGATTTTTTTTAGTTTTCAGATCTGATATTTTGAATGTCATGTATGCTTTAAAGAAATTGTAATCTAATAAATTCAGTTTTTATTGAAATTGAATTGAAGTTATACATTTGTTTGTTGTCGTTGAAGTTTGATGGTTTAGTTTTGATTCGACACAGGGTGAAACACTCTTACATACAAAGTTTTAAATCTTTATTTATTATAACTTTTCTTCAAGGGTATTCCAGGCAGAGATCAGGGCTCTTTATCAGGACCTGATGCAGTGGCACCTCCTGCAAGTGGCGCTCCTATAGCACCCATGAGTGGAATTAGTGTCCCTGCTAACATTGGATCCTCACCGAGTGCTGGGGGAGGTAAGCGCCCTGTGTTGTTGTTGTTCATATTTTAGCAGTGTGAGCAAATATCTTCCTCTGTGTGTGTGTCTTTACCTCTCCTTGCTTTTGCTCAAACCTCTCGGCACGCTCTGAAATTTCAGGCAACCCCTTGAGTTTCTTGAGGAACCAGCCTCAGTTCCAAGTGATGCGACAGCTGATCCAGCAAAACGCCGCCCTGCTCCCTGCCCTGCTGCAGGAGATCGGTAGAGAAAATCCAGAGCTTCTACAGGTGAAGTACTGACAGAGGACAGTTGTTTATGAGTTACTGACTTGACCTGCAGACCTGTTTGAAACGAACTTGAATCAGAATTGGAAAACATTTTAGTTTAAGTAAAGTTTATAACTCACCTATGAGTGCAGACCGGGAATTTAAAAGGGTTGGGGTGAAAGAAGAATGCATTCAATGACAAATGCTTGGTTGGCTTGTGACAGCAGTGATATTCCAGCTTTCAATTTGTTGTGTACTTACTCTCCCTCGGAGTTTGTGGTGCCAAAGAGCAGATTTCAAGCTTAAGTCATACTTGAACTCTTCATTTCCTCCCACAGGAGATCAGCAACCATCAAGAACAGTTCATCCAAATGCTGAACGAGCCCAATCCAGAGGCAGTGCCATCAGGTGGTGGAGGTGTAGCAGGAGGACCAGGGGGAGCTGGAGGAGTGGGAGGTGACACACCTGGTGGGAGTCACATGAGCTACATTCAGGTCACACCTCAGGAGAAAGAGGCCATTGAGAGGGTGAGGAGGAGTCATTAACCTTTTCCCCTCGGTGCAAAGTTCCATTCCGCCATAATTGTTGTAATATAACTCACATCTCGTAGGTTCTGGTAAACATGAAGCACACAGTTTATAAAGCTTATGAAAAAGTATCATATCTAACATTTTCTTTGTATTTCCAGCTAAAAGCCTTGGGATTCCCAGAGGGACTTGTAATACAGGCCTACTTTGCATGTGAGAAGAACGAGAACTTGGCCGCCAACTTCCTTTTACAACAGAACTTCGACGATGATTAAATGAGCCATCTTCATTTTGACTTTTTTTTTTTCTTATTTCTTCCTCTACTTTTTTGATCCGTATTCATTGTATGTCAACAACAAGCCTTTTACATTACCAAAAGAAAATCAATTTTTTTCATTTTTTTGTTCACATGTTCACCTTTTCTTAATAAAAGCGGATCAATATTAGCTGGTGTTGAAGCAAATACAGGTGGATGGTTGTTCTCAGTTCAGAACAGAAACAATGAAGAGTACAATAAATTTACACCAGATATCACTTGTGTGCTGATGATTTTTTTTCTAAAACGTTTTAGTGTAAACAATAGAATTTTTTAAAGTAATAAAATCAACACAGTTTGCAATGGCAGCAATTATCACATTTGTGTAAGGGGTCAGGACAGTATTCATGAATTCTGCTTTGTTTTTTGAAGTCAAAGTCAATAAAGGTTTGAAAGGAATTAAAGTTGTAAACAAATAACACATATTGCACTGAGTCTTTTTCTCTTTTTAAACTCTTGTCTGCATGTAAATCAGCAGGATTGTAGACAGGAGTTACACTTGGAAGTCTGAACTGCATTACAAATACGAAGGCATTTTAACATGTACAGACTTTACATTTATGCGGTAAGGTTTGGCAACAATGAAAATGTCATTTTACAGAAAAATAAAAAACTTGAAAATGATAAAAGGTTGTTTCTGTTCTTTCTGCGTGGAGTACGAGTGCAGAAATCTGAGTCTTAGCTGTAATCAAACTCCAGTCGAAGGATAACAAAAGGGCAGTTAGTTTCATTTTAATTTCATGACCATCAACGGAGGAAACCTTGTGTTTATAAGAATAATGTACTTCTGTTATAAAAGACTTTTCTGAAGGTGTATAATACATGCTAAATTAAAGGGATAAACCAAAGCAGAGAGCTGTGTGTTTGAGACTAAACTGAACTATAGGGGGCAACAAAGACCACAATATGTTTTTAAAAATGTGTGTCACACTCATTGTTGCATTTATCAGCCTTAAAATGTTATGGTTTTATTTCAAAACCTAAGTGAATACGAGAGGAAAACCTTAATTTTGAACTTTTTGTTGTAAATGTAAAAAGCTGAAAAAAACTGATCACCTAAACAAGCTCTTAATTTATTTAAATGACTCAGCAAAGGCGAAACGGTGCAGTTATTTGTGCGTTTTAACTTTTTTCAATCTATTTCCAAAACTTTGAAGTGAGATTGTGTATGTTTTTATGTAATGGTAAGTTTCTGCATAAAAATATGTATGTTCCTCAGTATGTAGCACTCAAACCTCATTAAGATGACGCATGAGATCTTATTTCAGCATCCCATCTTTCTGGGTTTTATTCACGTTATTGCACCTGAGCTGAGAAACACCAGCTCAGAGTGGCAGTCAGATTCAATATCACCTTTGAATGTCAGCCAGTAACCGGGTTGTCCTCCCTATTCTTTCCCCTGACAGGTGGAAATAGAAACCCATGGAAACAGGAAATTGTAGGAGTGTCATTTTTTTTTCTTAAAAACACTTTTAACTGCAGCATTGTGTGAGTTCGCTCGCGGCAATCTGACTATTATCAGGAGAGATATATTGTGTGTGAGCTTACTGTGAACTGTTGCTTTGCTGCACTAATCACGTAAATTTACTGGATGTTCAGATACGTACTCAACACGTTAACAGTTTTAAATACTAAGTTAATACTAGGGGTGTAAACTGACAAAAAGTTTAAAGGTTTTCTTATTTCAAATACAATTTATTTTATTATACTGTAAAATACAAAACAATAACAAAGAAATTTTTATTTACAAATGTACAAAATTCAAGATTATATTACATATTTTGGCTATAAACAAAACATCTTTGTTCAGAGTTCACTCATTCCATACAAAAATATGAATGTCTCATATAAATTATTGCACTTTGCAACCGCAGTGCATTGAAGATTGCCATCACTTTTTTTAAGTGAAGTGTTCACCTGATTTATGTCAGATTGTGGAAGAGAGGTTTCTAGGAAACACACAAACAACCATATGGCACTTTTTCTTTCTTTGTTTTTTACCCTTTTTGAAGATGTTCCTCTATCTTTGGTACCTTTCTTATAAACCTTCATCAGAGTCACTGAGCACCATTCTTTATAAATTAACATTGTACCTGAAATTAATGGCATTGCAGGTGAAATGTGTGTATAAATATAGATGTATTTATTAATACAGTATTTTGAACAGTGTGTGGTTGTTAACAGTGCCTTTATTAGCATGTCCCTGGCAGAAGGCCTCTGGAGATGTTTGTCTGTTGCTCCTGGTTTCCCTGACAAAAATACATTTCCAGTTTAAAGCTGTTGGCACCTGGTCCTCCAAGTTTTGTCAGTTAAATAAGACAAATTCCAGTTTGGTCCCTTTCATAAAAGTTTACAACCCTGACTGAGAGGTCTCGTCGAGTCACCTACACAATGTGCGAAGACGGGGATCAGTCTCGAGAGAAATTCTGGGCTCTTTTTTTTTTTTTTTGCTGCGAACACCACAGCTTGTCTTGTTGCTTGACAACGGCTTGAAGGCAAATTATGGTTTTAAAAAGCGTAGCTCCTAAGTTTGTTCAAAGTTCTTTACAATTTTTATTTTCCTGGTGCCTTCGTGCCATCGCAAAGTCTCATAAGTGTCTCTTCATATGGAGAGCGAGGTGGTCCGACCTTGAGAAGGCCCGGTCACATTTCTGACACTGGAACGGTCGGTGGCCCGTGTGTTTCCTGTAGTGGCGTGTGAGTTCATCCGAACGTGCAAACTTCCAACCACAGCCCTCCCAGTCACAGTGGTAAGGCTTCTCCCCTTTGATGGAAACACAATACACAAACATGGAGCAGTTAGTGCTGGCCCTGAGGTTAAACTGGCCCAACCTTCCCCTACACTTTGAGGAGAAAAGAGGTCCATCCTGTCCTGCAGCTCGGGTATAAAAGCAAAGCTTACCGGCCCGGGGTTTGTATTTGAGCAGGGATCAGTATCAACCTGTTTCACTGCACCTGCTGTGCAACTCCACTACTCCATCCCCCAACCCATCTAACCCCCGTATGTGACACTACAAGCAAACATGTTGGAAAATACAGATGTGGATATCCAATATAAAACTATCTCTAAACCATGACTACACTATGAAACCGCTTTTTCATAAAAGTCCCACATTTGCCGTAACTCCCATGAAAAAAACTTAAAACAGAAGCAAACAGAGGCTGAAAAAATACTGCAGAAACATAGTTACATACCTGTGTGCGTGCGGTGGTGTGCTTTTAAATGAGAACTCTTTGTGTATGTTTTGCCACAGCCAACATAGTCACATGTGTGTGTGGCAACTCTCTTCCTCGGCCAGGAGCGCCGACCTCGTTTAGGCTTTGGTTCCTCCGGTAAGCACTCTCCACTAGAAATCATGAGGGGCTCTGAGGGACAAAACATCAGGACTATTACCATAAAAGTCACGTTAAACATAAGAGTGTAATACAGGTAAAAGTTACCATACAATGCTAACATGAGAACAGATCATATTGTGTTTTGAAGCTTTGCTAAAGACAACACTTTATTACCTGAGACACAGAGACGGTACAATGGTGGGAAAGGCAAAATGTTGCTAAATATGAATCAGTGTGCTTTCTATTGTTTTCAGCTTAGAGTGAAAGTAAACATCAGTCTTTTTTATTTTAGATACAAATGAAAGACAAGACCAGAGCAGAAAAAATAGAAACCTATGTAGAATAGAATATGTGTGTGTGTATAAATATAAATATACCTATGTATGAATAAACTTAACAAAGGTTGTACTTAAATAGAAACAGGTTTCCTTTTTACGAGACTGGGATTGAGGGTTAACTTTATGTGAGCTGCTGGTTTTGGGGTTTAATTAAACCCCTGACGCTGTATAAATACACATCAATTTAAAGGAATTTGACTTTCTATTCATGTTTTTTGTTGTTTTTACATATATGCATTTTTTTAATCATTAAAAAATTGTAATAGTTATTTACAACAATCAAAAGCCCCAACAGATTGAAACCCTTCTGTAGTCTAAAACTTCGAAAAGGAATGAGTTCTGACCTTGGTACTGCATGGAGGACGGCTGAGGGTAAGAGGTGTAGCCCTGCGGGGAGCCATGGTGGTATCCTTGGGGAGGTAGAGTGATCTGAGCGTGGGGATGCCCGAGGACCTGGTGCTCCCGGCTCAGAGGATGGTCCGGGGAGAGAGAGGAGGATGAAGATAACCTTCCGGCTGTCATGGATCTCTGTCCCCCATGAAACCCATGCAGGTCTAAGTGGCTTGGGCGCTGCTGCTGCTGTGCGCTCCCACGGCCTTGGGAGTTCACCCCTCCCAGGTGTAGGTCGATGGGCTGCGAGATGGTGCAGTTACTGGGGTTCTCCTGCTTTATCCGGTGGCACGGAAAGGACGGCGAGGCGCGGGAAGGAGTGGGGTCTGATGGAGAGTTAACACAGGCTTTGCTTACATTCACACCTTGGCTATACTCTCCCATGTCCATTGTTGTCTTGACCACAAATTTGCCATGGAGGCTGGTGGGATGGAGGTAAGCAGGGTCTAATTCTGGTCTCATGAGCTCTGCCACAAAGCCTCCAGAGGGGGAGACATCGTTGATATCTGGGATGGTGTAAAGGAGCTCACTAGCAGCACCCTGAGGGGAAGGGAGGGGGTAGGATGATGAGAAGGAGCCTGAGGACGGGGACAAGGCCTGGGCAGAGCTGCATGCCATGGCCTCATCCTGCTGCTGCTGCTGCTGCTGTTGTTGCTGCTGTTGCTGTTGTTGCTGCTGCAAAATAGAGTTAGACAATATAAAATCGTAGTCCAAGTCCAGGTCAGGCTCTGCGTGTTTTTTGGACATGCTGGGGCTTGTGGTGCTGGTGGCAGTGGGATGGTCAGGGTCAGGGCAGCTGCTTCCAGTTGGCACACTGGGTCTCTTAAGATGGGACAACTCCTCCTTCCATCTCTAGAGGAAAGGGCGAGGGTCAGAGAAAGGAATTAATGACTCCACTCTATGTTAGCTACACGGGTTCGTAGTGGAGCCTTACATGCAGAAAGAAAAGTACGGGACTTCTGGTACACACATCGAAAAAAGACACTGAATCTCTAACGTAAAGTGATAATTATAACAGCTATGTCTGGTGTAGCAAGTGCCCTTGATAGAGAGCACTTCCTAGAAAACAGATTATTCTCCCCCTCACTGAGAAATTGCATTAGTGGTGGCACAGGTAAGTAACTCTGGCTCCTAAGATCAGACTCAGACTACCATCAAAAGATATTGCACACAATTTACAGTCAACTTACAACAAATCATGACCACAAACTAATCCTAGTAGGCATCAGTTTCCCCATCCTGTCTTTCCCAGCCTCTATGCTTATGTAAACTGGTGCACACCCCAGAACAGTGTGGTGTCAGGCACATAACAACATGTGAGCCACATATCGGAAAGCACTGTGGATGAACTGCATAGGTTACATATTTCCCTTTCGCATATTTTAGGGATGCCAGTGGCTACTTGGCATGCACATGCAACAAGAAGTGACCACAGGCTACTCACTAAATTGGCACTTCCTATGGATTTACTCTTGACTGTGGGGCCGCTGGTAAATGTGGATATAGATGGCAGAAGCGTCCCACCTAATGCCATCTCGACGTCATTTGGAGGCTGCCTGAAAATGAGCAGAAAAATAGGGGTAAATCCTTTTGGAAACGTCCGGGAACAGTCTCTTATAGTCCGAAAGAGGGATGTTCTTCAGTCACAAATGTTAGGAAAAAGTTTCTCCACACCTCATCAATGAGAATCTCTATGTGGTGTCCTCTTGGTTGCTCTTCGGTGTCACTGCACGAGCTTTTCTTTTGGTCAAATATCCCTGCGTTTAAAGTTTCGGCTCCGCCTCGCGCGTTATTCTAAATTCCAGTACATGCCGCCGCGTACGGGCGCGTCAAAACGGAGACAGGTTTTTAACGCAAAAACAGGTATAAACGTGAAAACGGGGAGGCGGCGGTCGGGGGGGAATCCCTCGCGCCTGTTGCCATGCAGCGACCGGCAGTCTGTACTGAGAAAACCGCGAGGTATCCTTAAATCACTGGAGCCAGAGCCACGCCCTCGTTGCCCCCGCAACCAGAAGGAAAAACAGCGCAAGGGAGGGAGCACGTGGGGGAAAGGCTGGGGCAAGCAAGAGGGGGGCAGAGAGAGAGAGAGAGAGAGAGAGAAAGAGAGAGAGAGGTTTGTTTGTATACCTAGCAACGGTACAAATCCTTACCGCTGTTCTCCCTGTGAAAAGTGGGTGAAGAAGCGCACTTTTTCAGGCTGGCTTACGTGGGAATGACAGTGAGTATTATTCGGTTATCTCCTAAATATTGCCCGCAGTGTGCATTACCTGGGTGACCACAGGCTTACATTAGCTTCACGCTAGTTAGGTATGAGACCTTCACTCTATCCCACTTAAACAATCATGGCTGATTAAGAATTCTACTTTTATATCTGAATATAAAGTAATTATGCTGGCATGTTATAAAAGTGGGATATAGAAGACACTGCAATTATTCAAAGCATTGTGGTAATATATTGAAAACACCCCTGGCCTACATGTAAACAGGGGTGTATCCAAAAGGGGGGCCAGAGGGGAGCCCCCTCCCCAAAATGTGACCCGGGAGGCGGGGTCCAAAATCAAAGATTGGCCGTTTGCCCTCTCAAAAGTGGGACTTGAGTCAACATTCACCTATTTGGGATGCATTAACAGACTGTATCTTTTTTTCTAGTACTTCTTACTGTTACTCTAGACAAACATCCTCGAAACAGATAAAGCTCAGGAAATGCTGTATTGACACTCTAATATGTTTCTTAATAAAATAAAATAATAAATCTCTGGAGTATCACAGCTGATAGTAAAATGAGAGTTGATGAAGTAAATAGTGAAGGCTTAGACTGAAAACGCTATCAGTTTATGTGTCTACCCACACATAACCCAGACCATGACCAAAAACACTGAAAACGCTGGCGTACGTGGGAATAACAGTGAGTATTATTCGGTTATCTCCTAAATATTGCCCGCAGTGTGCATCACCTGGGTGACCACAGGCTTACATTAGCTTCATGGTAGTTGGGTATGAGACCTTCACTTTATCACACTTACACAACCATGGCTGCTGAAGAATTCTACTTTTATTTCTGTATATAAGATAAATATGCTGGCATGTTATAAAAGTAGGACGTAGAAGCATTGAGGTAATATCTTTTGTCCACATCAGCAAGAGGCCGCTATCCCCCCTTTGCTCACACTTACCTTGTATTTTTTAATATATATTATTTATTATTATATATTTAATATAATATATTTGTATTTTACTAATAAAGTCACATTATTCACTTGATTTTCTTATGTTTTACATTCTAAAATTAGTGATAAACTTGCTGCTGCCAGACACTTTTAGCAGGCCTACATCTAGCCAAGGGTGTATCCTAAAGGGGGGCCAGAGGGGAGCCCCCTCCCCAAAATGTGACCCGGGGGGTCTCCAAAAACAAAGATTGGCCGTTTACCCTCTCAAAAGTGGGACTTGAGTCAACATTCATCTATTTGGGATGCATTAACAGACTGTATCTTTTTTTCTAGTACTTTTTACTGTTACTCTAGACAAACATCTTCAAAACAGATAAAGCTCAGGAAATGTTGTATTTACACCCTCATATGTTTCTGAATAAAATAAAACAATAAAAAAAAAAATCTCTGGAGTGGAACAGCTTATAGTAAAATGAGAGTTGATGAAGTAAATAGTGAAGGCTAAGACTATAAACACTTTTAGTTTGTGTGTATACCCTCACATAACCCAGACTGAGGGCTGCATTGACCAAAAACGCTAAATACATGTATTCTTTAAATGAATACGTATATATATATATATATATATATATATATATATATATATATATATATATACATATATATATACACTAGCACAGCAAACATGAAAGTAATTCAACTATAATTCTTCAAAATTGTCACTCACAAGTACCGAATTATTATAACACAGCACATGTTAAACAAATGTGATTTTAAAAACACAGAGAGGTCTAATGCATGAAAAACTTCACTCTTGTTTTCTGTTACGTCAGCTTGTCAGCTTTTACCTAACTTTATGTATTCCTTGCACAGTGTTGCCTACTGTCTAGAGACTCACTTCAGCAGTCCTGTATGGGAAAAGACTCACCTGGGAACATAAGAATACTGAGACAGCTTAGCGTAGAGTTTGAATTGGGTTCAGCCAGTGTTTGCTCAGAGCTAGCGAGCTAACACAAACCTCTCAGTCCAACATAATTAGACACATTTACTCAAGAGTTCAGTGCGAGAGCAAACAAAGCGCTTGCCGCTGATCCTGCTGCATCAGGATCTTGTCCGTTAGACATGTCAACAAACATACCGTCACTGCAACAGGACACATTTACTGCCAGAGTATGCTGGTGTCCTCATTCAGAGAATTTGAATTGCATGAAAGCCCCTTGCTTTGGTAGGCAAACAATAACTGATGGGAAAGAAAGAGAAAGTGATTGCATTGGGACATTATGAAGGGAAGTATATCCTGTTGAGCAAACTATGATTTATTGTCTTTTTATTTGACATAAGACTCCTAATCTTACTCATATCCATCTGCTTTCTGTGGCTGTATATTGAAAAGTGATGGCTTTAATCCGACTTTGTTTGCACTCTATCCCTTGTTCTTTAAGACCTGCTTCCTACTGCAGGTGAGAGCACAATAGCAGCCATGTCATCATAGCCATATTCTTTATGGTGTGGGATAATAGTTTCGAAAACGAGCCTGAAAACAAAGGCTTGACTTTGACAACTGAGTTGCTTCACATCCCAGTAATGACAGAGAGTGCAGAAAAAGAGGGAAAAAGATAAAGGGAGGGAAGATGACACCACTGTGCGCTTTCCCTGACACAATGAAGTCATGGTGATTTAGTAATGCACACCAAACCCTTGTATGGAATATGTTAATGCAACACTTACAGCACTAACTGAGCGTTGTGAAGAGGATATGATAGAACAAGTTGCAATACCCTTCCCACGATGAATCATTCGATCATTCATCACACTGTTCCAGATATAGACTTTATGGTAAAGGCCCTGCTGACACAAATACAGAAACGGATGAGGCGATATTGATGTAATGCTATTGTATCTTTAAGGATAGCTTTTCAGCGGTCACTTTTTCCTTTCATCAAAAAACAACAAATGACCTTTGAGTGTTTTTTCTCTCTTTTTTTCCCCAGTGTGGATCCATCATGAAAGTCATGACACACTCTTGAAAAAGCATCCTCTAAACAATTACCCTTTCAAAGGTGAGCTCAGGTACTGTTCTTGGCAGAGACAAGAGTATCGACGGCTTTTGACATTCAATATTTTCAAAACAGTTACAGTGCAGTTGACATGTTCATAGGTTATGCTAATATACAAATCCAGATCAAACTGGGCTGCTAATCCCCTGCTAAACATTGATATTATCTTATTAGAGAGTAAATAGTCATAGAAGTCGACTGTACCTCTCTTTTGCATTTTGTCGTGCATGTGACTGACACAGTTTTGCTCTGGTGTCTCTCGGTTAAGTTCCCCCCTCCTGGAAAGCACCCAAGAGAATATAAGCACCAGCGGATCATAACTCCAGATATTGAGGTTTGCAGTGCTCTCTTCCAGATGCTGTTCAGTAATTAAAAAATAGCTTTCATACTTTCCTTAATTTTTTAAAGCTGAGTCAATCATTTTTGATTCTTGGAGCTGCACTTTCTTCCAATTCATCTCACATTAGCTGATACAATTATACATGTCTGTTTTTCTCGGTGCCAAAGACCAAAGCACAGACTTCTACAACATATTTTGTTCATTTCCCTCAACACTTGGATTTGAAACATGGGGGAATCATGTCAAAATAATCAAAACTTAAACAAGTTTCCAACCAGTTGATCATTTTTGAGTAATTGTCCTGGAATAAAAGGAGGACAGAGATGATCACTGTTATATTACCGCATCAAAGTGATTTTCCTGCAGTCATTTAAATCCCTTTTACACAAAAATATATTCAATTTTCCATAAAAAGTTATGAAACTGTGAGGTTAACAAGAAGGATCATAAACACCATAATAAGAATGGTTTTAAACATATCCCTCCTGTAAGTGGAGGAACCATTTGCAGGTACTCAGGCTGTGCAGCTGTGACCACGACCCCTGATGCTCGCACAAGCCAGTTAATTGATACCTCATGAACGGCTCAAGTAAGACAAGCAAGATGGCGACATGCGGCTGTCTGCCATGCCTTGTCGCAAATTGGTATTGTGCCGCCTGTGATTAAGTCTGTTGTTTTTGACCGTGGTGCACTGTAATACATTCATTTTAGCCACAATATGCACCAGCTGCTGCTTGAAATCACCATTCATGTGGGTGTGTGATGAACCTCTGGACAGATTCTTGGTGAAATCTGGTCAACACACAGACATTTTACCAAAGTCTTTGAGTAGAATTAGACAAACCAGTTTTTTATACATCTTTCAACTGTGGTTGTAGATGTTTATACATTTAACCAACAAAAAACTTTTCACTGGAGAGTAGATCGCCCTGCAGAATCTTGTCCATGCAGCGATAAAAGATGTTCAATTTCATGTTCGGTCGCTGGTTTGATTCTCATTTTTTCACCAGTGACCAAAAAAAATCTGTTTCACATTTTTGAAACATAAATATGCTTAGTGGGGGTGGATTTTCATCAAACATTCAAATGACTCATTGTTTTGCATCTATAAAGTAGTGCTAGTTTTCTGTAACAAGTTTTTGACTGGCTGCATCTGAAGTTTGTTTCTCACTAAATCAGAACTTTTCAGTCCATGGGAAAGATTAAAATCACAGATTTAATGTAATAGTTAAAACCACATAGTCAGACCATTGAAAAAAGATTGTTTGACTCTATTATTTTTGATCGTTAAAAATACTCTGCCATGTGAAGCAGACCTCATGAGTTCAGGCCTTCGTTTTTGGCCTATGGACTCAAAGACACCTGCTAATGTGGTCAAGACAGCCTGGACACCAGCTAGCAGAGCTAAACACATAAATCATCCCAGTGACAGAAATTAGCTTTGGTCATTTTTTTTTCTTTAATACAAAAAAAGTCCTGTTTTTGTTTTTCCACAGGCCTACTGTCCTAACCCACAGTTGTGCTGTGAGATGGCATGCACATGGATGAGGTCTGAGTCAGTGGCTGTTTGTTTGGACAGTCCCAGCCAAACCTCTATAGCTGGACAGGGCTGTGGCCACACTGGGATGCAACCAACTCAAACTGAGCTTTCATCACGTCATATAATCTAGTGGTGGGATTCCACAGAGTCAGGAAAATGTACTTGAGATACTGGGTGGTGGTCCTGGTCCTGGCCATGTTTAAGGGCAGTGAAATGGGCTCAGGAGAGGAAGCAGAAGGAATGAAGAATCAGCGAGTAACAGACTGAGAGGGAGGAGAGGGAGAGAGAGCTCCTGCCGGGCGGCAGGCTGTCCAGCCTCTGCCTGCCCTGGGATTCCTCAGCAGCCTTAAATATGCCAGTTATTTTTAACCAGCGACGTAACAGAGCCCAGCGCCGGCCCCCTCTGTTACAATATTTCCTTTCTGTCAGGAGGGGAAATGGAGGGGAGCCACACTTCCTGGTCACATGATGTGGCCGAATGAGAGGGGAAGTGGGGAAGAGTGAGAGAGGGGAGGAGAGGGAGTTTGGTTGCCTGCCCATTACCCACACCAGCCCACATTTTCACTCAGCACCTCCTTTCCCTCTAAGTCTAACCCCCACAGCTGGCCAGATGAGGCAGTCTGTTTTAATCAGATGCTCAGACGTCACAAGCCAAAGCAGAGATTGGCGTTCGTGAGCTGCGGAGGAAATGAGAGAGCGGGTACAGCACATCGGCAGACAGAGGGTTGAGGGGAGGGCCCTGTGACGTCAGGCCTAAGGACCCGCCAGGATTAGAAGCCTCTAAAAAGAAAAGGACTGAGACTTGGGCTGCCAGAGCCGGAGAGAATGTGTTTCTGTGTCTGTCTGACATGGGAGAATCAGGGACTTCCCATGAGCTCACCTTGTTTACACACAGGGAACTTGGACTGGGTCACGTCTCAATCTGTGCTAACCTCACAACCAAACCAGGAGAATGAGTACCAGCTTCACAGCAGAGGCTGGAATATTGGCTGATTCCAAATCTAACATCATGGACAGATGTAACCTGAAATGGATGAAAATGTCAGCCCTTTTTTAGATTAAATACACCCACTCTCACCTGACATTTTCCCCACTGAAATAAAAATCACTGTTTAAAAGTGTTGTATGATAGCAGTACTTTACTGTAGCTTCTCTGAAACCTACAAGTCACACTCCCAACATCGATTGAGTGACAAAAAATTAGGGGTCAATGCCATTTCACTTGTCATACTTGTTTTTATGACAGATTTAAGATGGGTATAATGTTCAACATTTTCAACACTTAAATAAAAGTTCAATTAAAATAAGCTAAAAAGTAACATTAGCACTGTCTTTAAATAGTCCATTGTCTTGTGTTTGCGTAGTTTCCAACCAAAAGACTCAAAGTTTATCTAAGCTTGGGTTGTGCCAAAGCAATAATGACTAAAGTAGGTTTGTTTGAGAAGGAAAACCTGATATTAAAACAACCTTAATGTTGATGTATTTCCATCAAACCACGGTTATTTCCAGAGAAAAGCAGCATTAACAACAGAGGATGATTCAAATCTCTTGACTTTATGATGCAACAAAGTTGAAATCAAGGCCGTTCTCATGGGGACGAAGCATTTCTCAAATCATGGGAATGTCAAACTGATTTTATAAAACATTTTGCATTAATAACAAAATGATCTTGAATACCATCCAGCTTTCTTACTTCAGTTGGGATGATCAAAACTCCATATTAAAAGTAAGTAATTCTAAATAGCAGGAACAAAGTTAGTAACCACATCATAACAAATCAGTCTAAGGAAAGGAGTCCAGCACAGTCTGTATCTGCGTGTTGACTGTGTGGCAAAAACTGATAGTATTGATCGACAACTTTTTTTTAATACTCAATTTATTTAGAGAGCACAGTTTTTTCAGAGGAGACAAATATCAAAAAATATTAAAATAAAAGCATGACAAGCAAGTTTCTATGAGGCGGTGTCATCTCTACAGAAGTCATAAAGAAGTTTCAGTTTCACAGTCGGTGATATGGATGAATCATAAATTTGATCATAATTAGAAATGGATGATAGCATGTAAGTTAACTCTGTTTATTTGTAAAATTTTAATCCTTTCAGGTTAGACAGGACCGCATAAATCACTAACTGTATGTTATCCATTACAGAAGTAATTCTTAAAGCTCTTGATAGGAACTTTTGGTATAGAAGTCATCCATCTTTTTGCTGTTGGTCTTGTTTGCCTCTGTAGGCCATAAAGAGGCTTCATAACCAAAACTAGTCAATTTCATAGACAGATAAAAAATTTCTCACATCCCCAAGTCTTTTTTTTTCTTGTATTTATAAAAAGATCATGTCATAGTCATTCATTCTTGACTGTCAAAAACAGGAGACAGTGGGTGATATCATGCGGCAAAAGCAACTGAGCCAAACCAGCATCCCCAACTTAACTTTTATACTTGTTGTATGTAAACAAAGCTTACTGTCAAATTGGTAGATCCTTTGCATACTGAATACCACATAACCAAGCCACAGCATGTAGGCAACCCAGTTTAATGGTTAAAAGAACTTCTTCTCTTCAGTGAAAGGAATCACAGACTCAAATGCTGCTTCAAAATTGGGTAATCCAAGGTTGAGTGCCAGTCTGTAGCATCTGTCAGCTGTGAGAAAAGATTACACGATCAGCTCTTTCATATGAGTTTCAAACATTCAACACAATGGGAGACAATTAAATGAGCCTGGAGGAGGCAAAGTCATCTGTGCTTCAAGTGCAGGTGCAGAGAGGACAAAATGTAATGTGCACAATCTCAGAAGTGATCACGGTAACACGTTCAACAGGTATCACACTCGCAAGCTGCAGCTGAACAAAGGAGGCAGTACATTTGGGATGTATGGTTCATTCTTCTGCATTCAGCAGCTCATAACTGTGGACACGCTCGCATAAAAACTTTGATTCTTAGAATGTTCCCACCACTTTGTCCTCCTGTGTGTGCTTCAATAAGTAGATCCTAGAGGAGCATGAGCTGTGGAGATTTATCCAATTTACGTTACAGTAGAAACTGCTAAGTCACTGCCGTACTACTATAAACACCGAGTCTATAGGCTGTCAGTAAACCGAGACCACATCTTGACAATGTTAGAGAGGTTCCTATAGAAACATATGTATTAAAGTTTTTATTTCTTTGTTTCAGACCCCGGCTTTACAGCAATTACAGCAATCACAAGCATTCTTAAACTGTCAAGAGCGCTCTGGCATCGATTCAGAGGTCGTCTCTGCTCCTAATGCTCCGCCGTTAAATCAGGGCTGCCACATTTTCATAACTCCTGATTAAATCTATATGTTCGTGAGGCACATCAGAATATGAGATGCAACATGATAACAGCTCTTGAAATTTTTTGGCTTTCCAACAGATTTAGCGGAAGCTGAAAAAGTCTGAATGGATAAGTTTTATAGCTGAAAATACCAATAAGCCTACACATCATCTGCTGATGATCTCCAGACAGGCTGAGTGGAAGTCTGCAGATAAAGTGTTTGGCATTATAATACGCAGAAATTCATGCGGTAATTGTTGTCAGATTTCAGGGTAGTAGGCCCCCACGTTCCAGAGAAGGTGTGGACTCTCTCCTTGTTTTCCCATTGGGAGCTGTTGGGAATGTGTGACCTTTTCCACGGATCGCCGTTTTTCAGGCCCTGGATTGACTCTCTGGAAACAAGGCTGCCATTGGTGCAAACATTAAGAGATGACAATAATAATCTTGAATATCAGCACGTAGGCGCTGCAGGATGATCCATGGTTTGTACGAGAGAGGAGACAGACTCGCTGGGAAATTCCCTTCACTTCAAAAACAGGGAACTCCTAATAAATTTTCTTTTCAATACGAGAGGAGAAACGTAAATGTCACTTGTGTTTCTTCGAACCTCCCTATGGCATGAACTTTAATACTCGAGCATAAATTTGGATCAAGATGGCAAAACTCTGGAGGAGCTGGAAGAAGAAAGAATGTTGTGAAGGTCTGGGAGAACAGACATGGAAAATTATTGTCAGGAAAATAATTAAAAGTAAAAGTGCAACTTCTTTCTTGCTTTTTTTCCCCTCCCTTCAAACCCTTAGTTTTCTTTTACCGGTTTTCTCTGTTTGCGTTTAACTCCGGTTATAGGCAAATAACTTTTATGGCATAGTTTTCAGGCCAAGTGCCCGGATGAAATCAGAAATGGCATGCTGTGGTAACCTTAATCAAACTACAAATCATCTCAAACTGTACGTCCCTGCTGGAATACTGAGGAAGGAACAATACTTGACAGGCCCAATTTAAGTGATAGCTTCTCCAGTCTGACGTTTTATTGACATCATGCTGAGTCTAATTGAGGAGGGGGGTTTCAGTAACTCAAACCAGATGGGCCACCAGCTCATGAACTAACAGCCCCCCTTTTCCCCTCCTCTTTTACTTGCTCTCTGTCTCTCCAACTTTTAAAGCAATTTGGCTAAACTTACAACAAAATACTAAAATATGAAATGTAAAATCATAAAACTGACCGTTATGGTCAAATTTATATCTATTGCAAGAATTTGATACCGTGCCATTTATTGTAAAGTCGTCTCAGGCTGCCAGGGAAAGCTCTAAAGTAGTGAAAGCATTATCTTTTTACGCTTGAAAATCCATGGATTTCATATCAGATATTTTCATTGGATTGGATTAATAAATCCCCTTGAAAGGATTCTGTGACATTCTGGGGAAAACGCTTGTATGGTTTCATTTCAAAAACTAAGTAAAGGAGATTGACATCACCCTCCTCCTCATGCTACATATGAGGGCTGTCAGTTTTTCAATACATGGACTTTTAACAAGAGTCCAACATGTCACTCAAATGTTCAGAAACATTTGAATGTTGCAGTTTTATTGGTGATGGCTTTTCTTCAGTCCTACCATAAAAAAGTGTTGAACACTTGCCGTTGCACCATTTGACGGTGGTTTTTCCTCCACTTCCACTGCTGTTTCTCACGAGTGGCAAGCCATCAGGTGAGTTATCTACAGTAAGTTGACAAAAAGCTATTCTTTTGTCTTTCCATCTGCAGTCGGGTGACCATATTCTGAATCCCCAAAAAGAGGACAGGACTATGCAAGGGTGGAGTCATGGGGTCGCGTGTAGATAATTTTGAGAGTTTTTCGGGTCAGGTCGAGTGTTTTTTGACACACCCTTGGACACAAACTGAAAACTGATACAAAACCCCGGACAGTTGAAGGATTTTATAACCTCCCTTGGACAAGCTTTACACTAGCCGGCTATACTATACTACTCTGTATATTGCTCAACGGCTATCATAATTATTTTGGTAAAGTACTTGGAGATCAGTTATGCAACTCACAGTTGCGTTTTGTAATAAATAGTCATCGAATAATGGGTTAAAGTGCAACGTCTAAATTCTGTCTAAAAATATACAGAATCTAGACGGTTGAAATTAGATCTAAAAAAATACTGGACGTCTTATAGTGCTCAGTGGGAGAGTTTAAATAAAGGTTTGAATTTTGAATACAAAGTGACAGCTGACTACATATCATATCTAACTGGAGCCAACAGCCGTTAGCTTAGCTCATATAGCCTCTGTTGTTTGTGTGAAAAACAGCAGGTAGATTGTTTTTCTACTGGGTTTATGCTTTACTGTGTCATGCCAAGACTTAGACCACAGACAGTTAAAAGATAACGTGATAACTATAAAGCTCTGCAGGTGCTGATAAATGAGCTTCTGTTACCTGTGGAACCTAGCTGTCCTCCCTCTGGTACCAGTGTCAGTGTAAAGGATGATATATAGTGAGCAGGTGGTTTTACAAAGTGACAGATATTTGCTTTGTGTCAGGGTCATAACCAGAACCCCAACTAAGACATAAATAAGATGACACTAAATATTGATAAGAGGATAATTTGATGGATTTGATAACGCTTTAAAAAGTTCAATGACATGGATTCATCACACTTTCCTTGCAAAAACATCAAACTAGGAGTTCACATGCAGGCGTTTTTTGGAAATACACCAAAGCCTTTTTGATTTCATACCTACTGTGATCAAAATGGCAATTTAAAGGCACTGAAGTAACTGTTAATGACTTTTAAAATGAAGCTTGTAGGCTACAGTACAGTAATCAAAAGAAAAGAGCTCAAAGAACTAATGAGAAGTACGCTAGGATTTCCCTGGCAATACCTCCACACAAATGCCCATAAACATGACAAAAGCATGGTAGTAATTAGAACTTGGCAATCAGTGAAATTACATGGAAGTGTGTTTTAGCGCTCTGAATTGTTAGGTTCTTTCCCACAGATTTTATTGATCTTCTGTGGGAACCTGAGTAAATTGTGCAAAGATGGCTTGAAGGAGAAGTAGAGTTAAGTTAATTTGTAACACATGTATTTAAAAAAAACGAAATCAGACCTCTGGAACTGATACAAGATCGATGGAACTGATTCATAATCAATGATCCTGGTCGCATTAAATGTTTCATAGTTTCCAGCCGGTGGCACAGGAAAACTGTTATATGTACATGATGTTGGTAGAGACAGAGCTTTGGCTAACAATGAGAGTTCACTCAAGCAGAACAGCAAATATTGATTGGTATTTATCCCTTTCAAGTTTCCTCTAGATGGGCAAATAAATTATTAAACCACAAATTTATTTGCCGTGACTCAAGACAGTTTCACTTCCCGGTCTTTCTTGAACTTGCATGCAAAGTGAACTCACTGTGAGGTATATTAACTTATTGGTGTGTTTGCCATCGGATAGATTGTTTTCACTTAAGACAAAAATCTGACCATGAGTTTTTAACTGGATTTAACCATTTTTATATGCACTGACTTGTCCCAATAAAGCTGTTCTCTCTTCTTGTTCATGTTGTTAAAGAACTCAGCTGTTGCTGCTTCATTGTTCATAATGTCTCACAAATAAAGACAGAAACAAAAACACAGCTGTTGCTTCACACTCCCCCACTCCCACTTCTTACCCCTGGAAATTTTATTCTCCTCTTCTCTTGTGTCTGTCACTTGTTGGCCATTGAGACATTCAACAATCCAGGTTTACAGTGAAAAGTTGTCAGTTTTGGTTTTAGGCTACCCCAATGTGTCTGTCCATTCCAGTAACAGCAAAAGCAGAAACTTGTAATGTCATATGGAGCCTACAGCGGCTAAATTGAAGGCGGTACATCTTCCAATCAGGTGATAATAATTCTGATAGTTGGTAGTTCTATATACCTTTTGTTACTCTAAACGACAGTGCACCCATTTCTATGAGTTATTACGTCTATTTAAATTGTATTTTTTAAGTAAAAGTTTCTAATAACACATTGCTAAAGTATATTGTTAGAGTATCGGGACTCTTAAAAAGATGAGACTTGTTATATCCCCTTCAAAACAGCATTATAGTTGAATGAATTAACAACTTTATCCTTGTGATATAATGACTTAAATCTTGAAAGATCATGACTTTACTCTCAAAACAAACTGACTTAAAACTCATTGCATAACTTTACCATGTATGGATGTAAAGTAAATGTTTCAGGTAATTCTTTGAACTTAGACCTTACTTCGATTTGAGCCATGGTCTTTGTTTTTGAGAGAGTAGAAACTTTCAGTAAGGTTTTTAAAAAAAGTTGCCATATTGCAGACATTTTGGTAGCTCTGGTTTACGTCACTCTTCATTGCTGTGTACTTTTCCATTTTGACACCAACATATAATAGAGTCACTTTAAGGTTGCTGGTTTTGCCTGGTCTTTGGGTCAGGCGTGATTCCCGCCTGTGGCTCCTTTCCTGCTCTTCTTTCCCTACTTTCTTCCTTCTTGTCATCTTTTAACTAAATACACCTTGTGGGGCACTGAGAGTTGCACATTATGGACTTTGTTAAAGCAATACAAGTCATCATTCGTGGACAAACTTTGTCTTATACACTGGTTCGACTAATACTTTTGCCTTAGCATATTATGCTAATTTTAAGCTAGTAAATTATGGCATCAGACTGGTAAAGAAACCACTGTGCCCCATCATTACTTAAAGGCTTTATTTACTGCATAGTTGCCATCTGAACTTGTGTTTAAGGCTTCACTGCTTCAACAAGTTTATTTTTAGTGAGTCCTTTCATACATTGACAGATTTGGAATATCTACTTGTAATTATCTTGAAACATACCTAACTTTTTCCTCTTTTATTAAACTGTTAATGCTTTGTATGTTTTCCCAGATGTACTTAAAGTCACAAAGTTCCTCTGAGAACTGTGTGACTCACTGAGAGGTTGTGTTTCTGACTATATGACCTTATTGCCCTGCGTTGGTTTACAGGTCTTACAGCCAAAGTGGACACTTTCCAGCGTGTTGACTGTGTGACAGTGTGTGTGGACTTATTCCACTACCCCTCAATGCCAAGCTACGGTATGTATGCCCCCTCACATATACAGCAGACATGAGCTTGCTGCATCTGTACCAGGGAAAATGTGATGCAGATTACTGTTTTGCGGTGAAATGTCGACATATTATGGGACTTCAAAAACAGCCAGTAAAACGTGGGTATACAACCGTTTAAGCATATGCAGGCACACACTCATGCGACCTCGACTCAGAGGGAAAAATACAACTTTTTGTTAGTCTTGGAGGCTCAAGCACCAGTGTCACCACATCCCGTACGGCAAGAAGAAGTCATTTGACTATTTAAAACACCCCCATTTTAACAATAAAAGGAGCATTCAGCTGCCCTTGCTTTTTTATATTCTTGTTAAACAAGTAAGGAGCTGCTTTTTTCATGGAGCCACCAAGTGCATGAGGTGACTACACAAAGTGACGTAAAGAAAAGAACAATGAATTGTGTGTATCTGTTGTTACTGAGCTGCTGAAGGACTAAATGGTTGAGTTAGTGTCCCCAAACAAAAACCTGAAGCAATGAGACCCCTACTTCCTCACTTTGCCGTGGATATGCTTTTGTCTTTCTGAAAGACACGTGAACAGAGGAGATGGGTATCGTATATCTTCTGAGATTATGACTGAGGGTGTGACTGTCTTTCCTCTGTCAAAGAAAGACCTCAGGGAGGGCACAAGCTATTTTTGGAGAATTTTACCTGCTTGTACCACCCGGCTAAAAACTGCCTGAAAGAACTGAAAACTGGGCTATTACCCATCATCCAAAAAAAGTATCAATTTCATTCAATGATAGGTTCAGCAAAATAGGAAAAAGAAAATCACAGTTGATAACTAGCTTGTTGTCTGCATGTCTGCTTGCCCTGGCTTTGGCCAACTCTTAGGGATCATAAGATTATCCTTCCCATGGTGTTAGCTAAGAGATAGGAACGGCATTTCTACCAAGAGTTTAAAGGCTAAAACATACAGGATGCGTATTTGGAGCATGGCAGCAGCGTAGCGTATTTGCTGTTCGGAGCAAATATGGAACGCGCTCAGTACAGATCCTGTATGTTTTCGGCTTAAGCCTAGCTAAAAGCTCTGTGAACCTGTTCTTAGGCTAAATGATACCACCAGCATGCCAGTATATATGACATGGCCAAAATGCTACAGGCATAAAGTTGCATCTTAATTTAGCATGTAAGCATGCCAAAATTTGATCCCTAACAACAGTAACAAACTAGGCTGATGGATCTCAGGGGCAGCTGCCACTCAGTGGGAGAGACGGTAATCATTTGGTAGATCGGGGGTTTGTGTGAATGGGAACGGTCAAAAACTGATGGGCTTAGTACAGAGCAGCCTCTCCCATCAGTGTGTGAATGTGGTGTGAAGTGACATGTGATGTAAAAGCACCGTGAGGAGTCAGAAGACTAGAGAAAAAGCTAAATAAACCCAGTCCATTAACATTAACACAAGTGTTGCATCATAAACCAAAATATGGGTGAGCACAGATTTGGATTTTAAAAATCAACTTTGGTTAAACAGGTTAAACTAGATCTGGGGATTTGAGACCTATAAGGTGAACAATTTTTTAACAGGTCAAAATCCAGCAACAGCAAAATGAATCTCAAATCACAGTTTTTCCTTTCAGTGTGTCAGATAGTTGTTTGTTTCAGCGTTACAGGAGCACAGAAGTAATTTAATGGCATTTATCCAGTGAAAAAACTTAATGGTTTCATTTTTTCACCATTTTGAACATCTTTTCAATAATAGCTGCAAAGATTTTTTAAAAGTTACCTCAGCAAAAAAGGAAAAAATGCTCTGTTGAAGATTGTATAGAAGTGGATGGTCAAATGCATGATTTGACTTTAATGGGAATGTCAGTGCAATATTGCATCACATTATTTGACACACCAGCTGAAGGGCCGCCATTTGCCATCGTACTACCAAAGGATCAAAACTCTGACTTGAACAAAAACAACCTGCCAGTTTCAGTATTCAAGTGTAAAAAACACATTTCCTCCAGAGTCCACTTGCGGCTTGCCACAAAAGCCAAAGCGACCCCACTAGAGCCCATCCTAAAATGCACATTTTGACTGCTAAATAATTGTCCAAAACCCAATAAATGAGCACCGTTTCGATCATTTTGGTCATTCCTTTATTTGCGAAAAATGTGCTAAAGTGTGCTCCTGCGATTTTCACTCACTCAGCAAGATAATTTAAAGAACATCAACCATCCTAAATGTTTTCCAACAAAATACCAGTCATTCACAAACCTCCATCTGCCTCTATTCAACTTTCTCTCCATGCCTTTACAGTTGAGTTGCATGCATGCTTGTCCCTCATCAACACATACACCACAACTTAGCCTACGTTCCATAACAAAGAATCTAGATTGTGTAACTATCTGTCAAACCAGTTTTTTTTTCTCCTCACTATGTTAATACCTCACCACAAAGTTGCAGAGGGAGGGAGAACCCTCCCCTCCCAGTGACTCACTCCGATGTGTGCGTAAGCAGCTGCTACAGACCTGAGAGTAGTATTCCATTACTCTTGCCATTATTTTTGTCTTCTTCTACATCATCACCATCATCATCAGCGTGCTGTTGTCGTACAGTTGGCACTCTATACCAGGCTTGGCTCTTGTTGTAGATAATGTATCTCCATGGCAATGTTCAGCTGTTTGGTTTCTTACTTTTTTTTTTACAGTGCATGAATATTTATTTGCACTTTGAGGAAGTACTCGAGAGCCAAAAACTGAAGTAGTATAACAAGAACAAGAACAAGAACAGAACAAACGATACAAGAAAAAGTAGGGTTTAAAGAACAGAGAGGCAACTGGAGAAGCATGAAGAGAAAAGAGGCACATCTAAGGGAGGAAAAAAGGGGCAATGGAGCAGGGAAAAACAGTCGAAAAGCATTAAAAAAAAGCAGGTGTTGAGGACAGAGTAACACAGCTTTGGGTCGAAGAAGGATCATTGTTGAGGGGGTTTTCCACGGAGCTGAGGGTCTCTGTAGTATTATGTCACTCTTAAGCCCCATTAAGCCATAATGAGGGTGTTAGCTAAATTAAAATGTCACAGCAGACACTGCCAGCACTACTATTTCACTTGGTTTCACAGAATATCAAAGCAGGTTCTGCACCAGCTCGTTTGTAGGCCAGTACACGACCCAAAGCTCTGGTTATGTTCTTAAGCAGAAGCAAAAACTCAACAAGAATGTGAAAACTTTACACCCGGCTGGGACAAGAGGCACGACAGCGCTGACACGTTCAGCGAGCCCGGAGGCTTAAAAACCACGTCAGATGCCATCGTGAGAGAGAAGCTAGGGCACCAGGCCAGAGTGTAAATATTCGATAATGTGCGTGCTGATCTGGTGTACACGCCCTCAGCCCACAGATAGGAGCAGCCTTTTATCTTAGACTGTACACACACATACAGGCTCAGGAAGAGTGAATAGGCAGGAGGATGGCTGTACTGACTGAGTGAGAAAATGCTGATCAAGCATCTTCAGAAAGTATGGAAAATATCAGGAACTAATCATATGGTAAAGGAGCTGGATTTGTGTGCTTTAATCACTGTATGCTGTTCCTGCATTATCCAACCATCCTTGAGACTGAGTGATTTTGATCTGCTTATTCACACATTATTGACACCTTTCTTTGAAGTACTCAAAGTTTCGCATCTTTGACAAAACCACGATTTAAGAGTACAAAAATATAGCAACAGAAAGGAGCCTTGAAAATGCTGAATTTGCAGATTAAGATTGAGCTTAATGGTTTGACATCTTATTTATTATCCAGTTTCCCTGATATTTTCTTTCCCGTTATTATCTCCATAATGCATCTCTCTTATTGGTGCCATTTTTCTTAAAAACACGGCCCGAGCCACAGAGACAGTTTTTGTTGCTGATGGGAGCAATTTGATGCTATCACTGTTTCTGTGCGCCGCTTGGTCTCCGAGCTACGCTGCAAGCACGGACAGAACAAACCGCTCCTGCAAGAAGAAATGTTAAAGCGGACCACAAAGTGCCAGATAAGGCTGCAGACGCCAAACATCACCTGAGGAGCTTCTCAAAGAGGCTCTTTATGACTTCTCTACTCGGTGTCTAAGCAGGTCTAATGACTGCGCTCACGGCTAAGGTCCATTTCTAGAATACACACAAACATGTAATTATTGGCAGCTAATTTGGTAGCACAACGTTACGGTACAAGGGCAGCACGGTCATTAAAAAAACATTTCCTGTTTGGGTTGACTGATGCTTTGATTGATAAAGCACAAAGACACTGTTTTCTATCACCAAAAACTGCAGACATCAATCCCAAAACAGGTTAGAAGTTACAAAGTGAGTTGTTGAAAGATGGCGCAATGGAATATTTACTCATGTGGGCTTGTCCGAGTCAGACCGTGGCCCAGTTTGAAATAGTTCAAGAAAGAGTGACTCCCCCCCTGAAACATGGAGCTGGATTCAGTGTGCTGAGGGAGGATTATGTTGTCCCTAATGGTCACACATGAAGGCAGGGCGACGAGCCTGTCATCATAGCGTCCTCTTGGCTGCATCACAGAGCCTCACTGATCTCTCTCCAGGAACTCTGAGTCTTTGTGTGTCTTTGATGTCCCAGTGCAAAGAATTGTACAAACAAAGAGTCAACAGTCGCGCTGCATGCTTTGTGAGGCTCCACTTTGGCAGAGTGGTTAGAGGCAAACATCAGCACACAGATAAGCTATTATTGGAATTATTAACAAGCTGATGTTAACAGGTAAAATGTTAACCATGTGAACTATTTCAGCTTAGTGAGTCAAGATGCTAAGAATTTCTAAGAGGAGTTCTGTAAAGTGGAACATCAGTACTTTTGACTCTGGAGTTATTTCAAAGACATGATGAGGAATCTCACCTTACCATGATCAACATGGTAACAGGTTAACCTGGACTTGTGAAAATATGAAAAAAGGAAAAGAGGTCAAATCATCAGATTAACTAAACCAGATGATATGTGGGACCTCTGCACCTCATTTCAAGAAATGGGTTTCCCTGTAGTTTTAAAATGATAAAGTTTTGAGCATTCCTGCAGCGCCAGAAGAAACTGGAATAATGCTGCGTTCCGGTAACCTCGGAGGTTTGATGTCAGAGCTGGGAATGATATTACACCCGAGTCGACGGCAATCCAGTAAACAAGTCGGAAAACGAAGGTGGATGCCTCCAGTTCCTCATTGTTAGCTGTTGTTTACAATCGTCAGCTGTCGTAGGCTGTTGTCTGTCATTGTTAGCGGTTGTCAGCTGCTAACAACACAGTATTTTACTCTACAAACACCATAGCACCACGTTCACAATTAGACATTGTGCGGCACAACATACACCACTTATTTAATTTCTCAAAAACAGAAGTGCTAATAAGTAATACTTTACGAGAGCTTTACGGTTACTCTTTACTGTCGATGCACTGCGCTGCCATCTTGAATTATGACGTTGTCGTCATGTTGGGGTTGACGAGGATCATCCAACGTCCAAAATCACAGTTTGAGTTTAGAAAACTGTACCTGATATGTTGATGTACATTTATTGAAATATATAATGACTAAGTTGTTACTTCTAACCATGGACCATTTTCCTGCTGGCAGAAACAAACTGAAAACTGGGTAAAATCTACAACATACAACAACCCGTACACCAAGTCTTGTCCATTGC